ATAGATGTCTTCGAATAGTTTTTTAACTAGTTGACATTAAAGAGAGTTTTTGCTTCTTTGAGCGTATTAGGGTAAAGGGAGGAAGCTTTAAAATTGTTAAAATTGGTACATAAAGAAGACAATCAGCTTTACGGCACTTAATACTATCTTTATGATCATTTAAAAGATGAAAAAAATTAGTATAGATAAAATGATATACAACAAGAAGTATAAGTTGGAAATTAATAAGAAGAATCAAGACAACCTCCAAAGGCCACTCAATAAGTGATGGAATCTGAGTCACAGAAAGAAGAAGAATCAAAAATAAAGAAAGTAACTTAAAATCCTGAAAATTAAAAATAGAGAATGGAGAATTTAAATGATCCAAGTTAAGCAGAATAGATAAAAGCTGAAAATGCATAACCTGAGTAGAAAATCGAATAATTATAAGTAAAGAAATAAATTGATAATAATAACTAATAATAATTGTAGAATACAGACGAAAAATAGGATGATATAGATCGTAATTAGAGGATTTAAAATACTTAACATTAAAACTAATAGCCAAATGTGTAGGAGAATGAAGTTGAAAAAAACGATAAAGAAATATAAAAATAAGAACAAATTCTTATATCTTAACAAAAATAAAAGAAAATTGATTAAAAGTCGATTGAAATAAATGATTAAGACAAAGATGAGGGTTTTAAAGAATTTAAATTGCCAGAGGACCTAAAAAATATAAATTCTCAATCCAAAACAGATGCTAATGTTGTCAAAAAAGATTATTCTGAGACCAAATAAGACAATATCACATCACAAAAATACGGATATGAAAGTAAGTCGAATTCTAATAAATATTCTTAATTTGATAGAAAATAGTATGAGGACAGAAAACCATAATAATAACCCAACAGAAAATATGAAAAATTTGAAGATAAATTTAATTTTGATGAAGTTAAAAATAACTATGTTTAAGGAGATTTATTGAATGAAAATTGGGTGAAAGTGGATATACTTTAAGGATCATAAAAAAAATTATGAGTATTATTAAATATCGTATATTAATAAAATGAATGATTATATGTGTTTATAAATATAGAAAATATTTTAAGTAATTTTTGAGGATTAATTTTATAAATTTACTCTTACTCTAACTATATAAATATAACAAGTTGCAATCCTTTTTCAAATCCCTCAACGTTTAAAATACATTATATAACTATAAATTCTTTTTCAATTCTTAAGTGAAGCAAAAACTTAGAATAAAACCAAATCTATCAACTCTTAAAACATACATAGATCTATGGAAAATCGAAAAATTACATTTTTTCCATTTATCTAAACTAAAATATAAAAGAAAGGGTTTTTATCAATGGAAATAAATTAACTTTTATAAAACATAATCTTACTTAATTAACTAAATAAAAGTCAGATAAATGTTTCTAATATAGTGCAAAATAATATCAAGATTTTATTAAGAAAAATCAATAATCAAATCTTTAAAAGATGGATAAAATTAATTAAAAATTTAATATTGTTTTCCGTAATTGTAATTGATATGAACTATTTATTCATCTTTTAGTAAATTCCTCTTGTTCAGTGTGATCAAAATATAGTTTTTCAATTCCTATTCTACTTGATTTTACACTATTTATCCTTGAACTTAATGAACTTTAATAGAAACCTGACATTATTTGTTTTGAGTTTCTTAGTTATATTTTTGAGTAATAAATTAAATGGCTCTTCAATTTGAAGATATGATTCTTTAATTTCTTTTTCCTTAATTTTTCTTTTTCTAATTTTTTCATTAACATTACTGTAATAAAGAAATTTGGTACTTTCTAACTTAGAAGAGAATGAAATTTATTCAAAAAGAAGAATTAATACTTTTTAAAATAGCTTCTTGCAATTCCAAAAAACAAATGGATAACAAAGTTTAATTACACATCCTATTATAAAAATTTAGAGCATTATGGATGGGGACACATAATTGTTTTATTCACAAATATATTTGGTTATAGCTAAAAATATCGAAATTGAACAAATTTAACTAGTTTATAGGTCTAAACTATTATATTTTTTAATAGTGAATGGCTAATGAAATGTAGCCAATATTTGATATACCAGTAAACATAATCCTAGCAACGATGCTTTTAAGACAATATCAGTTTCAAAATTTGTCATTATAAATATTATGATTGATTTTTTGAATAGTTTTATGAGTTCCCAATAATATCTTTCCTATTTGTATTCATTTAATAAGTAAGAAATATGTCTTCTAAGCTTAATCTTCTCCAAACGAGTTCTATTTATCTTCAAAAGTATAAATATCAGGATAGGAATCAATGCACCAATAACAAACAATCCAGGAATTATAAAATAATACATCCACAAATAGTGATCTTGAGATCCATATTTCAACGATAAATCTCCTTGAATGTAATAGTTATTGGATACTTCTCTTTTTGAAATCAACGATGAAAACCTATAAAGTTTAAATCATAAACATACATCTTTATTAATCCTGCATAATTAAAAACATATAAGTAGAGAGCTGTATTTGAAAGGAGACTCAGATCTAATTTTTATTTAATTGTTAGTGAATATAAAATAGATCCTGCAATTGTGAGGATGAAGAGAGTTATCATAAAAATTAACATAGCGAAAATTTTCAAATAAACAAGAGGAATATGTTCGATAGAAGATATTTAACAGTCGAAATCTTTTGCAATAAAATAAGAGGTATCACTAGTTTATTCAACAAAAAGTAAAGAAAATTAAAATCTGATGTTAAAAGTAAAAATGACACTAAATATCCATATATAGTTTATCATCATTTTTAATTAAATACTTTCCTGATCTAAAATCTATCAATATAAAATACCTTAATTTAGTTTAAATAGGATTTTGCTAAATCTTTATGCAATTATTAATGATGCATATAATTAATTAGATCTAGAGATACTTCTTAATGACATCGAAATAGATATAAATGTCCTATCCTTATTATTAAAATATATTACCAAAGACAGCCTATCAAAATTGGCAACGTGTTACTCCATTAAAATTAACATTTTAAACAATTATCATCCCATTAGTTTTTAAAATAACTCCCATGTCCCCTAATGTTATATATGTCACACTCTTCACATAAAGCTCCTATATGTCCTAAATTGCAAGAATTATGGGAAACCTGCCACCCACCTAAACAAAATATGGGATTCTTGAAACAAGGTTCGACATAATCAGAAAAATTACTGGGTCTCCAAAAACCAGGAAGTAATTAAATCATATTCGAAGTAATATCAGAGTATTTCTCTTTATCAAAAATAGAACACTTTGTTGCATTATAGATAACAGAATAATACCCTTAATTAGATTAACATAGCTAACATCCATTATCTACATAGAATTCTCCTAATTAACATTTAAGGCTTTTTACATATAGTAGATATGTCAAAATCTTACTAGACTCTTATAATTAGCAACTTATTTCAATTTATAGATGGCTGTAATTTTATTAATATGGATCTAAGCTAAATGATAGTGACCCAAAAGGAAAAGAATTATTTTCGTTATCAAAAACCAAAATTTAATAATTTGATTTATCTATTAATTCTTGTTGATCTTTTGCAATTATCTTATCTTTTACTTCACAAGATGAATTGGCTAAATTGTGCATTTTTTCATTTCTGCTATTTTGAAAATACAAGCTAATATCTTTTATATATGGCTTATATTTTGAATTATGTATGTCAAAAATCTGATAGGTTTATATGACTTGATTGCTTGGAATCAATAAATCTTTTGTAAATATTTCAATTCCCTACTCAACCATTCTATGTGTTTTTAAATCCAACTTATTTATCTTTTCGTTATTCAAAAAAACAGATTCAGAGGGGCTCTCTACATAATTCACAAAAAAAGCTAAATGATTTGGAATCTCTTTTAAATTATTCCCATAAACTTCAGCAGCATTGAATAATAAGAATGATTCTAAAAAATTATTGTTATTTAGATTGCAATCATCGTCTAAATATATACCCCCTCCTATTCTAGCTTTATTACCAATAATAATCGATTAGTTGATATTAAAGCCTGATGATTATACTTACATGTATAAACCTCCTCCAAAAGTTTCTGCATTATTATTTAAGATTTTACACTTTTTAATTGTTAGATTTGTTTTTTGAGCAGTTACACCAACACCTTGACTTCCATTATTAAAGAGGAAATTAGAGTTTGTAATTGAGATTTTTGATTTTAGATAAGTTTACTAGGAAAAATGCAAGCATCCAAATTATTTGATTGAATTATAAATGCAATTGAAATTCTCAAATTTAATATATTTAAAGTCTGAAATTTCAATGAATAACAAACCATTATCACACTATTTGCAATCATTATGTTGAAATGTAATATCCTTAAAATAATAGCAATTTTGATTAGAGATGCTTTTAAAATATAAGAGAGAGCTTTCCAATTAGTTATTTTATTGAAGAGAATTAACATTAACATAAAAATAATCTTTCTCATTACTATCAGGATCTTATTAAATTAAATTACATTCTCTTATGTTATATATGTGATATAAATAATTTAAAAATGATTTCATATCATTTTTGTAAAGGAAAGCATTTTTTACAACGAGATGCTCTATTTAAATTATTGATTAAATCTATTAGGTTTATGTTACCTAAATTAGATTAAATGAGTATAACATTTAGATATTGTCTATTTTTACATTCAAAAGCTCTAATTTATGGGTATTTGTAAATTAAAAAATAGAATTAGTTATAATCCCTTCAATAAAAAATTCTTATATGTAGATTATACAATTTTGAAAAGATATCATAGAATTCTAATTATTTACAGTATCTGTAACTTCTTAGATTAATAAATCTCTAATTTTTAAGAAATAAATTGACCAAGCATCGTATCTTTAAGCAATCCTCATATTTACTACGGTTATGATATTTTCTTTAGCTTGAGATGATGAGAATTATACATTTATAATTTAATTGAGCAAAGAAATGCAATTTATAATTTAAGTATTCTTTAGTTATATAATATTTAATGATTTGGAGGGGTTAATAGTGAATATCGATGGTGCCATTCTATTAAAAATACTTGAAAATACAGCGTTTACTAAATTTAGATTCAGATCACTGTTAGATGAATAAATACTAATGCATCCTGAACCTTTTTCTATTGATAATAAATTATTCTCTATTTAATCTATTGTGATATTGAATAAATTTATTAAACCTCTTTCATTAGTTGTAATATCAAAAACAGAGCTTTACATAGCGAGAATTTTTGAAAATGCACAATCAATACAAGACATGTTTTTAACTGAAAATTATCCTGCTCCTCCAATATTTTTGATCTATAAAATTTAGAATATAATTTCATTTAGATTTTATTGATTTAGATTCTCGTTGAATTGCAATTCATAATATTTCGTCCATATTTGTTAAGATAGAAAATTGTGGTTAGTTATAGTATAATTGATAAGTATTATCTCAGCTGACATCATGGCTATAAAAGCATTTGATGAATTTGTGAATGCATTGTTTTTACAAAAAAAATTCATAACTTTCAATAGACTCAACGATGAAGAGATGTACAAAAGACTAGCTGCTTCTCTTAACGCAGTACTCGTGTAAGAATGGAAAAAGTTTTCTTCGTATTCGATATTTTACAGTAAAATACTTTCTTTTTTATCTGATTCAATTATTAACAAAGAAATCAGGTTAGTTAACGTTGATTAAATGAGAATATTTTGAGTAAATGTAACATTAATTATCTGAATCTAACGAGTAACATATGATATATTTTGTTGGCTTGGATTAATCTAGATTATAGGTTCATCAACGCTCAGTATGTGTAAGATCTAGACATTTGCAATATAAATGGTTGTAAATCCAAAAATATATAGTAACTTGTTTGTGTTATTGGTTATTAAACAACCTGAGGATATGGGAATTTTAAAATTGTGGATAGAGTTTTTATAAGTCATATTTGTAATTGATATTTTAGTATTTTCAGATAAGTAAAATATCACTAAATCGTGATTGTCAATAATTAAAAAATTTGACATGCGAATTTCTTAACTATTCATGCAAAAGAGTTAAATGTTTTCATTTTATTTAGATGATTTGAAGTTTTCTGTTATTTCAAAATTATCAAAGTTGATAATAAGCAAGTTTGTTGAAAATGTTGAAAAGATCAAAATTATATTGGAAGACTAATAATGATTATTGTTTGCTATAAAATCATTTATTTTACACATAATTTGATACTTCAACAATATTTAAGTGATGGATATGAATTAAGAGAGAGAGAGGACATTTTGATAAATTTTTATGTTATTTATTGAAATGTTATGACTAACTGAAATAATAACAGAGTCTTCTAAAGAGTTGAAATAAAATTGAAAATCGTTCATACTTACTTTTATTTAATTTGTGCAGTTTATTAAATATGATCGAGAGAAATTGCTATTTCTTATAATTGTATTAAATACATTTAGATATCTTGATTATTAGGAATAACTGCTAAAAAAACTGAATATTGATGAATTTTTTAAGAGGGATTAATCTAAAATAAAGTAATTTAAAGAAATAATTGATTCAATTTTAGACATTTTAAATAGTGCTGATTCAATAATTGTACAATTGTTAATTTTTAGATTTGTTATGGAAATCTTCCCCTAAACCTAATATAATTCAAAATTAAAAATGGAGGAGTTGATAAAGGTCGTGTTTTCGACCGTAAAATTATTTATAATAATATTACCAAACACATCAGCTCTGAACAATGATTCTATATTTTAAATTACACTTTAAGTAATTGTAAAATTTGATAGAATCAAATCGATTTTGTTATTTGTATTTTGGAATAGAAAGAATTGATCTGCAGTAATCAAAAATCCTAAATTGCTTATCTCAACCTAATCATAATTTTTGAATGAATTATTGGTAAATAAAGTAATTTGTAAGTAATTTTACGATGATAATTTGAAGTCAACCTTTTTTACAGTGAAGACTTTTTATTTTAATTAAGTTGAGAAATCTAATGGCAAAATTAGAAAGCATTTTGGTTGTAAAACCTAAAAAGTGAAATTTATTTTAATATACTCCATTCCAATTTAATTACAATATTAGGTATTGATTGCTGATTCATAAAATCTATTAAATCTTGTAAAATCACATGAGTAATAAGAAACGTCAAAAATAAATTTATCCTTACAATCCTGATTGAAACAATACTTCACAATTTGAGAATAATGATCATAAAAGATGGTGGGATCCCAATATGCTTTTATGCATTTCTTAGTATAGATTTAATTGTCCTAAGTAACATTGAAATTGGGAAAATTAAGCTATTTATGATGTTTGATTTTCTTACTTGTATCTCTTTAGCAGAACGAGCCTAACATACTTCACACAACGGATGACAATAAGTGCAATTCGGACCTTTCTCTGTTATAATGTTTTTTTTTTGGTAATTTAATGGGCAGTATTTGCAATACGGAATAGTGATATCACATAAAAGGCATTAAGAATCACAATATTACTAAACAGAGTTTAATGAACTTAAGTATTTGCTATAAACACTTGTTTTTAGGTTTGGAACAAATTAAAGAATGAAGCTTTGAATCTTATTTGTATAATTTTAAATTTAGTTTTTCTAAATGTTAAATTCTTCGTTTTAATAACATTTATTGCCCTCAATTACATAACTATCCTAACATACAACACATTTAATTTGTTTTTCAATATTTAAAGAACATAAATTGCAATTTTCTATATATTTCTAGCAATTAGATATCTCTGGTGCAATAGAAAAATCAGTATTCTTTGATGAAACGCATAGCTCCTGACTTTATAAATTGATATAAGTTCTTTAACAATTATCTATTTCAGGAATTTGCCTTAAACACAACCCAAGAGTGAAATCGAATATATAATTTTCCTCACAAAGTGCGCAACCTATTTTGATATTTTTCAGATTTCTTAAATTAAAATCGGAGACAGTCACTAAAGTGCATACATTTAAATCACTTGTTGAATATTCAAAGCAATAAATGCAATTTTTGATTTCGCAAATTTTACATTATTTTTCAAATGAATAGTAAAATGGTGGTAAACAAACGAGATCAGATATTGAATTATTTTGAGATTATTATATACACTCTCCATCTACTAGAACATATTTACTATAACAAACTACGCATTCAAAAGTAGTAGGAGTTATCTAACAAACTTAACAACTATCAATGAAGCATTCATAACAAATGAATTAATCAGTTGCTGCAAAATCCATTTATTAACAAAACCGTCGAAAATTATTTTAAGCTAACTGAAATTCCTTAAAAATTCCATCTATATTTTAAAGATCTGTATCATAAGCTGATGTATGGGTATCATGAATTGGGTTAAGTAATATTCCATCAAAATAATAATTGATTTGACCAAATGAAATGTATGCCTCATCAAAAGTGATATTTGGTTTAATCACATAGACTATTTAGCAGATAGGATAATCAAACCATGACTTTGGGTTATTTAGACATTCAACACAACTAATAAATTGCTCCTTAATCAAAGAAGGACTAAATAAAAATCAAATGCTACCATTTAATACAATCTCCCTCAAACTCGAAGTACCCGTATTTACAATTCTAACTAGTATTCTGCTCTTCATTTTTTATTAATCTTAAACCTGATTTTTAGTATGATTAGCATTGGTTCTGATTATCAATTGTGTTTTAGGGACAAATGCAGACTTTATATTTTGGGAGATATATTCTTTGAGAGTCGACTGAACAAGATAGGCAATCCTGATTGGTTGGACCATCACATTCTAAACAACTATAATGACAACTTTATTGAGTAAGTTTTTTATAACAATTATAAAATTCCAAATTTCTAATTAAGATGTTTAAATAATTAATTTTAGTTTATAAACAATTTCCATATTAAACTTTAAATTGACAATTTTAAAATTAAAGTACTTAGAAATTAGCATCATAACGAAAAGTATCTTTTTCTTCATAAAATATTATTGCTACACTAAGTTTATTTTTTTATAATTCAACTTTGAGATAATGCCACATTGTGATCTTATTTTCAATTAAGATTCTCTTAGAGAGCAGGAATGGATTATTTGAAAAATCAATAGAGACGTCAGGAAATGTATAGCTATAGGTTGTGATTTCTAATTCATTTTTCTATGAACTGATATGATAAATTATTTGGAACGGAGATAAGTTTTGATTCTAAAAAGTTGGATGTAATAAATTCGCTTATATTTTGATTAGCTGATAAGTTAATTGATCTTATAAATTTACAATTTCCTTAACTTTAATCCAACCCACTAGAACAAATGAATCACAATTTATTTTTTCAGAAATAAATTAGTTAATATCTTATAGTTTTACATCCATATCTCCTATCAAAGATTTCGAATTTGATGAACAAACACAGCTCTTGATTGAATTATATACTTTATTTGCCGAATCAATAAAAGCATAATCAAGGGCTAAACTTGAGATTGAGACATCTTACAAAATAATAGGACCAGGAAAATATGAAAATGTTTGGCCTATTGATTGATCATATATTTTCGAATTATGTACTAAAAGATTACCTCCGAAAGAAAATATTAAGTTTGTATCTTTGAATGGGTATTTCATTTATCTTATGGCTTCATACTAAATTTCTTATCTTTTCATGATTATCAATCTAAACATATCCTATAATGGCCATGATATAATTTATAAATAAAACCAAGTATTTTCGTAGTCTAAAGGATCTATTGTTATTTCAAATCTATTCTATTCTTCTAGATTATTTATAAATAAGAGTGTTTTTGTTATTTTCTTTGTAGCAGAGTTTAAGCAGTCGTAATACACGAGATTTAAACTTTGGGATTCTTAATCAATTGCATTGTGCAAATGAAAGCAAAGACTATCAAATAATCCAAATCTTCCTATTTGAGTGATTGTACTAAGAGGATTATACTTTGACCAAATCCCATATGTCAAGCAACTATTACTTGTATATTCATCATCTTTCAATTAAACAAATCTCCTTAAATATTGATTAGATGAATTCATTTTAATTGTCTCAAAACCATTCACCAACTTTGCTTAGATACTCAAAAATAAGAATATATTTATCATTTGATTAATACTTAATAAAAACAATATAATTTATGATGAGTTTTATATTTTATAAAAGAAAGTGTAAGAGAGAGTTTGAGAATGCATAATCAAATTTTTATAATATTGAATTGATAAATACTACATTTATTTGAATTGTAAACAAAAATTCAATTAAATATATAGCACTTCTAAATAAGCTATAATAACTTGCAATAACCCTTTGTCCTTAATAAAATTTGATATTTTTTATTATCGATTTCCTTGTATCGCTCTTATGATCTCTGTATTGTTCTGTTTATTAAATAAACAAGGTTTAGAATTTCAAATTTCAGATCACAGGAAATAAGTATAATCTAGTTTATCTGAATGAAATTTAAAAATTTTCATTTCAGAAATGGTTATATAACTTAATTTAACGAATTCGATAATTTTTATTTTTATTATAGGATGTTTTAAATCACAGAAATTAATAGGTTTTTATTGATTCAAATTTGAAAAAAATCAGTAGTAAATGAAATATCTTCATTTTAACTTAAATATTATTATTCTTAAAAATCTTCTTATTCATACTCTTCTTAAAAATCTTCTTCTTCATAGTCTTCTTAAAAGGTTTAATCTTCTTCCAGTAGTGACATGTTTTCAAAATCTTGAATTATGGTAAAATTATCCTATTCGCTTACATTAGAATTCTCACTAATCTATCCCTTAAATTGTAGTTACTCATCTACTTCTATATCGTCTGACTAGGGTGGTTCTTATTATTCATATTCAATTTAAGGACTTGGAGAAGATTCACTCTAAAAATAATTAATATTAAATATTGATGATTCTTTAGCAGAAATAATTTTGGTGAATTCCTCATTCAGATTATTTGAAAACCTGGTCTTGTTACATAAATTATATTCTATAAAATGAACGCAGCTTAAAATAAGGATGTAGATTTTATACTTTTGTTAGAAAGGCATCATTAAAAAGGGGCGTATTAATGGTATTTCAATATAATAAACTATTAGATGTAATATTGAAGGAAGAGTGAATTTAGCAAGGTTTTGAATTCTATTATTATTGATATGGCTTAATAAATCCCGAGCTCAAATTCTATTACTGAATGGAATTAAAACAAATATTGAATTTAGAATTAATTATTTTCTATTAATAGTAGGCAGATGTGCAATTAAGTTTAATAATTGTTAAGAATGATATCATAAGATGTACCTTAGAATGGTAAAGTCATTTAAGGATTCAAGTATTTTAGATGGAAAATAAAATATTGAAGTAATAATAAATTTATAAAAGCAAGAATAGAGTGACTTTCAATCAAAAAAAGTACTTAATTATTTTTAAATTAGAGTGCAATCTTGGTGGTCTATTAAGACTGGGGTTTCTTGTCTAAAGAAGTAGAGAAACATAGTTTAGTTCTCATATTTAGAATGAAACTGAAATTTAATTTGACATTCTTACCCAACCATGTATAGGAGTACTGGCTTCATAGATCCCTCTGCCTTGGATGCAATTATTTCTAAATTCACCAATATATCTTGTTTTGTCATTAAAGACAAGCTCCCCATTTCCATGCATCTTTCCCTTATGCACGTTACCCTTATAAACACAGCCATTCGCAAATTCAAATTTACCTTGGCCATGAATTTTGCCATCTTAAAATTGTCCGGTATAAATCGTTCCATTTTTACGTATTTCAGTGCCTTCTCCAATTAATTTATTATTAATCCAAAATCCTCTGACCTCTTTTCTAGAATTGACAAATTTGCCTAAGCCATTAGCCACATTATTAACAAAATCCCCATCGAAACTAAACAATTTGAATGAAATATATTACTAGTCCCCATTTGGATAAATCATTCTGGCTCTTCCATTTAATTGATTATCAATCCAAATCCTTATAATATAAGAACATAGGATTTACCCCTCTAATAAATTTCCCTCCTTCGGCCAATGCTGTTTTCCTTAACCATTTCTCTTTCCATTTAAAGTTTATCCGAAAAAAATGCTTTGATCTGGCATCAGCAAATACTGACCAGATAGATTAGGGAATAAATCCCCCAATTCTTAAAGTACTATTTAAACTTTCGGATTAAGGTCTCCAATGCTGCTGAGATTCATTCCAATTTACATATATTGATCTTGAGAGTCAGATAAATCCAGATCGGTTTGAAGAGTTGTTTGATTTACTAATATGACATCTAATGCTGTACTTGACTCAGGTAATTTGATATTGAATTGCTTAATGTGTTAATCTTTAGTTGATACACATCCCATGGTTTATTATTTTCAATTTGATAAAATAAAATGATCGTAAATCAGAATGCAAGAACATATATTAACAATTAAATCAAGAATTGAATATTCAAGATCAATGTTCTTAAAATAACTTTTAATATATTATTTTAATTACAATGTAATTACATTTGGTATATTTAAATTAATGTCAATTCGTAGAATATAAATAGGAATGCTGGACTCAGTCTCATAAAACAACGAACTTGTAAAACTAAATAGATTAATTGAAATTTCTAACTCAGTCTTAATAAATATTATTATGAATGAAAAAATTATTGGATAATAATATTTTATAAAATATAATTTCGATGAGTTTATCTAGGAATGGATCTAAGTTTTCAAGACATGATCGCATTACCAATTCTTAGATACTGGATCTGAGGAAGGGCAAAATGTACCCATCATCAAGCAAGAATTCTGATCAACCGGGGGGATTTTTTCTGAGCCTAGCCAATAATAAAGCACCAGATTATGGGTAAGCTTAGTTATTAAATAATGATGCTTTGAAACACAAAATCAAAGAGAAAAGAAACCAAAAATCAATGGATAATGATGCTGTGTTGAATACCCTGGTTACTAAAGTTGATGCTAAATTGATTTCATCACCATTAAAAAAGAAAGTAATTGCCATTGATCCTAAAATTGATGTGCCCACTCAAATCAAACCATACTCTCTCACTCCTTAATCTCGATTGCAATCATTTCGGATCGCAAGTCCTTCATAAAAACCTAGATCACAAAGTTAAAACAAAAGAAACGACATCTATTATCTAACCAAACTCTAAAGGGCTTTCGATACCAATGGTTCTGATTACTTCTCTCGCATGTATCGCGAACACTTCCACTAAACCTATTAAGGATTAAATTGTAGATTTTTTCCACAAAATAATAATGACTATAATAAATCTCATAAATTACCCAAAAAACATTAAAGTATATTTCATCATAACAAAATAAGGATAATTCACTTTGTTTTTTGATTTAGACGAAACATTGGTCCACTGCAATGAAACACCTACGATCCCTTGTGATGTAGTCTTGGAAATCAATGTTTCCAAACATCAAGTAGTTAGAGCTGGCATCAATGTAAGACCGTATGCAAAAGAATTGTTAAAAAATCTCTCCAATCATTTTGAAATTATTGTCTTTACAGCTTCACATAGTTGCTATGCAGAAAAGGTAATTAGAATAATTGATTAGGTTTGCAATTATTTAGACCCAGATTCTACCATTATAAGTCATCGATTATTTAGGGACAGCTGCACTCAAACTAATACTTCCCTTTACACTAAAGATTTAAGAATATTTTGTGATAATACCAATAGACAGTTGAGTTAAGTAGCTTTGATTGATAATGCCTCGTATTCTTATGCTTGGCAAATAGAGAATGGAATACCAATACTTCCATTCTATGATAATAAAGACGATAGAGAATTGATAGAGTTGGAGAAATATTTGAAAAACATGATTGGCGTATCTGATATAAGAGAATATAATAGAAACAATTTAAAATTGCATTTGTTTGTAGATCAACATGGACCTTATAAAGTATTGGAAAATCTATTTGGTAAACCACAATAACTTTTATGAGTATTAAAGATTATCATTAAGATCATTCAACGTTTTTTTCTTAATTTAGCATCAGCTCTTTATGCCTCCTCCATATTTGTCTTCATCTTCATAGCTAAATCAAAATTTCCAGTCTTCCATGCAATTAAATCTACCCTAAAATTGGAATCTGATGGTAAGGGATGTCTATGAATAATCAATTAAAATACTCTTCATCTTCTAATACGTAAGGTTCTGTATTAATATTCCATATTTCTTTATTGTCTATATACATATTTTTATGCCAAACTCCATTAATTTTAGAAATTTCCCTAATAATTTCATTCTATTTCAATTCCTTGAATTTCAAGTATCCATCTTTTTGGAATCTCTTAACAAAATCATCATTCACTTCATAGATGCAACCCTCATAATAATCATCTAAATGTTCTCTCCTTTTTTTCCAAATGGAACCTGGATATGGATTCAATTTAATTTCTGCTACTAATTTGTGTTTCAAATTAATAACATGGAATTTCCCCACCATCTAGAATAGTTTATCCCCATACAATGTTCCGGTGTATAGGCCAGAACAAGGCAAGAAGATAAGTTCGTTTTTAGTCTCATAAAAATACACTTTTGTATATCCTTAATTGATTCCATTGACTGAATTAGCCGAAATACTTGCTATCGTACTTAGACGATGATTCACTCTATAATAATTACTCAATTTTTTACCTGTATCCTTTTCCATAAATCAATAAATTGCTTATTGGTGGGTGATGTGACACCTACTCTGCGTAAATAGGACAACCATTTATAAATCCTGAGTATGTTTCTCCAAGAATAGGATTAAATGGTTTCCACATGTTCAAATATAGTATGATTGTGCCATACCCATAGGGCAAGAAGTTTTTAATTTGAAATAGATAATCCTTTGAGACTGCCTCATCTAAATATTATAAGTAAGTAAGAGAATTGGCATATCTCTAAAGATTACTTTATTTTTCGAATACATAAACTGGTAAGCTAATGTTTGTTATTGATTTTCCAGTAGCTAAATTTGATCCTATTTATGACAGTAAATAAGAAAATACTTTCTTTTATTCTCTTAATCCAACCTAATCAACATATAACAAACCTCCTTGGTTTTCATCCACTTTCCAATAGTTTTTTAGTAAGAAATGCCCTTCTGATGTAGATTTCTGAAATTTAGGTTCTACTTTCATTGGCTCTATTTGAAATTCCTTGTTCAAACAAACATCCCAGTGTTTATTATTTTAAACAAATTCTAAAAGCTCCATTAAATTGTTGGGAACTGTGTTTTATAATTCTATTGATTGGTTGAATTGTTAGACAAATAGATCCTCTGAGTGATTTGACAAAGATACTACTGTTTATAATTATTTTTATTCAAAGTGTAGGTCTCTAAAATTTATGACGTAATCAATGTGATCTGCCAAATAATTATATTATTCCATAAAGGAGATATTTTAAGAATCAAAGAAAACATTATCATCAAGTTGGTATATGATCTAAATTATTGTTTATTGAGGCATCGAATCAGTTGAATAATTTTGGTTTCCTCTCTAAATTCCACCAAAGGAACACTTTTAAATTGATTTCCTGAACAATTTGGCAATTGAATAAATTGGATTTACTGAATTGAGTTATTTTTCTATAACACAATCAGTTGCCTTGTATCTCATTATATACAATTATTATGTCTTCTCAAATCCAAAAATTGATTTGATTCTAATCTGATCCACAACCTTGTAATCTTAATAATCAAACATTGTCCATTCCGTTGAAATGAATTTATTAAACCCTAAGCCTTCATACAGAAAATGTCGAACTATTTCAATATCATGTTCTAAAATAATTTGAACTTGGTATAATCCCTTTTTGGATACACTTTTATAAACATTGTTCCCTACTCTATAAAATTCTCCTTACTTAAATTTATCTACAGTCATGTCAGATAAATATGCAGGTACTTTATGAGCTTATTCAATTTATGGAATAAAGACTTAGAAGTTGGGTTTTTCCTCTTGTTTTAAATTTGTAAGAAACTCTTACTTGGTCCTTTTTAAATTATCAGGAGATTCAGGTTATTCTGAAATTCTTTGCATATCTTTATTATTGGATGATTTAAATTCTAACCAATTGTTGTTAAGATTATCACTTTTGCTCAAATCCAATTGATCAGATTTATTCAAAGGGGAAATGGATACTGTTTATTATGTAAATTCAACACTCATCCTTCTTGGTTGGATAGGTTTTGTATCACAAATTCCACTCAAAAGATTAAACCATTTCTTTGCATATTCTTCATCATCTGATCCCATTATCAATTACTTATAATGATCATATATTGCTTGATTGTGTGCGATTAGAATAAAACAGTAATGGGAACTTTTGGTCTTTTTTTACCCTACCCACATTATTCCATATTTTGATAATTATAATTCTATATCACCTTCTTTTCTAGGTACAATTAACTTTTTATGGGTTAAATTCAATTCTAATTTTTTAGATCTCCAAATTCCTAATGTCTCTCCTTTCACATTTAATTCACCCATAATCTTTGATTCATCTTCTAATTCTAAACTTTTAAAAACTGAACAGAACATGCTCTTTTAAGCCTCGACTGGTAAATTAAACAATCCTTGGATTTCATCTATATCAAGATCAGGATAATTTTCAGGATTTATTTCAATCTCATTGTTTGAGTGATTCTTAATTGCAAATATCAGGAAGTTCAATTTCTGTCTTTGAGCTTCAGGTACATTTGAACCTATGATTAGATATTTCTAGTAAAATTCTTCAAACATCGATTAGGAGAGTAGATAAATTATATTACTATTATTAAATTTTTTATACAATTATCTTACAATTGATGACAAGTGTAATTTAATTTATAGATTGCATTTAATAATAATAATACTTTAATTGATTCAATTTCATTTTCTCTAAAATTTCTTCAAAAATTACAAAAATCAATGAATGCATACTAATCATCCGATTTTTTAAAATCAAAATTAAAGATTTTATATTTACTTTAAAAATAATGTCGACCTAAAAATCATAAATCTAAGTGGAGTACATTTCATACTAATTCAAAGATAAAAATTACCAGAAAATATTGCCAAAAGATAATCAAGAGACTCTAAATTGAAAGCTCTTATTTACAAACGAAGAGTTGATAGACTAGCTGCCAATAAGTAAGCAAGAGCATTATGGGAGAAAAATGCTTAAGCCTACGAAGCAGAATATAAGGCAACAGATAAAAGTTTAGTCGATAATATACGCAAGGCTAAGGCTGACGGTGGTTTCTATGTACCAGCCGAAGCCAAGTTGATGCTTGTCATTCGAATCAGAGGGTATTAATTGTGTATATTTTAAGTATCAACACCTTAAACCCATAAGTCAGATAGACTCTTAGACTTCTTAAATTGAGATAACTTCATAATGCTGCTTTTATCAGGATCAACAAAGCCACCATTGAAATGATTAGAAAGGTTGAACCATACATTACTTATGGTTACCCATCAAGAACTTTAATAAAGAACCTCATTTACAAGAGAGGATATGCTAAAATCAATGGATAAAGAATTCCTTTGACTTCAAACAACATAATTGAAGAACAATTAGGAAAATCTGGAATTCACAGTGTAGAGGATCTCATTCATGAAATCACAACAGTTGGACCGCACTTCAAAGAAGCCAACAGATTGTTATGGTATAATATTGAATAACAAATTCAATAGGGCTTTCAAATTAAGAGGACCAAGAGGAGGATTTATAGCTAAAAGAAGATCATTTATTAACTAAGGTGATTGGGGAAATAGAGAAGATCTCATAAATGATTTGGCCAAGAGAATGATCTGACATAGATTTATGAAAGTACAGTATAATGCATATAATAAATTATTAAATATTCTTGATCTTATTGGTTAAATAATTCTTAGTGAAAATGCTTATAAAATGTAGTTTAATATCTAAAAGTATAATCTGATGAAGTTTTCCATCTTTCTAATTAACTCATATACCAAAGTTGATTCAGATAAACAATTTATAAATTCATATCATAATCACATTTTTGGATTTTTAAACATATTTATTACAAAACTAAATTTTACTGATCATTTTTATTTGAAATCAAATGAATTTAATTCAATCTTATATTTTAATAATTCTATTTAATGAAAGATTTACTTTATTATGTTTTTGATTAATATAGATTTAATTTTGGAACTTCATTTTTTTTTAGGAGCATAGTAAGTATTTTGGGAATAGACTTTTTTTCATGGCAGATACAATTGGTTATATTTCGGCATTTAGAGGATCATTTCTCTCTGTAATAGTTAAAATAAGTTTGATCTGATTTTACCTAAGGAATGTACTAAATGAAGCTTATTTTTGATTAAATTACTGTTGAATTCCGAATGGGGTCATTTTAGAGAGATTTTTTAGTTGTAGAAAAGAGGTCATTTCTAAGGAACCATCGATAGATAGGGGTAATAGATTTAGAATTTGAATAGATGTTTTCTTGAGCATTTCTTATTTTGTAGTATGATTCGTTATTGTGATCAAAATACAATTATTTTATATTCAAAATGTCAGAGGAATGGCCAAAAAAATAGATTGATAAATACATCATTGTGAATAAAAAGTTAGGAAGCGGTGCTTTTGGTACTGTGTATAGAGGATTTAAAAAAAATGATGAAACGAAGCAAGTTGCTGTTAAGGCGATATCAATTGCTGTATGAAAATAAGAATATGGATTGTAGAGTATCAAAGACTCATCTAAGATGGTGGAACACATCAAAAGAGAGATCTCCATTTTGTAATAGGCAAATAATCCTCATATTGTTAAATTGTTTGATGTTGCCAGAACACCTCACTATTTGTATCTATTTTTGGAATATTGTCATGATGGCGATTTGAAGAAGTACTTATCAACAAAATACGGCAGGAGATTAAGCGAAGTACAACAATTTTATATATATTTTAATTTCATAGGTTGAGGCAGTCATCTTTCTGAAACACCTGGTAGAAGGATTCCGAACCCTGCATTAACTAAAAATAATTCACAGAGACATCAAACCAGCTAATATCTTGTTGCATAAAGGGGTAGCTAAAATTACTGATTTTGGTTTTGCCAGAGTCATCGACACTGGAATGAATGGTACAATCAACAATTAAATCAAATAGATCCTGCCTATTTTTCGAGAGTAGGATCTCCCTTGTACATGGCCCCTTAGATATTGGAAGGACAACCGTTTTCCTCTAAATGCGATGTATGGTCAATGGGAGTGATGCTATTCGAAATGCTCTATGGAAAGCCTCCCTGGGATGGAGACAATCAATACAATTTGCTTTAGAATATCAAGAAAAATATATTAGTTATCCCTGATGCTCCAGTGCGAAGTGATAAAATAAAGGAACTATTAAAGCATATGTTAGTAGTTCAAGAGAAGGTAAGGATATACGGAATTACTATTTTTAGGAGAGATATTCTTGGGAATAAATTTTCAATCATGAAATAATCCAGATCTAGGAAGTTCAAATAAAAAATAATTTGGAGTAATTGTTGAAGGAGAAGGACGAATTGTCACGTTCTGAGAGTCTCAATAAATTATACTTAGAAATGAATCTAGTTATCGGCTATTTAGACTAGCCTGAGTAGATTCCTTAAGAAGCATAATCTCCTCAACTAACCCAAGGTAATGACGAGAAACAGTCCCTCGATGATGTCGACCATGAAAAAGTATCTCATTTATTTATTCCTTTAAAGGGGTTGAAAATTATTAATTAATATGAGACTGAATAAAAGCGTAGAAAGGCCATGTTGAAATACAACACATACTTTTTGTTTGAAAGAAACATTGCTTTCTTCTTCAACTATGTGATCCAAAAAATAATCAAGATGTCACATTAAGGAGTGCTTAAGTTGACTCAAGAATTATATTATTCAACCATCTTTTGTATTTCCAAAAATCAGAATGTACACCTCAAAAGAATGCATGACCAATTAATGTCCACCAATCCCGATAAATTTGACAGAGAAACTTGGGGTAGGTACTTAATAAGTTAAGAATATAAGAAAATATTAACTGTCACCAAGAATGACATTAAACATACTGAGGATTTCTATCTGGAAATTTACAAAAAGGAATAACAAATTAATGACAAAGAACTGACTTAACCTGATAACAAAAGGGCTGTCAAAATAAAATAAGTCTTGGATGTAAATTTCAATTCAAATACTTTCTTCTAATAACTGTATCAACAAGTTGTACAAGAATGCTTAGAAATTATTAAAACTTATATTAAATAAACTAAGGATTCTGACCCTTCATATAAAGATTTACTTTTATTGGGGTGGTTTTTTGTAATATGCTTGAATCCATACTTAGAATTTAAAGATATAAATATGGACTTTAATTAATTTTACGAAGAAATGCAAATATTAACAGAAACATAATTATTAGAAAAGATCGGTAAGCGTTTAGATTTATGAAATTTTTATAATTAAATTAATCTATGAAAATATATTCCCTCGACTCTTTTAATATCATTAAAAACTCATATTTTATCGACTTTATAGTCCAACGTTGTTTTGTTTAAAAGTGGCGACATCAGCATTTTTCATGGCTTGAGTGTTGACATTAAATTAAGCTAGCTAAGTTTACATTCTGTAAGAATCAGACTAGAATTACAAGGGGTTATTGATATTTTGCGGATTCAAGGATGGCTATTGAGTCTAAAGAGTTTGCAATTTGAATGTAGATTATTAAGAAAATTATGGTATTGTTTATAAAGATTCGCCTGATATTTATTATTTTTGAGTTTAGGTCACATTTGAAAAATTCGATATTTAGAATCTATTACTGTCCATAACTTACGTTGTTTATTTGTATGAGTTAAAACCGTTTGAAGGTGTTATTAAAGCTGTTGCTAATCTCTAATTTTAAGGCTATTATACTAGTTATGTTTAAAGTGGTGCAACTACACGTTTTTCCACCTTTAAAGAATCGGGTTATGTACTTTTATTTAGAGTAAAACCACCAACAGACGGAGCTGGAGCTGGATTTATATAATTAAATTAATTTTTCGGTTAATTAATAGTAAAACTACCAAATTAAGGTGGTGGCATTTTTTGACCTATTAAGGCTTATGACTGATCAACAATTTGGAATTATGTTTAAAAACCCATTTAAAAACCATTTTTTTGAACTGGTTAATCTTGTTTTAATTTCCCTTCTTCATATTGAACATTCTTTATACTGTTTTAATTAGAAATATTGCCCTCTCCATGTTATAAGTTTTTTTACCAACCTCCTTCATATATTAAGATTTTATTATTTTGTTTCCACATAAATTATCCTTTTCCATGTCTCAATCCGTTCTCAAAATTTCCTTCATACTCTTAATACATCATTTAAAAATCAAGTTTATAGGCTAGCATCTTACCAAAACCTTGGATTTCTTCCCTAACAAATTATCCAAAGAAGAATTAACCCTCATTCTATGAAATCTATTCAAACTTTACTCCATATATAAAAATATCACAATCAAAAATTCCATAATAAATTATATCCTTCTTTTTGAGAATACCTTTACCATTTTTGAGATCAAAAAGGTTGATATAACCTTAATATTTACTCTGCTCTTTCTCATTAGAATCACACTTTAATTCAGTTCCCACTTTTTAAAATTCTTTTGGAATCTTAGATAATTTACTATCAATCTCAGCTTCAATAAACTTCTTTACATCTGAGAATTATTGTTTTTAAATAATCTCCTACAAATAATTAAGGAATATTTCTTTAAACTTGTCATTTTTATTTTGCTCCATAAATTAAATTGGATTTGATATATCTAACTTATTGGCATTCAAGAAATTCAACAACTGGTTAGCCAATTTATCCATTGTTTTTCCCTTCTTCTAAAAAAAGGTTCCCAAAAAATAGAAGTTCTATTAGGTGTAGTTATTATTTTTAATAAATAATAAAGCATCTTCCAGATGAGGTTTCATTTACTTTTCCCAAAATTTTAATTTCTCGATATTCTACCTATATTAAATGACCTTAGAATAATGAGGGAACTCTTTCTTAAGTTTTTCTTCGTACTTTTTAAGGAACTCATCTTTTTTTAAATATTTTGATTTATTCTCTTTTTTATCTTTCAAACAACCCTCACACAAAGCATAACTTGATTAGATATCCTCGATCTATAAGTATTCTACTTCTTTCTTACTACATCCAAAGCATTTAGTATTATCTGTTTTCATAATTGAATTTCTATTATTTTTTTTTTAAGATAATTTTATTGATGTATTTATATATAATAATAAATCATATATTTTCTTATTTAAAATTGGGGTCCTCTTGTAGAAGACCAGAAATTTAGCTAACCATGTTCTTCTAAGGTTCTTGATTAGAATCTTAAGAGTTAGGGGATAACTTCCTGAATTCACTTTCTAATTTGTTTTGCATTTGCTGATATTTCTCACTGTTTGAAGAGGGCACATTTTTCTCATTATTGTCGCCTTTGTCATCTTGTTATTAAGCCTTTGCTGCTTATTAAGCATTCTTGAATTGTAACCTGAACACATTCGACAAATTTTCAGGGATACTCTCATCAATTTACAATTCCTCAATATAGCCTGTCTCGACTCTGAATAACCATCCATGTATCATAACAGCTTGAAAATTAATAAAAATTAGATACGATGTCCATCTTGCCAAGATTTCTAGACTATTGGATTCTTCCACATATTAAGCACTTATTCTCTGACATTTAAGCATGATAAACATGCAACTCGGTCATTCTCATCCTAAAATTGATTCACAAGATGTTGATTCTTCTCGTACACATGTTTGATATTATTGAGCCAGAGGTCTAATAAACCACCTACTGAGTCTTAATTCATGGCTGCTTTTACTCCTCCACAGAATGTATGACCCATAATAATGATGTTATGGACTTTCAAATGTTCCACGGCATATTGCACCACGCAATTTAACTAAGGTTAAGGGGAAACACTTACATTCAAATCTGTCATATTAACCACGTTGGCTATGTTACGATGGATGAAGATTTCTCCTGGATCTGTCTCTGTCAATTCATTTGGAGGAGCTCTGGAATCGGAACATCCGATTAACAGATATTTTGGATTCTGGCCCTTTGCTAACTTCGAGAAATAGTCGGGATCTTCGGCTAGCTTCTTTGCCACATAGTTTTTGTTTCCCAGTATAGCCTTTGTATACTTCTAGATTTCTGATATTCCATTTTAAACAACTTGATTTTGCATTATAATTTATATTTTTTGGATATTAAGATGCAATTTATAAAATTCATACGTTAAATCAGAACTTATAAATTCTTACTTTTCTGACGTATTATTATTTTACTCTTACATTAATAAATACTTTTTAACGTAATACTTTATATTATAGAATATAAAATTTCTAAAAGTTTTAACTGGCTTAACTCGAATGAATTAATTTAAGTCAAAATTGTTAAATTCATTAAACTGAATGAACGCTAGCAACTATAAAATTTGAATTTAGTATGTATTTTTTGAAGTTATTTTTAAACATCAGTATAAATATCTTAAAGCATAAGCTATGCAATCTTGATTTGAATCTTGTAATAGGTTTATATCTCCTTAAATCGAAGTACCAAAAAGTGGTAATCATTCTAACCTGAAGAATTCTCCAGAAAAAGTCTATAAAATGTTTAATTTAAATACAATATTTCAACCTTTTTCTTACATTCCACAGTATTATAATCCCAATCTTAAGGAATTTCATGTATTTGTCATTAAACATACAAATGATAGGTTTCTCGATCCGCTACTTAAGCAGATGTTGAAAATTGATCAATGTGAACTTTATTTGAAGAGGAAAACAATTCTCAATTCTCTTCATTTGGCATCCAATAAGCTTATTTTGCATAGATATTGTTAGATATATATTGAAGACCTAAATCAAGCAGAGGTTGCTTATGACACTTTTTAATTGATTTATTCTATAATATAAAATTTGCGCATCACTTGTTTTGTTATTCATTAGTTTATGTTTGTAGTGTTGCCATCTGATTTAATCATTCATAAATGTTTGAATTACTAAAGGATTTGGATGCTCATTCGATAAAATATATTATATAATATTACCATATTCTTTTTAATAAAACAACTATAGGTTCTCAATGAATCAAATTGATTAAAAATAAACTTTGCCTCCTCTTCGTGTATCTGAAATATAAGAGTTACTTAGATCATCTAATGAATAACATAAAAAGGAAATCATTTCGAGTTATAGGGATACGAAGAAAAGAAAACTAAAAGAAATTGCAGAATAAGAGAAATATAAGGTCATTGAAAGAAAAGGTGTTAATTTTAATAAAGTTTAGTATTCAATTCGCAAAGTAAATTGTAAGGGCAAACGATAGGAAAGACTTTAGATATATTTCTAAGCAAGGAACCAATAATAGATGATTATCTGAAAAGACATATTATTGCTCCTCAAAGAAATTTAGAAAAAGGTCTAAAAGATAGTAAAGATGAGATCTTATTCTATAGTAAAGACTGGAAAAAACTAACTTTTGGATGGAAGATGCTTTGGAGATATTCCTCAAAATAAATTAAGTAAAAAAGAAAAGCAATCTTAGGAGTATTGGAATTAATACAATACATAATTATCTGAATAAAGATATAAAATACTATTGGATTCTCAGACTGGTTTGCAAAAAAAAATCAATTAATAAAACAGACTCAAGGCTTTAAAGATCTTTGTACCAAACAAGTATTCACCTGGACTTTTTGATGATCACCCTTCATAGATCCTAAGTTTCACGTATAAATTACATATTAATTAGTCAAATGCATAAGCATTCATAACCATAAATTTGGAGTCCAAATAGTTTTTATTGTGATTCATTTGATGAAAGTCTAAAGCAATAATAATAATCAAAAAGCATTTTAAAACTCAGTAACACAGTATTAAAAGATCATAGTAAATAATCTATAAAGATTGAATGAATAAAATAAAGAATTGTATTTTTCAAATGTTATTAAACAAACTTATTTATTTAAATCGCTTTACAAGCATCTTATGATTGTGTTAATGTTTGATTTGATTTAAACTTTATTATAGTGATATATTAAAATAGAAGGATTAGCAATTTATAACAAAGAATAATTTAAATAATTATGCTTGGCTACTTCATTAAGAGAAAAGCTGGATAAGTATTAACTTTGGGAGTATAGCTCAGTTGGGAGAGCGTAAGACTGAAGATCTTAATGTCATGGGTTCGATCCCCATTGTTCCCATTTTTTTAAATTTAGATAAAGAATTACTAATTTTTTATTATAATTGTATATATACATATATTAAGAATATTATAAATTGCAAAACTTATCTATAACTCAGTTCAAATCAAAGAAGTGCTAAACCATGAAAAATAAGAGATATAAATTTGTAATTAAATGGAGTTTATTATGATTTTTATACAATAATAAATGAACATCGTTGATGTGTCATTATTATACATCTGGCTGCTCACCTTCGGCTTCTTCTTCTTCATAATATTCTTCCTCCTATCCAGCTTAGGATCTAAATATTGATTAATATATTGTACTTCATCCAATTGATCATGGGTTCACTCAATTGTCTATAATGATTATCTAATTATTCATTAAATAAGAAATCCTCTTTTGATTCATTCTTCCATTCATCAGTATTTTCAAACCATTTAAGCAAATATTGTTCATCGATATAAGAATAATCGTAGAATCCTTTTAAGACTGTTGTGAAATATTTATCATCAATGTTTCGTTTCTTCATTAAGTACTGGATATTCAAAATAATATGACAAGAGGCCAATTAAGGATCAAGATCATTGAAGTATGTTGTTAATAGTTCATAATTTCTTTCAAAGGCCTTAGTAGGATTCTCGTCAAACATACTCTAAAAAATCAAATAGCACACTCTGTCTTTGAGATGTCTATCCAAATTGAACTTTTTGATATCTTAGGTTAACATCATGTCAGCAACATCGTTATCTATTTTGTCATTGACAACCAATCTGTTGTAAGTGTCTCTCAGTTGAACTAAGAAGGCCTCCAATAATTCGGAATCCAATCCTACTTCAGCTGCCAATACCTTCTTCTTTTTTTACTTATCCTCCTTATTTCCAGTCTATCCCTCGCTGTTGATCATCTAAACCTCTTCTTAGCCACTTTTTATTGATTGATTTCCAGGAGGATTCTTTAAGATATAACTTGCTAATCTATGAGCGTTATCTAAATCACTGACATGTCCACAAGAATCGCACTGTCCATAAATAATCTTGCCTCCCTTGATTTTCATATACATCTCTGGATATCTACATTTTTAACAAAGAATATATTTCTCGATGAATTTATCCAATTATTTTCTTATTTAATCGTCTTAAAAGGCGCCATTTATAATACAAGTCACATCGTTGTCATTTTTAAATTTATATGAAGTTTAAGAACCAAATTCGAAACCCAGATATTTCAAAGGATCTAAGTTAAATAAATGTCAAAACATTGATCATGACAATTTAAAGCCTTCGCTATCTCATGCAAATTCATTATGTTGGTCTTGATACCATTTCCTCTACCTTCGATCTTAAGTTAAGGTTTTGGCATCTTGTATCTATAATTTGAGTCTTCGATATACGAAGGAATGTTAACATAGACTGTCTTAATCATTAATTAAATTGTTAAGAATTTTTATTTATTTTAAACTCACATTAAATAATTAAAATCCCCTTATTATGAAAATCTTTTGTAAGAAATATGTATGCTCCCCAATTACTTAACTACAGAAACCTTTAAATTTCAGCCAATACTTCAATTCAGTATATGTAGACATGAGTCTATAAATCCTAAAAACGACACCTATCCATTAATCTCATTTATATCACATTCAGTCATATAATCATCATATTGGTGTGTTCAATTAATTACAACCTTGAATTTGTGATGTACAGTTATAAAATGATCACTTCCTCTGTTTGTCTCTTTATTTAGATCAAAACATCTAAAGATTCTATTAATCTTAAAGATGTAAATCACATATAAGAAAGCAGAACATTCTTTTTTTCTTGTTTTAGAAAATTGTGAAATACTGAATCCATTAGAAATAAAACCAACCGTATTAGAAACTTAAATTGATATTAATTTTGGTGAGTGATAATAAACATTTAAAAGATAGCCAATCAATTTACAAACTATATATTTGAAGTGGAATCTATTAAACAAAGCAAAGGTAATATTTAATTCTAATATTTTCAAAGAATTTATCTATTATAATCTTTCTACCCTCAATCTAAGGTGCTCATAAAAAAGTAAAATAATTATTTATTTGGTTTAATTAATAAAATATAAGAACATATATAAATAAGATTAATCAAAATAAGTTGCAAATAGAAATTAGTGATCTGAACTCAAAACCTTTATAATTTACTTTGTCTCTAAATTAATCATTAAAAAACCTTATAGTAGAAGTTAGACGTTCTTTCATTCTTAAATGAGAGCGTAGGAATTTGGGATATTTAATGGTTTCTTATTTTATGCATTCCTCTGTTTTATAAGCACCAATTATACAATTAGACAATTTTGTAGATGCAATAATCAAGGCAGAAACAGAGTCTGATTGAAAAAGGCTATCTTTTTTGAGAAATGAAAAATAGTACTCTCTTTTATTTTGGTACACATTCTGCTTAACTAGGTTGATGAGTATATTCAATTATTTGAGTACTAAATGAATGATTGTTTATGATATTAGTATGATTGCAATTGGCATTAAAGCTATGATTATCATCATGTTTTAGACTGCTTTTTATTGCAGCTCCTTTTATAAATTAAAGTGTTCTTCGCTCTATTATTAAACAGTATTGGTTTCAATGAGGACAATTAAAATTAGTGGAGAATCGGCTAATTAGGTTGATTTTATAATTAAATTATCCTTCACCTTTGTATTATATCTGCATAGGATTTCAGTACTTTACTAATTTTTGCAATTATTTTGAAAGGGTAATCCATTATGGTTGTTCATTATTTATATAAAATCATTTGTATTGAACCCAGTGATGTCAGAGTCATTGAAGTAGTAAACCGATAAATTCACCTAATTATAAAGCAGTGAATAAAATATTTTGCCTTAATCATCAATCACATAAAGTGTAGTATTTTCGTTAGAATTCGAAGCCACCGATGCATATCCAAAATCTATGTCTTTGGCAACCATCCCTACAATTTTATCCTTATAATCAACTAAGGAGATCATCATAGGTATTCTAATCTTGCCTGATACTACTTGATATGGGCTTGCAAAATAAAAATTATCTGAGCTAGAATCATTTGATATTTTTTATTTAAATTCAATGTAGTAAGGTCTTTTATTAGGTAAGAAGCTTGTTGGAAATGGTATTCCTGTGGTGATGCAGTAGAATAGTGATTCGTTATCAAGAAAATAATAGAGAGGAGCAGAATTTGTGTGATCTAAAGCAATTCGAAATGAAGTTAGTATAAATGTTAGCGCAGTTATGCTCTCCGCTTCCTATGCCAACTAGTTGTTCATGGGAACTCCAAATATTCCACATGTTGTGGAAAATTTAAAACAGAAAGAATCAACTTCCGTTTTATTGTTTAAGCACATATGAGGATTTTCAAAGTATTAGTCTTCTTAAGAATTGTGTTCTAAATAGTCAAAGTATTTATATATTCTTCTTGTCGAGTAAATCTATCTTTAAGTGAATTAAAACATTCTTTCCATGCTTTGTTTATAAATCCAGATGTTGTCTAGCTATTATGAAGTTTGCTTTATAAATATTTCATTTGATATTGATTTTAGATTATCTTAAATGTAGTTTTGAGTTTGCGAGATCGTCACTATCATAATTGTAAAAATTATAGTCCATATTATAAACGATACCATTAAAATTTGGTTCTTCATGGTCCAGTTTCTGTTTATATAACAAAAATTGAGAGTTTTCAATTTAGTTAAAATCATGAATTAATAAATAATATATGCTTAATTTATGTTGAATTCATAAATTAGTATCTATATAAACTGTAATATATTAATATTAAAATAAGCAGCCAATTTGACATAAGTTGTGATTAATTAATAAATATATTTGTGAAATATTAAAATAAAACAGATTAATCTTGATTTAAATTAATGTTTAAATCTTTTGTAAGAGCGTGGTAAGTATTTTAGATTTTGATCTATAGAAATACTTTGAGAATCCGATTAATTGATTGTATAACTGTACAAAATTTAAAAACTATTTAATTAAGAGGAAACATCTTTTTTTGTTCTTCCTTAGGAATAGAGTATTTATTTGGTAACTATTTTTGAAATTGAAATTAGCCTGTAAATAATGAGTTAAGGTTTGAAAGTGATAAACAAATTTTAGAACTTTTCATTAAATAAATGATTACCTTAATTTATGAGCTTTAATTAATATATATATATATATAATACAATTCATTTTCCATCAGTAGTAGTTTCATCAATTTGTTGATCCTTTTAGGCTATTAATATATAGATTAAGATAATACAATTGAGGTAGTATGAGATAGAGCAACCACTTTCTTGTATAAAGGACTCAGCTTTTGAATAATCTTTATTGCAATTATTGAGTATTATGACCACATCTTCATCATTTGCTTATGGAAAATTAAGTTTTAGCTTTTCATAGAGTTTCAAAACTATAATCAATTATAAATGTTACTTACATTAATCTTCATTTCTCTCATAAACTCTGATTAATCGGACTTTGACACTGGATTGTTAGAATACTTGCTGCTACCTGTCTTTACTTATTTGAACTTGTTTGAGGCATGGTATAGGTCTTTTTGCAGGGCATTGCTTAATTTTATTCTTTCTTTTTTTCTATTGCTTGGACAGATGCTTTTTTGGCTTTTATATAATTTATTTTGGTAGAGGAGGAGGGGGAGAACTTTCACAATCGAAAAGTTTGCCTGATGCCTCGAGCTAATCTAGGTCCAGCATTTTGGTTATTTGTTTTAAAGTTTAAACACTTTGAACTAGTTGTGGAGGAATAGGCTTGGGGATTTCCTATTTGGGTGTACTTTCTTCATCATCAGAAATAGTGATATAATTTAGTTGCTAAGCAGGTTATTGTGCTTGATGGAATGTATGTTGTCTAAATTGTGGGAGTTGGTTTTGATATGGAAGGTAAAACTAATTGTATATTGCTTAGTAATCCATTTGCATATATGGATACTGGGAATAGGGAGTTTAAAGGTAATGGGGATATGAATACATCAGAAATTCTAAAGTGATTTTGGTTTATTAATTTATTTTAATCTGAAAGAAATGCAGGTTATTTGTTTAAAAATCTTATTTTAAAAAATAAAATCAAATTGATTAAGTTAATATCAATCACCAATAAGTTTCATAGTTTCCACGAACTATGAGTCATTCAAGATTTCAGAACTTAAGTCTAAGATACTGAGATCCTAGTTTCTAGATTTGTTGAAAATCAAGATGTCCCTTTATTGTTGCATCATTTAAATTACATAAGATCTTATTTATAGAATTATTCCTTACTATTTGAGCAAAACAACTAAACGAACAGTAAGTGACAAATAACGCATAGAAATTAGTGAAATTCCAAAAAGTTCATCATAATGTACTTCTTATTGCATTCTTATACAAGCTATGATTGATAAAAAACACATAAATCGAAAATATTCCAAGCTGCTGTGAAGAATTCCTTTTATTAGTGTTAAAATATAAAATATAAATTATAATACTGCTCCTACTTTTATAACTTTCAAAACAATATCAGCACAAATTGACAAAGTCAATAACCCTTCTAAAATAAACACAACTGGGTTCTCGAGACTCTTGATATATGAAATAAGCTTTTTCTTTGTTTCATCCAGAATTACCTAATATGAATTAAATTGATTCAAGTTCTTACATACACCAGGAGCATTGTTGATAGAAGACAATACAATAAGTATCATATGTAACTTTATATACTTGTAATTAAGTATTTTGAATTCATCCTTATTATTCGTAAAATAAATTAATATATTTTTTTGAAGATTTTGATTTCAGTTTCAAGTGATCCTGTTTCATGTTTACATGGATGTTTGATTGAAATAATCAATTTTAAACTTTATCATTTTTTCAAAACAAAGTAATAGCCAATTAATCTTCAATAATACTGTTCCTTTACTATTAAAAAAACCATTAATTAATTATAGAAAAATATACATACAATTTAAGACTTTCAATGTTATTATTTATTATTACTATAATTTTCATAAATATTTTTTTGTAAAATTTCAGAATATTTAGTTCTTAATATCTCTTTTTGATTCATTAGCCATCAATTGTAAACATCAATATCGCTGGTTAAGGAGTTATGCAATGAACTTTAAATGAAACAAACAAGCCTTAAATAAGCACATAAAGTTATCTATTAAAAAGTAAGTCTAAATTCAAAAAATATTGCCTAATGATTAAGTATAAGGTGATTTATAAATTAATTGTGTTTAAATTAAAATTAACTAAAATTTTTGATTACATATTCAGAGAAAGTAAAAGAAAAGGGTTTGGTTCATTTTTAAATATGTATCAATAAAATCCAAAACTTAGATTTCTAATATCTCTAATTATGATGTAGCTAAATATAAGATATTTGATCTTATTGAACTAATATAGAAAATAAACATAAAGTTAACCGTAATTTCTATAAAAGATTTAAATAGAATCTCTCCCTCTTTAAAACATAATATTAATAATTTTTGAATTCAGATTATCCAAAATTTAAAAGATAAAATAAATAATAAAACACTTAACCGATTTTCATTAAGGGTTTAATTAAAGAGGGGTCTATAATGTGACCAAATATTCGATAAACACTGTGAATGAAAGAAAACCTTAGGAAATTTGGAGCCAAGTGTGCAATCAAATATTCTTAGAGTAAAATCATCCTAATCATGCCCATTTTTTGATTTAGAGTGTTGGATAATTGAGAAATGAACCATGGCCTGGCATTTAAGTTAAGTTTAGGTAGAGAAAATATTCCGTAATAGTAAAATAAAATAGAGATAAAAATCAATACAGTATCAATTACTTTAGAAGAATAAATATTTCATAATACATAAGAGGATGCTTGAATTACGATTGAAAATTATGTCTATGATGTTATAGTCTTGAATTATCATGGTCTAATCATGTTATTTTTAGAAAAACGGGGATGATGAATCTGCAATTCCTAAAAGGCTTAGGAAATCATGAGCGAGATATTAAAAGGTGGGATAATAGAAAATCTATTAATATAAAGACAGGTATGAGCCAAGGACTATATTATAAATCTCATTTAATAAACTAAATTCACAAAGTTAGAATTGACTTATAGTCCAATGATGATGCTGGCCATAAAATTAGCAGTAGATGTATGATCTGAAGTGTGATGGTGTTGAGTAAAGATGGAAATAAATTGTTGTATATAATTTTAAACTAAAATCACGCTAGCCATTAAAGTTATCACTTACTACTTTAATAATCATTTTTGGATGCCGAGCATAGCAAGGTAATCGCTATTTACTTTAATAAATTTCTATAAATTGCATCAAGAGTAGAAAGTACTGTTTTAATGTTCAAAATCTCAACTTTAAACTTTAGTAAGGAGAAAACCTTGATCATAATTTTTCAAATACATCACAAAAAATTTTTACAAGTTCCAAAATCAATATGATAATATAAAATTCTCACCTTTCGAACAAATATTTTTATCTCCAATTTAAAATATTTGTTAGTACCTTTCTCTACTTTTGAAATATATTTTTGCTACCAAAATTGCCCTCAATTATTCCATCTAACTTCAGATTGATTTTAATTTCTACAAAACTAATCACCTTCTAAAAGTCATCAAGAAACTTTTATCAAAAGTTAATTTCAGTAATTTCCTTTTCCATTTAATCTACTCTTTCTAACTTCATCCAATAAAAGTTGTTTTAAATATAAAAAATATTATATATATCTTATAAAAAATTTTTATCTATGAAATATTAGATATAGAACTGAATTGAAAGATATAGATAAATGATTTTAATTTTTTTTAATTAGTAAAAAATAATCATTATGGCAATGGAGTTAATGTATTATTTCTTTAATTCTATTAATTCTAATTTTAATTAAGCGATGTAGCCTAAGGTTATGCTATACAAATAGAAAATTAAGGGCATACTTGGATTTGATTGATATTTATTATAAACTGCATTAGCTTCATTAAATCTATTCTAATTTATTACAGTTATTGCTATGTGAAAATAAACCAAAATAATATACATTGGGAATAATAATAATCTGGATTATCTGGGTTTTGTTAAATAGCTAATTTATAGCATTCCAATGCTTCTTCAAATCTTGACATTTCTCTTAAAGTTCTTGCTATTTGTAGATGGAGAAAAATACTACCTTTACAATATAAATAGTCAGAATTTAATGGATTCAAATTAAGTGCTAAATTAAAGCATGACAATGATTCTTATAATTTTTTCATTTTAAATAAGACATTTCCTATAATATAATCTGCTGAAATTTATACCTTTGAAATTATAATAATCTGGGTTTGCAGGGTTGATATAAATGGCTTTATCATAATTATTTAATGCCATCTCTAATCTATTCATATTCGTTAGAGTTATCGCTATTTAGTAATTAAAAAAATTTTTACCTTTGCAAAAATAATTATATGAACTTTCTGGATTTTTCTAAATTGCATAATCATAATTTTCTAATGCCTCTTCAAATCTATTCATATTCGTTAAAGTAATCGCTATTTAGTTAGTAAAATAAATTTACCTTTCTAACAATAATTATATGAACTTTCTGGATTTCTCTAAATTGCATAATCATAATTTTCTAATGCCTCTTCAAATCTATTCAATTTCCTTAATGTTATTGCTATCCAGTTAGTAAAATACATTTACCTTTCTAACAATAATTATATGAACTTTCTGGATTTCTCTAAATTTGCATAACCTAATTTTTCTAATGCCTCTTCAAATCTATTCAATTTCCTTAATGTTATTGCTATCCAGTAAGTAAAATACATTTACCTTTCTAATAATAAATATATGAATTTTCAGGATTTTTCTATATTGCATAATCATAATTTTATAATGCCTCTTCAAATCTATTCATATTCGTTAATGCTGTTGCTATTGAGTTAGTTAAATATATTTTTACCTTTGCAAAAATTGTTTAATGAATTTTCTGGATTTCTATGAATAGCTTTTTCATAACTTTCTAATGCCTCTTCAAATCTCTTCATTTTCATTAATACATTTCCTGTTAAGAAATACATAATTAATATATACCTTTACAGTTATAATTCATTGAATTTTTTCTGTCTCTCAAAATTGCTAAATCACAATATTATAATGCCTCTTAAAATCTATTCATTTTCGTTAAAGTTATTGCTATTTAGATAGTAATATACATTTTTACCTTTGCAAAAATAATTATATGAATTTTCAGGATTTTTCTAAATTGCTAAATCGAAATTGTTTAGTGCCTCTTCAAATCTATTCATTTTCGTTAATGTTATTGCTATTAAAAAATATAGAATTAATTATACCTTTGCTATGATAATAATCTGAATTTTAGGGGTCTCTCTAAATTGCTAAATCAAAATGTTCTAATGCTTCTTAAAATCTATTCATTTTCCTTAAAGTTATTGCTATTTATCAACCAACTTATATTTATACCTTTGCAATAAAAATAATCTGAATTTTCAAAATTTCTCTAAATCGCTAAATCATAATCCCTTAGTGCCTCTTCAAATCTATACATTTTTGTTAATGCATTTCCTGTTAACAAATGTAAAATTAATTTATACCTTTGCAATTATAATATTCTGATTTTTCGGGTTCTTTCGAAATTGCTATCATACAATTTTCTAATGCCTCTTAAAATCTATTCAATTTTATTAAAATTGTTGCTATTTAATGAGTATAAGGCATTTTTACCTTTGTTATAATAATTATATGAATTATTAGGGGTTTTCTTAATTTCTGAATTATAATATTTTAATGCCTCTTCATAATCTTTCATAGAATGTACTGAATCTGCTAAAAGGATTAATATTAATTTATACCCTGGTTAAAATATTCACTTTAATCCAATGAGTAGCTCTATGTATTTAAATTATTAAAATTTGTTGAAAGAATTCCTAGAAAGTCTTAGTTATGTTCTTATTCTTACTATTAAATTATATTAGTGAAAAACAATTCAAAATCTTACAAATCAACTAGCCCTTGTTAAAAGTCTTATTAATCATTAATCTATTCTACTTCATACATAGATTGAATCCTTGCCTATTCTTAATTTATATCTATCTCTTAGTTCTGAATTAAATAATGAAGAAATTAAATTGTTTGTTCAAATAACTAGAACTCAGTCGAATTTTTAAATTTACCCATTGCTGGCTTCATTTAATTCTGACGATGAGTTTTGATTATTTTTATTTTTTCAATTATGATTTTTGGATCAATAAGCGGAGGTTATTTTTAGATTAGAGAGTCTAATTCTTTCAAAAAGCTGTATTCAATTATTGAATTATTTAAATCACTTATCCAATCCTTTGAAAAATTTGCTAATAACTCAATCCTTTAAAAAATTTTGGTTTTTAAAGCATCAATGCTTAAATAAATTTTTTCAATTTCTTTAATGTGAGGTTAGATAATTTGATAGTAAAATTAGATTTTTTCTCTTTGTTATCTATCAAATTTCTATTTTAGTTACTCATAATCCACAATCTTTGCATTATTGGGATTCCTTTTGCTACAAGACCTACATAAAAGCCTTTTGTCACTTTATAATTGACGGTCAAGAATTATAAACGCAATTTTTTGCTAATGCTTTTTACATACCAAATCGCTGTCTTTTTCTATTAATTTTGGTTCTAAAAATTACATTAAATTAAATAATTATATAATTAACTATTTCTCACTTTAAAGTTATTTGTTTAGAAACATTTTACTCAATTACTTCTTTCAATATGAGTAAAATATTTAATGAAGAGTATGCTGCTTGGGCCTTTGTTAATATATTAGAAATTTGCAATTTTACTCAATAATTTTGTACAGAGGATGTATTAAAATTGAATAATCTCAGCAAAGAAATCAAAACGATTAGGTTGCTTTATAATCTAATTTAAAGTTCTAAATTACTAATTTTTAAAATACCAATTATAAACATCATCATTGCAACTGAAGATAGATTGGTGATTTTGGAATTTTACTATTTCTAAAATTTTTCACAATCGGTATTGATATTTTTCTAATTGGATCTTTGATTTTTTTATTGATATTTTGTTTCTAATAATTATTCCAAATTTTCAATCCTTTTATTTTCTATAGATACCAATAAACATATTTAAAAATATGATGAATTTTTACTAGCTTTAATAATTTTCAGACTGACTATCATAATATAAACAATGCTTTTTATAAAATTTAATCAGATCTCCTATTTAAGAAATCATTAAATAAAACAAATATGTGTAAACTTCTACCTAATATAAATAATTTATTATTATCCGTGTTTGACTTAAATAATACAAATAATTCTTATCTCTAAGACTGTAATTCAGGTTAAGAATAAGAATTTTGGAGTTATGCCTAATTTTCAGACAAGAAATGGCAAATATTTTAGTTTAACATTTATATTTAGTTAATGTGCTATTTAAAAGTTTTATTGTTGTATTTATTTTAATTTTTCAAAATTTTGGAGCCCCTTAAATTAGAGTAAGGGGTAGAAACTTTTTAAAAGCTATATGATTGATTAATTGAGCATCTCCACATTTATGACCAAGAAAATATAAAGTCAAAAAAACTAGACAAGACATTATTTTCACTGAAAGAATGGATAAGCTTGATTTCTCCAAAAGATAATTTATCATTTACGATCGCCAAACTTATCATTTTTTGGTTGGTTAGGTGATAAATTTTTTGGACATTTTATTGTTTCACAACTCACTTAAACTTTAATATTCTTTTGTTAGTTTAAAAAGAAGGTTCTAATTTAAATTATTCATAATCTTTATTACTATAATTTTAAAGTAGTTCCTTTAGGATGATTCGGTTGATTTTAAAAATAATGCAGATGAATTTTATCTAAATAAATTTCTCCCTTAAAATAATTTTAAATCAATTTATGCTTTAACTTATTCTTACTAAAGAAATACCTTATGAAATAGTAATTCCTAGTAGCTTTTGGAAGTTTCTTATATCTCTTAGTTTACTACTTTTGATCTTCTCATCATTTTTGAATCATGAATTAGTTTTCATAATTGCTTTTTACACATATAATGATCAATCAATTTATAATCTATTATATGATAAATTCACAAGCTATTTGATGTATATTTTTGAATAAAGCATGATACGGTATTAGCTAGAGGTTTTAGTCTAAGATAATATTTCTCCTCTTGATTTTGTCGAGAAGATTTCTCTTCAAAAATCCTCCCATAATTACTTATTATAATATTTTCAATATTTATAAATCTTTTATATCATCATCTAAATTTAAATATATATATTAAGAGATTCTATTATTCTAGAAAAATTATGATATCCTCTGTTTATAAGAACATATAAGAAATAATTGATTGTATTCATAAATATGATCATCATTAAAGTTGTTGATTTTATAAGTTTACTTAAATTTAAATGATTTCTATTAGGAAGATATTTGGTGGTTAATAAAATTTTAGGGGTTATAAGTATAAATAGATTGTCTTAAAGTGGAATAAAGATAATTTTATACTAAAGAGTGTAATTAATATGTAATAGGAGGGCAATCGGGATGGAATGATATAGGATTGAGTGTATGAATTTGTTTGATAATAATTAAAATTTAAAATATTGAATTCTGATGAGCAAACAAGCAAATTCATAAGACTATGATTGGCTGGTTAAGGTGATTGTGATTGGTGATTCAGGAGTGGGTAAGACAAATATTTTGTCTTAATTTTGTGATGCAAAGTTTTCGATAACTCACATGGCCACTTTAGGAGTAGATTTTAAGATTAAGACCATTGATGTAGATGGAAAGAAGCTGAAATTGTAAATTTGGGACACTGCAGGATAGGAGCGATTCAGAAATATAACCAAAACATATTACAAGGGGGCATAAGGAGTAGAAATAATTATTAAATGTAGGTGATCTTAACATATAGTGTAATTGATAGACAATCGTTTTAGAATGTGGATGGATGGTTGAGGGTAAGAGAAGTTTAATTATGAAAAGTCAATACAAGAGAATACGAATTCGAGTGATGTACAATTGGTGTTGGTGGGTAACAAGGCTGACATGTCTGCAGAAAGATAGGTAACTCTGGAAGAAGGCAAGAAGATGTCTTAGCAATACAACATTCCATTCTTTGAGACTTCAGCAAAGAGTAACATGAACATCAACGAAGCATTCAACAATTTGGCTTTCAGAATCATTTAAACACTATCTAAGATGCAAACTAATGAAGAGAAATAAAACCTCAATTTAAAGCCCAGCGAAGGAAAGGATAAACCCAAATCTGAAGTATTATATTTAGATTTGATTAATAGAGCTGTTGCTGATATTATAAATTTATTAGACAAGATTTACATATATTTTTTTAAGACATCCTCCATGTTATTTTCTTAAATTTAAAGTTCTCAAATTTACATTCTTCATTAATTAATATGCAAGATAAATCGAATACAAATTCAAGTGTCCAAGAATCGTATTCTCCTTAGAAGCCAGCAGAAGGTGGAGAGAAAAAGAAGAGAACCAGAACTCGTAAGTACAGCGATGCTCAACGCGAACACAAGTGTGAGTGTGGAAAGTCATACTTGAGCTATCCTGCCCTCTACACACACATGAAATAGAAACATAATGGGGTTTTCAAATTACTTAATACTGTAGTAATCATTGAAGAACCTGGATGAACAAAGGTTGGAATCAACATTTTCAGAGTCACAAACTTAGGACATCTTTGCCACTCTTGCCAATGCCTTAGGTAAGGAGGAAGATAAATCTCAGACTTCCTTTAATAATGAAGATATGTACGATCTAATCAATTGGGAATTGTAGTTATAAATGATGGAGACCGACAATAAACTTATCAAATTGGATTACTATCGCGAACTTATGAAACCAACGCAACCTGCTGATATAACTACTCCCCAAGATGCATTTATAAGGTTTATTCACGAACTCAAAGGAGTCCTTAGTTATGAATAGATGAAGCTTATCTTTCTCTTTGTGTACTCCTTTCGGAAACTTCTGATCGACTATCCAGACTGTCCTACTAGTGGGTTAGTTGAAAAGGCGAATTAGTTAATATGTTCTCAGTTGGATAAAGTACTTTAAAGTATCCAATAATTATCAAATCGAAATTACATTGTACATTTATGTAGAGTACCCAATCTGAGAGAGGTAATGATCAAAATAGTACTTGGATTTTGTAATTGGCTATATGCTCGTCATTTGACTGATGACAAATTACTTCTGAAGAGCGATTCTGATTGATTTTTTATATCAAAAATAGAAATCATTCTTGAGAAGCAATCTCTCTTCCTCCTATATATGATTTATCATTCTTCTATTTGCTATTAATTATTCTTCCCTTCAATATTCAAATGAATTGAGTAGCCTATATTTATTATAGATGGATCATTAATGTAATTTTGAGGATTTAACTCAGACTCATTTAATTGTTCATACCTTAAACTCTCTTTTAGTTTTCTCTCTTAAATCCATAAAAATGACATCAAATTCTTCAAAACAACATTCCTTAACAAAAATGAGAGCAATTAAACTCCCTTCTCAGTTTTGATATAATATCATTTTTGATAATTCCAGTCACTATACTCTTTACAATACACAAAATACCACTGTCCTATTTAGATAACGCAAGTTTACGAAGGCTTTTCTTCTAAAGAATAACTTTTACCATTATCTACTCAATTTCATCTTTTTTTATCTGAATGTAATCCAATCTAACCTATAGAGTAACTTTTTGTTCAGTATATAATAATCTTAAATTGATGATCTACACTCATTATTGTATGTGTGGATTCTTCCACTTATTCATAACATATGAAATACAACAGTTGTTATGTCATAACTTTAAACTTAAATTTCTTTAATTATTTTTTGATGTCGTAATATTTCGTAATTTACTTATTAAAATGGCTTATATAAAATCAATAATCGAATAATAATCACATAAATGCTTCCCTGATACCATCGAAATTGAAATTATCAATATCTTTATTATACAGAACACCTTAATAATTAGTCTTCTTATTCTTTGTTTTATTCGGTAAATTTGAGTAAATAGAATTCAGAAACTCTAAAAATGATAAATTATTTAGTATAATGAAAATTTATTTTGGGATCAAAGTTGATTGAATAGTAAATAATTTTATATTATTTAATTACTGATTTAAATAGTATTTAAAGTCTAAGACTAGAATACAATAAATTACAAATTGTAAACTGATATGAGTATTTTCAATCAGATTATTTTCATTCTCAGATAAATGAATCAATTTATTTGTCATATTTTCTGATTAGTTCATAGTTTAATTTAAAAAAATCAAATGTTTAAATAGAATTATATTATAAATTCTAAATTAGTCTTCTATTTAAAATAAAATGATGCAATTGTTCTCATTTTAATTATATAATAATTCCATTAAATTCCTCAATGATTTAATAGAGTGCTTCTTTCGTTATTTCTTCTTTTATTAAAATTTAAATTAGAGCTTTTCTCTTTTCTAAACATAAATACTATCAACTTAAATACAGGACTAATAGATTTTTGTATCTATTAATTCTACATGCCCATTTATAAGTATTTTTCTTATTTTTAATATATATAAAATATTTAAATTTTTATATAGTTAGGGCTAAAATAATCAATTAAATTATTCTCCGAAGATTATAAAATAATTAAGCTAAATTCATTTTAAAAATAAATATAATTATATAAGTCAAACCTTTTATTGTATAAATTCTTAGTATCTTTACAACCTTTCTTTGGCATCTATACTTTAAGGATAAGTACTATGAATCTAAAATATTTTATTAATTCTTACCCTGTTCTTATAATTTTGCAACTCTTCTTTTTATATTATGAATTGCTTAGCCAATTGATCTTACTATTCTTAATTTATAGCTTATATTGCTTGCTATGAGGAATCTGCTTATATTTAGTTATCATATGGTTAATCTATTTTCGAGATTGACTATCCTTATATATAATCATTTAATTCAATTTCTCCCATTTAAAAATATAGCCGATACAATTATTCTAGAGAATATAATAATGACGATTGAGGATTATCATCATTTATATTTATTTCCATCTAGTCTAAGATCCTAGCCCTCTATAATATTATTAATCTCCAATTATCTGATTTCTCTGTATCTTTAGCAATCTTATTTTATTATTCGTCCATCTCTGATTTTAGTTTCCTTATTAAGTCTTTCTTCATATTGTTCTAATCAAATTGCTAAGCTAACAAAAGTTGAGACCTCAGTTGTTCAGAGTCCACTAAAAACTTTTTTTTCATCTGATTTATTTTCTCTTTATTAGTCAGATACAGTTGTTTTTCTCTATTCAAAGCAACCCTTTCATCCAATAGAATTAGTTTCCATTTGCGCCTAAATCATTTAGAAATATAATTACATTTATGTTACATTCTCTTCTATTACAACACTTTAATTCATTGACAAATTATTTTAAATATTGATTTCTGTTCCAAAATACTAAGGTCCTGTTTATCTAAACATGTTACTCTAAAACTTTGAATTGTCAATACTTTGATTAGCTGCCAATTACTATCTTAATTCATGGAAACTTTATATCATGCTTTGCATCATTTGTTGTCTCTAATTGAACTCTTAGTTTTATCGTATACTTGACTAAAACTACTATTCTAATAACTCTAATTCTTTTTCAACTTTTTTATCATCCAACTTATATTATTCAACCAAAAATTGCAAACGATCTAATTCAAATTTGATGACATCCCTTTATTTCAATTCATTTTATAAATCATATTTTGAAATTACAACATTCAAACTTGTTACTTTCTCTTCCATTTCCCCTTTTTTTCTCTTCATCTATTTTATTTCTTCTTTCAACTCTTATATGAGACTTTTTGTTTAATTAATATCCATACATAAGTCAATCTCCTTTCCATTTCCCAATATTTTACCTGTCTTCTTCTCATAATCTTTTTATATCTTCTCTAACTTTACCCTTTAAGTATCCTCTAGCATTCTTTTCATTTCCTGATATTTCTCTTTCTTTTAGACTTCAAAATTTATGAGTTAATTTTGTAACTATTAAGTGAATTTCTCATTTTATTAAGCAACTCTTTTAGCATTCTCTTACTTTTTCTATTCAATGTCTATATTCTTGTATTCAAATATTTAAGACTACAAAATCTGAGATTCACTCAATTCAATATTTTACAATTAATCATTAAATGTTAATTAACTCTAATTAAATTTTGGATCATATTGACTCCTGATCTCCTCCTTTATTGATCTTATCATTCTCTAATTTTCTTCCTATAGATCTACTATTTCAAATTTGTATTCTCTCTTAACTTTATCAAATTCATTAGTTAATTTCCTCTTAATAGCCTCCTACTCTAATCTTAATTTTCTAATATTCTCTTGATCTATTTCCTAAATCTTTTAATAAATTTCTTAATTGTATTCCTTTTTGTATTTATTCAATTGATTTTCAACATTCTTTTTCTTCTCCTATATTTATTTCATCCATTTAGAATCTGATTCAGACAATTCCTTCTATCTTTAATTAATTCTTTTGACTATGTCTTTCTATTGTCCCTGCAATTCCTACTCCAACATTCTTAATTTATTCTTCAATGATCTCTCTTGCTCATACTCATAATTCTCCAAATTGTGTTCTAATTATTTTTATTATATATTTTTTTGGTTGTTTATGCTCTACTCAATTTCATCCTCCACTTTTCTTTTGGCCTTCTTTTTCTTCTCCTCCTAATTCTTGACCAAATCCTCCTTCTATCTCTCATATTCTTCCTTCAATCCAAATAACTCAGGATCTGCCTCGTTCATCAAAATCATCTCCATTTTATTCAATTTTGCCTTGTTTTCCTCTTTCAACTTGTTTACATCCTTCTTCTTCTCCTCCTCGTATTCTTAAGCTTAATAAGCAAACTCTTAATCAACTTGAGATAATAAATTCTGAGTTGCGGAAGGCTACATAGGATTTTGCATCACATAGCCTTTATTTTAGTAATATTCATTAGAGTTCATCATCATAGATTCAGTATCATCCTCTCCATCCTAAGCATTTTATACCCTATATTTTTCAATATCATTTTTGAATTTATTAATCCCAGTCGATTTCTGGCATAAAATATTCTAAATACTTTTTTCTTCTGATTCTGAAGATCAATCTATTTAGCTTCCTCATATTTCTTTGAATAAATCATGTCGCAAGGGTGATCATAAATAATTTCCCCAGTCTTCCTATTTTTATAGTAAACTTAATCGATCCCATTAATCTTCTTAGAACAAATCTTCCATTCATCAGGTAACTTGGCCTTTAGACCCGCTTCTGCAATATCCAAATATTTATTGTCTTCAGGTAAATTCATCCCCAAATGAATTGCATATTCCCGAATTTCTAAATATTACATTAATTTTAACCTTGCTTCGTAGGAGAATAGTCCTCCATGATTTCTTCTTCCAATGTTAAAGTCTCATCATCATCATTAAAACTTCTATTCATTTAATGATTCAAATCGTACTTTTAACTTAATTATACTATATTAAAATTAATTCATAAAATTAATCCGTAATCTCCAATCTAAACTAGATATCTTTAAGATGCCTTTAAAAGAATGGTTGCAACGATCTCTTCATTTAGATTTTTCAGCAGGAGAAAAGAATATAAACTAATGTAAAAAGTCTACTATTTTAAAATTACATTGAAATTATTGATACTTCATTTGATGCCCAAGGGATATAAATTTGGAGCATCTTTGAGAGCTTAGAGAAGGAATCATTAATTTATTAACAAATTGAGTTAAAAAGTTTTTTAAATTTAATGCTCCTTGATTGTATTTACACTTAGAAGTCTCTTAATCCCTCAATATAATGATTGAGAAATTTATTAGCCACGAAAACTTAATACATAATTCATATAAATCAAAATTATCTAAGTTTTTCGTCAAACTTGGAATGTGTTGTGTAAAAGGTTTAAAGCATCCCTTCACTCATTGACTTATGAGTAGATCTTTTAGGTTACAGTTTATAGAACTCACTTTGAGTTCTCTGTTATTGTACATTGATTCTATCTCTTGGCAACTTGTACCTATAGTAAATAACCAAGATAATACAGTTATTCTAATGATCCATTATGTCCTCGATTTTACGAGACACGGACAGGAGGAAAGTACCCAATTTTAGCATTAGCTTTACCCCAATCTTTTGAGTTGAGTAATGATTAATTAAAAGTATCAATAGGATTTCTAGTTTAATTGAAATTTACTAACTTATTTAATGGTTCATTTTTTTTAATTGTTTGGCTTGGTGTCTCAGGTTTGTTAGGTTAGACAAGAAGGTTTTCGAGTAATTTTGCATTTTTAGTCAATATTTTTTCTTATTTAGTATCTATTTTCTATTAGCTAGTTTTATTAGGAGAGAATTTGTTCATGACAAGATGACTTTCATTGAACTGAACTGTCTTTTCGAGTTTAGTATTATCTAAATTCTTTTTTGTTTCTACAGTTTCTTAGGGTATAAATTAGGATTTAGTTTGCTATTAAAATGGTTTACCATTGTCAGTTAACAATTTATATTCTGTTCGAGTTAATCTAATTTATTGCATTTACTTAGTTATATCATCACCAGGTAAAAAGTTTTATCCTGACAATCTATATTGTAGTTACTCAGCCGAATCACTAACTTGATGTCTGATTCCTTCCTTGTATCTCTGTTCATAGATAAGCTTAACGCCATTTGTCATAGAGAAGGTATCATATGGTAATTAAGCTCCTCTGTCAATTCGAAGACCTTTATCTCCAGTTGCATCTTTGGCTGCATCCTTTCGATCTATTATATTCTTATATAATTCACGATATTACTTTATTTGGTATATCTGCTGTTGTTTTTGGAGGGATTGGTAATGGTTGTTAAGTTTAGATGACCTACTTACTTCCCTTTTTGGAATTAGTTTGAGGAATATTCTACTAATTAGTTGTTTTTGGAACATCTTTCAAATCAACCTTAATTTTTAAAGCAGTAGGTTATAATTTATCATATATGACTCCTTTTGATAATAAGATCTTGCCATCATAATCATAAGTGTATTTGTTGGAAGATTACTCTTTTTTCTAAGCTAATATTAATTTTGTACTTAATTTTAGATGATTTCTTCTTTGATTTTCTATTCAATTTCATTCTTCTTCTTGATATCATAGAGTTTCTTCTATCTCAATTTATCAACAAAATCATCTTCCTCTTCATCTACTTGAAATTCAATGAGTCTTATTTCTGAATGACTTGATTTGGGAGGTGCACCAGCAAATGGTTTTTTCCTTTCCAAAATTGAAAATCTTTACCTGTTATTTTTTGAGCTATTGTGTTGGGATGGAGATTCATTTTCAACTTACTATTCTTGATCCTCTGAGAATGACTAACTCATTTCTTCAATGTTGACTCTATTTCTCCTCCAACGATCATAATGTATTACATTCTTTTATTACACTCAATATACATACAGGCTCGCTGTCTTCTGGCATATTACAGCCTTCTATTGTTAAACCATCTTGATTGAAATAACTCGCAACGATCCTTTCCATGATTGTCATTACTTATGCATTGGAACTGATGGGTACTTGAGTTTGTATGAACTAGATAAAAAGTATGGAATACTTGTTCTTCTGCTATTTTCAATGATTGTTTGATGACATAAGATGTTATTTATTTTGAGATGATGAATGATTAGGCGAAGATTCCATTGAATTCAGAAGTCATGGATGAATAAATCTATATTTAAGATTTCCCCTTACTTGTTCCATGTTAAATTGAGGCACTTGATCATCTCCTTCGATGTCACATTCATCCCTTTCTGAAAACTCATCTCCAATTACACTATTGCTCATTATAATTATTATTATAAATTGTATAATTATTTTTAACTCATTCATTTCAAACATATTGGTCTTAGTCAATCAAATTTTATCCATTTTTGATGTTGAGAATATATGTATATGAAAGTATTAATATAAATATATTAAATTGAATGTTCAAAAAATCTATCGGATGTAATAATCAATAGCATTTAAAGTTTTTAAGAATTTCGATATTTTTGGGCAAAATATCCAATTGAATTTCAATGGTGATGATTCTTACCAAACAGCCACAGGAGGTATTTTTTCGATTACGATCATCGCTGTCATTGCCTTCTTTTTCTAACAAAATATTGTAGATTTCTTGAGTAAAAATTATGTCAATTTGGATGTACAAACCTTATTTGATGCGAATCCAGATGATATTCTCTTTAATGACGATAATTACATGTTTGCATTAGCCATTGAATAAAGCAAATTTAACACCAATCCTTACTTCAACATCACTCTTAAATAAAGAATCTATACAAGATTAAACAATGGAACAACAATCAAATAAGATTCATTCATAGATCTGATACCTTGCACTATTGACAGATTTCAAAACATATTTAATAATTAAAATTTCACCGATCAATTTATCTCTCTCGGATTGTCAGAATGGTTATGTCCTCAATACAATTATTCAATCAGATTATCGGGAGGATACACCAGTTAACTATTTTAATTCACAAAAGTAACTGTCTCTGAATGTTCAAATAATACTGACAATAATGAAATCCTAACTTGGAAGCCAAAATGCGCAAGTTCATCTGAAAGAGATGCTCATCTAAACAATGATCGCTCATTCAGAATTAAGATGTACTTTTCTCCTTTTTATCTAATTAGGTATATGACTAACACCATCATTAATCCATTATAACCAAAAAATATATCCTAAGTCTTCCTTGATGATGAACTCTTCTTTTCCTTCATTTTGCAAACTGGAACCGAAACCGATGTCTTTTATTAGAAGTATAATGTCACTACTAATCAAAACATATTCCCCTACATCGAAGATAATCAGGAACAGTTATTCAACATCAAACAACAAGGAGATTTTAGAGTCAACAATGTCTAAAACAGCGGTTCATCCTACTCTGCCATTTACATGAGAAGAAGTCCATACACCTATTAAGTCAAGAGAGATTTTCAAGATTTAGCAGATTTACTCTCCTATTTGGGTGGTTTTGCCAACATTGTTGTCATGATCTTTGGGTTTTTTATATCCTTTTACAATAAATCCTAATGTAAATACTCAATCCAAATTATGTAGTCATGATAGAATTGGCAAATTAAGTGTACGATTTCCCAATTAAAAATATAAATAACATCGATACTCAGTAGAGAAAAGAAATCAAAAAGACCATAGCTAGAGCCAAAAGCAGAACAATTATATTAAAACCAAATACTCAAAATTCATAATTATAATCACCAAAATATAACCAAAATCAATAATTTATTAACAATGATACCCCTAAATAAGATGATTAATGCGTGACAAAATAGGACGAATAGCACACTTTTTAATAAGAGCAAGAAAAAATCATTTAGTAATTAGGTATCACTAATAGAAAGAGCTATTTAACTTAGTAAATTGAAAAGATCTTAAATAGAAGTCGACCTATTTTCTTTAATTGTAGATATATTTTATACCAATTATTCTGTTAAAGGTTCTTCTATGATAGGAACAGTATACTTCTATAAAAGGCTATGTATATCAAATTATAACTATTTTAGTAAAAATATCAATCAAGACTTAGATCTTTGTGTTATTATCGATAAGGTCAAAGAAATTAACTTGTTGAAAGAACTGTTATTAACTGAAGACCAACTAGTGTTATTTGACTTTGCTCCCAAAGAGGTTATCAATTTAGAAGAGGACAAAAAGTAAACTACGAGAAGTTTAGCCAGGAACACTTTACGAAATTTTCACCAGATATCCAGTATTCTTAACACTAAGGATGAATAAAATAAGTCTAATCAATCGATAAATACTTATTATAAGCTTTTTTAGGTGATAGCTCAATTATATTATAGGCTTATGATCGAATGCATTAAGCCTTGTAATAGAATGATAAGATCAATGAAAAATTGATTGGGAAGTTGGGACAAGAAGTTAGAGATATTTTTGAAGTTTCTCAGTTTATTTAATGGGAAAATAACAGGAAAATGAATAGTGAACCTTTGGATGATGAGTTTTAATGCGATTCCGTAAACTCCGATCCTCCATGCATTACTAGTCTAGATTAATTTAAAGTTAATTTTAAATTAAATAGTTGATATTTTAATAATATAATAATGTAAATTTATTTTAGGATCTTTCACTTTCCAATGAAAGTTTATTCTTAAAATATAAGATTATGTACAAAACTAAACTAAACAATTCTGAAAAAAAAGAAATATCTGTAAACTTTCCTAAAACAATGTCTTTTATATTATAATAATAAAAAAAAGAATCTATAGAAAATAATTTATTTCAAGTTAAATAGCTATATAAAATATATTATTTATTATACTATCATTACTAGACTTATTATTAATCTTTTTTTTTAGTTAATACTTTTTTAACCTATTAAGGTTATGCTTATTGTTTAATTTATTATTAGGGATTCTATTTTTCTTCTTTCTCTTCAATCTACTAAGATTATACATTTTGATCTTCTCCATTAGTTTATTTCTATGTCTGCTTTAACTATTCCACTTAAGATTGCAAATCTATTTACTATTACAATTGAAATAGTTTTTTAATTTCTTTTTAAGCCTCATCTTCATTTTAATCAATGTTCTCTTCCTTGATTCCTTGCAAGGGTTAATTGGTGATTAAATTAGGTTATTCTTAAACAAGCTTTTATAGCAATTCTAAACCCTGAGGAGCATCCTTATCTTTTACTAAGACTTTTGGTCTGGTTTCAACAGGTAATTCAACTAATTGTTTGAATGGATTCTATTCTTTTAGTTGGTCATGGCATTCAATGGCTCTGGATTTGAAGTCTGGCTTATAAACTTTAGTCCATAAATCCCAAAACTCTCCTTTATGACATCCTTTCTTGGCAAGATTCAACCTCCAATCTTCACTAGATAGATTAAAGATGTCTGTAAACTTGCAGTTTGAACATGACAATAAGTCATATCTTCCACCAAGATTAGTGAACCCAATGTATTTCTAATCCCATAAAACTTGAACCATAATTTCCTTTTATTCCAGCAATCCAACTACAGTACCATATATGCCAAATGGATAGTTCAAGTTCACAACTCTGTCTCCAATTTTATGAATTGTGGGATGTTTGATAAAGAATGGAGGAAGGAAGGTCTAAGTTGTTTATTAAACTGCAAAGCCAGGATCTACCTTTTCCATAGTGTTTATATTATTATTTTGGATTGGTTTTTTATGAACCATAATTTCAGCAACTTTTGATGAACTACCTTGTAATAGATACTAAGATTCAGGCAATTACAAAATCCAAATATAAATTTTAAGGAGATCAATATTAGGATCAGTAGAGTTAGGAAACAGATCCTTGGCATTAATAGGACAGTTTCTTTAACTATCATTCAACTAATTTAGATATTGTTAAACTCTTGAACATTGGTTTCTGTATTTGCATAGTATAGTAACACATTTTTCAGATAACTCTAGATCTTTGAATTTCTGATACTTAGATGATCCAGTTGCATATTAATCAGCCTAAGGTAATCTGACTAATTCTGGGACTAATTGATTGTTAGTTCTATTAATGATGTTCAATCCAATATCTAATTGGTCGGCAATCTTTGATTCCTTGTCCTCCATATTTACTACTACACTGCCAAGTAAATTCAATAATGTTTTAACAGAACATTGAAGTTTCTCACTAACAATTTGTAAAGAATAATAAATGTCAGAGTGAATATAATCATATCCCAATAAAGTTGGAGATGCTGTGATTTGGACAGTTAATTTTTAATCAATTTGCTTGATGATTCCATTGGCTCCATTTTGCTTTTCATGGAAAATCACAACTTATCGATCAATCTGGAAATCTTCGAAATTTGGGATAATATATTTAATCTTATGATCAGTAAATACAAATTCATAAGGATATACTAATTCTCTATATTGTTCCTATGGGTAACTTAATTGATTATTATTATCTCTGATGTAATGTTTATATTGTTTTACAATCAAAAATATTGTGCAATCTAATTTCATGAATTTCTCATATTGATTTAAGGTTTTGTTTCTTATTTCTTTATATATCTTGCTATGATCCTTCTTGCTGTAATCCTTTAGCAATTAGACTGATGCCAATTTAACTCCTTCAAGTAAGTTTAAATGATCAGGCCTGAGAATAGCTAGCACTTCGCATTATTATTGTATAGGGAAACCACAATAGACAAAGTTCTTATTTTTGATCACATCCTAAATAAATTAATCGAAATCAAATTTAGCCGATTGCAGCTCTAATAGCAAGTACTGATTCTCAAATTTCTTCATATCATCTTCGTGCATTTGTATGTTAACCAATTTCGATGACTTAATGTTTACTACTTGTAATGTAGGAATTTAGAAAGTATTTTCAAATTACTCCATAATTTATTATTATCCACATGCTATTTAGCATTATTCTTTATCGTCAATATCTATAAACTACTTCTTACAACAAGACTTGAAGTTGCTGAAGTGTTTGGGCAAAGTAGATTCGTATATCTATTATTGACTTGAATCATATTGATAGAAAATAGATTGAGCTTATTAATTCCTTTTATCTTGCGTGTCAGGAACTGAATTATATGCCTCTTCAACAATTTTGCAATCCAAAAAAGGAATCTTCGTGATATGTTGATGTTCATACATTGTACCATAGGAATCAGTTTCAAAGTTTTCAGGATAGTAGTCGATAGGAGTTCTGAGGATTGAGTTTTCCTTGTCTGTTAACAATCTACCATACGGTTCAGGTAATAGCTAAGCATTTTCTGGAGTTAAGATACTAAGTAGTTATTTAAATGGAGGATATGGTTCGCCCTTTGTTAATAAGATAGGCTCTTCCTTATCTTATAATTGTTTTACCATGTTTGATACTACTCCAACAAGATCTCCACACAGAGGAGCATAATAATATTTATAATACCATTCCCATGAAGGCACTCCTTTGAAATAATACTATAACACAAAGTAAATTCCTTCCATGTAATTAACACACATATCTCCCAATTTATCTAGATCTAACTCATCATCTTTGGTAATTTAACATTTGGCCTTATAATAAAATTTTCTTCCCTCTGTTTATTCTTGGAGTGAAAAGTATTTCAAAATATTATCAATCAATTCTTTTTCTTTTGCAATCACTTACCTATTTTAATGTTTAGTGTTTAAATAATTAAGCATCTCTTGTTATCTATCATTAATGCACAGCTTCTCAAATCCTTACAGTAAATCAAGAAGACTTATCAATTCTTTGTAATTGATATCTCCTCTATGAACTAGGTAATCATTGGCATTAGTTAGATGATTTTTGAATAAGTCAACGAGAGGTTCTATGGTTCCTATTCTGATGTCAAAACAAAAGATCCTGGGTAGGAAATCATTGCCAACAAAGAAGCACAGCAGAATAAAATCATCAATAATGCGATTAATATCATAAGGAACCTTCATTTTATCCTTCAACACTGCAAATTCCAGATCCAAATACTCTCTTACAATAGAAATATTGATCACAAGAAATTCAGGGATTTTGACAACTCTATTTGCTGCAGCACTGGCAGTTTGTTTGAATTTGAGGTCTTCTCTAATGATGAGAACATTCTTCAACTAAGTTAGTAAGCCTAACATTATTAAATCTGCATCTGCTCCATAAATCATATGGACACTGTTAGGATCGCATTACAAATTACGAATGAAACTAAGTAGCTTATGTTCTCCTTCTCCAGGTACATCACAGCCAGAGAAAATGATTTTGAGATTCTTGAATTTTGGATCTTCAGAGTATTTTCTCTCAATGTAAAATTTGATCTATTGATTTCTTAATATTTGAATATATAATACAATTGTGTCATAAATTCAGTACCAGGACTGAATTGATTATTTTTGTAGGTCTCATTCTTTTGAAATAAACCAATTTATTGAAGATGAGCACTTAAATACTTATATCTCTTTTATGATTGAAACCGTCTCTGACGCTATTAATTCATTTTAGCACGTGGGGCAACTCCATCAAATGCCAAAAACAGTAATTGCTGAGGATTAACTAGGTTGATGATCATGTCCAAATAGTTGAGGATTGAGACCCAAATGTCATCGAAATCTCGTTCTCTCAATTAATCCTTGAATAACACAGTGGGATCAGTTGCACACTTGTAAATGATTTGATTCATATCTAGATAGAAATAATCTACTCTTTGTGCTCGAGTGTGTTCATAGAGACAGAGAGGAAACCTTCTCATGAGCCAAGAATAGAAATTGGGAACACCCATTAATTAAAATATAAAATTTATACGCAAACAAATGTTTAATTCCTACTAGTATGAGAAATAACTTGCATTCACCAAAGACATAGACAAGATAAAGAAAGGGTATCTTAGGGAACGAGAAGTACGCAAAGGTATGATTCAAATAAACAAATAAAGAATTAAACAATCGATACGCTTAGAATTATAAAAAAAGAGTCGAAAATTTTGTTATTAATATGTTGGAGAATCCAATCGTTTGTGTTGACTATCATCAACCTAATCAATCGGCATTCAGAGACGAGGATCCCTCCAAGAATTTAGGAGACCCTCAATTCTATGTCAAGGGTTTCAAACACGAAAAAGACCGTATCTAAGAAGCCCTCGACAAGAATAAGGATCTGGACTTCCTACCCAACCGATAAGTAGCTCACTATTGTTTCCGAGAAAGGGATCCCTCCAAAGACATCAAGCGTGACATTTTTCGATACAGAGATAAAACAAGTTTGGAAAGAATCGAACAGTTCCTCAAGGATCACACGCAGACTCAAGTTGAAAATCAGAAATTCCCAAAAAAGAAGTTGTTTAATGTTGAAACTCTCTCTGACAATATGACTTCTTAAGATCGTAAAGCCTACATCAGTAGATTAGTGGCCAAAAACCTTTTGCCTTCTCTACATCAAAAAACTCATTTCTAAGCTGCCTCCACTATGTACAATAATTTGCCATGTATACTATTTGTCTCTCCCTATCTCTAGTATCCCTTATGGACCACACCAGATCACTACCTTAAATGAAGCAGTTAGACACTGAAGAGAAAAGTAATCAAATCATACTATTTAGAATCTCAACAATAATAGAGAGAAGTTTAGAAGACTGAAGAGAATGATAATAAGGACAATAAGGCCAAGCAAAATAATGAGATGGAAACTTTTAATCCCATTGAAACCTCCAAGGTCATTTTGGAGAGGTGTTAAGTTATCAGGAATAAAAATCCTAAAACTCATGTCATCCACAAAGGGGAAGGTCATCTCATATCCACTCTTGATAAATCCATACAAGAAGTTTACAAAGAAATTTATGGAATAGACTTCAGTGAACCCAAGTTTTTTCAAAAGTGACTCAAATATAAAATTTAAATATTCAACCACTCATCATCTATTACTTCAATAAAATCTCAGTCTTATCTATCAGATCACTTATTGCGTTCTCATATTCCTTAAAAAGAGTCGCAGTATTTTAAACACTTATCTCTTCCAATTGTTGATTTTCAATCCTTAATGAGTTTATCTGTTATTCCAATGAGAGAAGTTCCTAGGTTAATTTTGTAATTTCTAATTTTTATGATTAGAGCAGAGTGGGTGATTGATGACTTAAGTTTTCGTTCTCATCTACTTCGAATTCGCTAACATCCATTTTCCTTTGTATTGTCCGACAAGATTATTGAGATTATTGTCTAGCATCCTGAGCACATTTATCAACAGATAAATATAATGAGGATCTTTTTTTAGCCAATTAATTTTGATATTATTTTATCCCCTCTACTGTAGTTGTTCTGGCTATCACAAGTTCAGAATTTTTAGTCTGAAGTTAATTAATATTAATTTGGATGATCACACTAAAGAATTTATCGATTTCAGTTGAATCAGTACTTTAGATAATTTTATCTAAGATATAGAAAGCACTAGAAAATGTAAGATTGAGAAAGAATTGATTCTTATAATGCATCATAGCTGATTCAATGAACTATTTGGCTGCCATAATTTAATCCTGTTCCAATTTGAACCGAAATTTAACATCTTAAATAGCATCATGCTACATCTAATCGTGATCTTTAATGAATTCCTAAGTCGTTTAATACTCAGGGTAATATTGTTTTGGTATTTTATTATATAGATCTTCTAGTATTTTTAAACAAACATAGTCTTTGCAAAAACATAACAGGAATATTGTTAATTTAATCAAGTATTAATTGTAGCCAACTTTAGGATTACGAGTTACAAAGGTATCAACTACATTTGTAATAGTGACTTCGACGTCTCTATTATTGAATATCAATAAATTTAAAAATTCTTAGATTGAGTAATTCATGGGAGTTTATAATATGGTTTTAACATCTCGTGCAATATTGCTTTATTTAATTTCTTTGTTCAATTTGTACATGGATTTAATGAATTCAACATCTTTGACCCAATACCTTTTGGCTATCTCACTATTGTGATTCCAAGCAAGAAGGGATTCCGAAATTATCTTTCTTATGGTTTCGCAGTCTGAAGTGTAGATAGTTTTATACCTTGCATGCAAACTTTACAAATATTCCTAAACACATCTCTGACCTACTGCAATTTGGAGCAATCAGTACAAATAATTCTATTACAACGTTTGCATTTGGTATCTCTCCTCCACAATATATTGAAGGGTTTCTTGCAAATATCACAACTCATTAATTATATTTAATTTATATGATGAAAATTGTAAGAAGACGAGTTCAAACTTAGAATCATTTAATCATTGATAATTTCAAGTCTCTTTGATCCATACTTAATAACCCCGGCAATTCTTCGACCTCCTCCTCATGCAAATTGACCTTCTTCTTCTTCAACTTGTCCATGATCATCCTGCTCTTATCCACTTGAATGTAATTGGAAATGTCAAAGACCTCCTTAACTTCCTGTCCTAATTTTTCAATGAGGATCTTATTAAATCTATTATTCTTCTCTTCCGATAGAATGACTCGTTCGTAAGCTTAATACAACTTATAATAAATTTATAATCCCGGATTCACAAACTGCCCCTTTTTAAATTTCTTGTCGAACATCATTTTAGCCACATCACTAAACTGCACTCCCAATCTCTTAGTAAAAGCACGTCTAAAATCACAAGTAAAATATACTTGGAATCTCGTCTCCCTGGTAGATGATGCTTAGCACTTAAATCTTCAATAGAGATGACTTCTTTTGGAGCAAAATTGAACAATATCTATTGGTCTCTTTCTAGAAGCAGTTCCTTAATTAAATTGATCTCATTCACTTTGTCGATTATCACACAAATATCCAGATCTTGATTTATCTTTTTTCTACATATTAAAGATACTTAGATTACATAGCTTTATCCAAGAGGATACAATTCTTATCTTAAAACAACTTGCCACAAAACAGTTAATGCAATACGAATTTAAAAGTGAAGACAATCGGACGACTTCTGTCTAGCATCATCTAAATTTGCCTAGTTAAATATTCTTTTCGATTATGAATCCCAATTTTATTAATTATCTATTTGTGCATCTATTTAATGGAATGTTTCATACTCTTTTACTCATGATCATTCTAAGTTTTGGCTTGTCTCTCTTAATTGAATTTGGCAGTACTATTAAACATAGCAATATCTGTTTGATTATTATTTTGAGTGAGATTACAAGAGAACATACTTTTATCAAGACTCTCCCATTCTATTTCGTTGTCTCCTACTGGTTGTAAGTTTACTGCTGAATTCTTGTTATTCGACTTATGAGTTTTTTGATCTGAATCCTATTTGTCATTATGAATGACTAGGGTGCAATCAACTTGGTGAGATATGATAGGTCTGACTGATTGAATTGCGTTGCAATTGATAGATGCATTACCAGGGTTAATCGAAGAGGCAGGACTGCACTTTTAACTAATTATCTTGCTCTAAGATTTAACGTAAGTGATTTCTTTGACCAATTGCTGTCTCTCAAATTTAGCCTTGTTTTCATTTCCAAAGTGAAAATCATAGACCTCATTAGCTAATTCGATGAGATCTAGATGATTTAAAAATGTACATTATTATTTATTGTATATTCCGACAAAGAAGCCTAGTGCAACAAAGACTATGTTCGCGAAACCTCCCAGGATGGAAAGTAGTTTATCTATTTTTTGATATGATCTTGAGATGTAATTGGTATAAGGGGATCTCCGCAAATAAATGGCTGCAAATTGTTCGGCAGCATAAATGCTTTGATCTCTGTAGTCGCCTTCCTATTTAGCAAACACTTCAGTAGTTTCTAGTTCTTCGTTTGTTGGAATTAGATTATTATCAGTTTTCAAAATGTATTTGGTAAAAAATACATCAGTTTCCTTGCCAATTACGTTTGGTACAAAAGAGAAGAATAATTCATCATCCAGAAAGGACTGAATGTATTCATCTCCTTTCTAGGGATTAATTACTTTGTTTGTGATGTATCTTAACATAAAGCACTTATATATATACAGTTTGACTCTAAAGGACCTTTGGTCCATTAGCCATTCATTTACGGCTTCTGGAGAAGCACAGACAGGCTTCCATGTGAAGAAGGAATTAGATTGGGAGTTGTTACTGCACTCATTGACAGCAATTTTGAGGAAGTCGAAATATTTATTTGTGTACCGTCCCTTGAGAGAGAGAGAATAATTAAGCCTAGAATTGAGAATAGAAGTACTATGGACATAACCAAGTATCCAGACCGATTTCCCTGTACTGTTGGGTGAAATTCAATCCATAAGGAGTAAATATATTTTGAAATCTATCCAATTTACAGGGTATCAGATCAATATATTGATCTCCTTTGATGAGAGTGCCGTTTTCCAATCTTTCATAGTATCTGAGATAATTAATGGGACATGTTACCTTTGTCGCAAAGTAATATTGAAAAAGGGATTGGTGTTGAAATTGACTTATTCTATAGCTACAGCGAACATAAAATTCGTTTCATTCAATTATATTTAGTCAGGTTAATCTTCAAAAACTTCGGTTGTCTCACTTTAAATGTTTACTTTATTTATAAAGTCTCTGATATTGGATTAAAAAAACAGAACCACAATTCCTAGAATCATCAAAGTGAAGAAACCACCAAAGGCAGTTTTGTATTCATCTTCCCCATTGAGATTCAACAAAATGTTCTATCCAAATAAATCTATTGACTTAAGCACTTTGATTAGCAATTTAAATTACACTTCACAAGAGATTTTCTTATACTCCTCATTAAATAATATAAATTTATAGATATTAATCACTCTCATTTTCTTATAAGTTAAATTATTGATACAATTCCTAAGCATGAACATGATCCCCAAAACCAATAATATGCTTTGTGTTTGTCAGGCGTCAAGTAGGGCTTCTGAAAGGTGGAATAGAAACTAGGAACAGGATACAAATCTTGAAGATTAATATATCATCCCATTTACCCTAAACTTTAAATAATCCTGCATTTTCAGTAGATGTTCCTATTCTTTCCAAAAATAAATTAGTTGACTTCTCTGGTAATTTGTTCTCTTTTGCTATTAATTCAAGATCAATGAAAGTGTTCATTAGATTTTGATCTGTATTTTTGTCCCGGTGTTCTGGCAATTTGATCATAGCACACATTTCATTTAATTACATGCCTTCCATCGATTCTATTTAATCCAAGAAATTCTCAGGGACCCAACCCAAATTTACTACTATGGCATCATTTTGATTATCTCTTAGTATACCGCACAACATCATTCCTGGTCTCCCATCCTAATATCTGTACACCTTTAGTATGTATTTGTCAAGAGTTCTACGACAATCTTTATTAAACTAACCCTGATGTCTTCACTAGTATATATGAGTATCTTTGAGGGTCCAATGATAGAATATCCTGAATCATCATATGTGATATTGGATGATCCGGTTTGAATTGCTCATCAATCAATTTCCATTTTCTAATAGATTCCTAATAGCGCCTATATTACCAGTTGCATGCAGACATAGCTGTCACCGTAAGACAAGACATCACACCTGTGAACAGAATTCTTTTCATTTTCTTTATGAAATTGCAATATATTAATAAATAAACATTTCAATCCTTAAAGAATTTATATACTAGTTGTGATAAAAAAGAAACACCCTTGTAAGTTTATTCTGCCTCATTTAAATCTACTATTATTACTCATTCTATACCTGTGTTCAGATCCTCGACTATTAAATGCTTCGATTCCCTCTTCAGAGCAGGAGTTGCTTACTCCATCCAATCAAATTAGTAGTCTTCATTTAGCTTTTTCTCCCTCAAAATATTTCTAAACATATTGATCAAGAACTCGTAATCAGGTTTCTATTTATGTTGATTCCACTTGATGTATCCAAACAGATCAGCAAAGGGCAACTGAGTCATTGCCTTTGAATTTATATACTACTCCTTCTACTTTAATGCATCCTCATTGGCTAAGACCTCATTCCCATATTTTTTCCAGGGCAAATGACCTACACTAATCATGTATGGTAATACCATTGTACAAAAACACGAGCGTGTAAGCCAGCATTTCAATGTCATCAAGAAATCGATATTTCTATCTCTTATGCACCGAAATGGGATCATACAAAAATGTGCCTTCGAACTCCAATCGATGTTCTGTCCTACTCTAATCTTTGGCTATTCCGAAATCTATAAGGTATATTTGTGGGTCTATAATAAATAATACATAAAACCTTTAAGTGATTTCACCATTAGGTTAGTAGGCTTGATATCTCGATGCACCACATTCATTTGGTGTACTTACTTTAAGATCTCCAATACCTTTATGGCTATTAAGCAGATGCATTTAAGTGAAAATTGCTTGAATTTACTTTTGATTGTGTGTAAATCTTGGGATAACAGCTCCATGCTCATGAAACTCTATCTTTCTTATTCCTTGAAGTCGTAAACTTTTGGGATTCCACCCACATTTGATAATAGTGTCATAATTTAATATTCTTTTTTTAAGTCAAATTGTGAATGTTTGATTGCGACTTCTTGGTTGGTGGATTTGTCTATTCCTTTGTAAATGGATCCGAATCCTCCTTTGTTAATTTTGTTTTGAATCGAATAGCCTGAGAAGACATGATTTTCTTTTTAAACGCTAAGGCTTCTATATGATCTGGCCATAGTTTAATTATCTTATAATAAATTTCAATGTAAAATCATAATTAGAGGATAGGTCACATTTTATTGATGCACTATGAGAGGAGTGAAATTTACGTATTAATTCGATAATTTATTAAAAACTTCTTCCATCATTTAAATTATTTCCAGCTTGTCTGCTTGTAAAGAACGATAAAAATTCTCAGATTTTAATCAGTAGTTGAATTACTGATTAAGACTGTTTCTTTTAAAAAAATTCAAAGATTTAGTGCACATTTAGAGGTGGCTGGAATCCACTATTTGAAAGTAGTGTAATGCAGTTGTGAGGTCGTTAATTAATGCAAATATAAATGAATAGTTATTGAAGGACATATAAATGAACACAAAGAGTGTTTAAAATAATTAAGATATTTATTTATAATTTGCTTCTTAATAGTGTATGAAATCTTAGAATTCTAAAAAACCTAATCTGAAGATTACACTCAATAAGAAATCGGTGGCATAATTGGTGCAATCAGACAAGCCTCCAAGTTCTAAATGTTCTTAGAAAACAACATCATCGAATGGAAAGGTAAGAATTATGGCGTATATGAATGATTTAGACAACTGCTTCATCCAAGTAGTTGTGTTTCAAATTCCAAGACAACTATTCAACTGCTAACCCATCGGTTATTTCAGAGGGCGAGAAGAAATGTAAAATATTATAAATAATCCATAGCACTCGATCCAGATCAATCATAACTGATTTAATTGCTGATTCAAGAAAATTTGTAATTGCAAAAGCAAAACTCAGACAAAGACACCATTATTTCTAAACTTATTACAAACAAAAAACCAGTCATTTTATAAAGAGCCAATACATCAAATACCGAGAGGAGTCCTGAAAAATGCTTTTAAATGTATTATATGCAATAAGAAGATCTAGAAAAAAGTTGCAGCAAAACACTTGTCAGAAGAAATCGATTTCTCCTCTCGGCTTCACGTTTTGTAACGTTGATTAGGAGGACGAAGAAAAAGTCATCCAAAGTCAACCAATGACGAGGTCTCAAAAGAGACTTCCCAAAGAGTTTTAAATTGTACCAAATCAGAGACGGTTTTTCATCTGATAGAGGAAATTGAAAATAAATTGTTATACGATTTTATGTTTAGTTTCAATTAGATCGAACGAAATCATCTACAAAGTTATTCAAAAAATAATTCACATATTTCTTCTATATTAATTTGTGTAAAGATAATATAATAAAAAATCGAGAAATTATTGCCACAGAACTGAACATTAATAAATATTTAATAAAATAATTCGCATTTTAAATGTTTAATCAGTGATTAATCGATTACTATTGTTTTATTTAAGGTAAAATAGAATTATTTAAAAAGGTTAATTAACTTATTTTAAGCTCAGTCTCATAATTATAAAGATTTCTTTGAATCATTATTTTATAATTGTATAATATCACACATATTTGTTGGCAACTCTATAAACTGTCTGAAGATAGTTTCCAATTACTGGTGCGCAGTGTTTTTTTCTATCCGCTTCTGGATGTATTTTTGATATTTGATTATATAGAATGTCGTGTGAGAGAGTATCGCAATAGAAAAAGGAATCCACGTTTCTTTACATTCTAGCAAAAGCAGATAAGTTTTGTTTGAAGAAATTCGTATCATGAATCTCAAACTCGATCTCGCATCTCCTCACATTATTTATTATGTTGTCCTTCATCGTAGGGTATTTAAGTTCTGGATTCACATCGTAAAGTGTAAATAGAAGATTGTGCAATAGTTTATTCCATTGTATTTGGCCACCAACCTTAAATTAACTCTTGAGTTGAGAAAAATTCTAAATATCTACAGTCAAGACTCTACTAAGACTTATCTCTAGAAATTGATATTGGATTATTTAATATTATTTAAATCTGATAGATCTAAATTTGTTTCTGTCAATAAAGTCATCAAACTCTTATGGCACATTGAAATTATTTTCAATATTTGAAGACAGTCTATATTGAATGTGATCTTTCATTATGTCTAAATTTTCGAGTCTTTTTTTCTGAATTATAGCCTTCTTGCCATTCTAATACACAGAAACCCTTTGACCATTTTACAAAAGCAAATCCAATCGTAAACCATATTACTATTTCAATGAGGGAAGACATTTCTCTGGATCAATATACATACTATAAATTCTTTTAGAGATCTCATCATTTTTTTCTAAATTTCTAAAGTATTAAGTGAGGTTTATAAAGCTCGATGACAAAGAATTTACATCAAATTTCGTCCAAGGATAAAGTACGAAATTGGGTTGAAATGTGTAATATTGCGCTTATTGTGTTATCAATAAATGATGGCATTTGGATGCAAATCTAGGAGGATAAGATGTTTAATACTTGAAGGAATCAATCATGCATTAACCGGATGCTTCTTTCGCTAGAAAAGTGCCCAGCTTAATTTCAATCTCCAATTGCTAATCTGAAGTGAGATTTGCTGTCTATTCAAATATGCTTCTGAAATATCTGATGATTTGCTCTTGATATTCATCATAATCCACTCTAATAGGAATGAGCTGATTTCTGATGGCCGGATCTCTTTGGTTTAAGTATGATAATATATCATAATTAGTTTAATTCATAAAAATAATTTATAAAGCAACCAATGGAATAAAATGATCATACATATTTATTAAACTTATAGATAGTTTCTTAGATCTTAATCAAATTGTCTACATTTATATATACATATACTAGGTAGTTTATTGTTTGTTAACTATCCTACATAAAAAATTCATTATGACTAGTACTTATTTGATTATTAAACTTTACATAAATATATTAGATTTATTTAGCTGTGTACTCTAGAGTTAAATCCTTATTTTAATTGAATGAATAGTTGAATAAACTATTAGAGACTTTTTGAATACTGAAATTTCTAAGATATTCTGGATGAAAGTAAAAGGCATTTTTGATTAAATTTCTAGCTTAATTATGAGAATTCTATAAATCTATTTGATAAATTGATTTCTTTATCTTTAATATCTCTAATCTAATAATATACATTTTGAAGCATTTTGTTAAATATCATCTAGATTTAATTCTTCAACTTACTTTTCTTTATAATTCTATAGACATTTCAAGTTATTGTGAATTGATTAAGAATTCTTCTTTCTTAACTTTTTTTTCAATTTTTCCAATTTCTCTTTCAATTTGACTCTTACCTTAAATAATAATTGTTTATTCTTTTGAATAGAGAACAAGGCTAGATTTATTGATTTAGACATCATTTATTACTTAAAATATGATTTGGGAATTCTCTAATTTTTGTTAATACCTTCTTTTATTTATTCTATTAAAGCTCATCTCACATTCGATATTTGATGGTCTATTTAATTTTCAGAGTAATTCATCTTTAAGATCCTTTGAGTATAAGGTTGTTTAACTTGGTTCCATTATTTTTCCTAAATTTACAATAATATTTACTTAAAACTGTTCTATACTTTTAACTTACATTTAATTCTTATATTCACCATTGCTGTTATGAGAAACGTAGAATGTTGCACAAAAGTGAAACGAAAAAGTATTCAAAGTGTAAATCACAAATCCTTCAGATTTATGTCATTTGATTTGTAATTCATAATTGATACTATATTCAATAAGACGTATCAAAATGATAAAATATTAATCTTTTAATTCTCTCTCCTTCATTTCTGCTATCTTTATTAATAAAATTAAATGGATATACTCCTTCCTCAGACCCAAGGCGAAATAGTATACATTTATATTTCTGCTCGTAATCTTCGAAATTTGGATCATTCAAACATACTAGATTTCAGATGCCGAGTATACCTTAAGGATGATTTCGTAGGGGAAACAGAAGTCTCGAAATCTTCACTTGACCCTGATTTCAAATAGCCCATTCCAATCATGTACAAGTTTAACAAAAAATAAAAACTGACTTTCCAAATAGTCGATGCTGATTAGGAATTGTCTAATCAATTGATTACTCAATCGAATCAAGCAGCTCTTGTTGGATCATGCAAATAACCTCTAGCTAAACTGATGGGAGCTAGAAATTCATTGAGTCAACTCAATCTATTGAAGGGTGATGAAATAGTTGGAAATATCATTATTCACGTCACCAAAAAAGGACCTTAAATTATTGGATAAAAATAGCAAGGACCCAAAGTTACGGAGATAAAATGGCGTTGGGCTGGTATCAATTAAATTTTAATTATAATAGGTGTCAAATTGCTTGACTTAGATTTTTTCACTAAATCAGATCCATTCGCTAAATTTCATTCAGTCAATGGTGATTAAATCGATTTGATTCATTAAACTGAAATCATCAAAAATAATTTGAATCCTAATTGGATGGGATGGGAAACTACTGAAGAATAAGCCTTCAAACATTCAAAATAACTATATGTAGAGGTCATGGATTACGATAAGTTAGGATCTCAATAGGTTACAATATATTTTACCATTAGATTGGACATGTGACAATCGACTATAATGAGATCAAAAACAATAAAAGAGCAGAATTTCCGTTATTGACTCCAAAAGGAAAAAATGCTGGTACATTAAAATTAGTAGAGTTGGCAATAATTGAACCACCTATTGAGGCTGTAGAAATAGTATAAGAAGAACCAAAAGATCCCACATTTCTAGACTATCTCATGGGTGGATGGCAAATGTCATTGACAATAGGTATTGATTTCACATTCTCAAATTAACCCATCACTAAACCTGATTCCTTACATAAAATTGACCCAAATAAACTCAATTATTATCAATAAGCAATGAAAGTAATTGGTGGAGAGATTGTTGCATTCGATTATGATAAAGAAGTGCCAGTTTATGGATTCGGAGGAACACCAAAACTTCCTACTTATACAAAGAATACGATGGATGATTGTTTCCCAATAAATGGAAATAAGGATAATTCAAATTGTTAGGACATTAAAGGAATATTGGAGGCTTATGTCAGTGCAGTTCCTTAAATTGTTTTTTCAGGCCCCACATTCATTGCCAATGTATTGAGCAAGGCACATCAATTTGCAGTAGAGAATGCAAAATAGAATATATATACAGTAGCCATGATTCTTACTGATGGATAAATTGAGGATCAGTAATTAAATTTATTATTATTTAGGGATGATGCAATAAAAGTATTATTACAATGCCAGAATTTGCCAATGTCCATTGTCATTATTGGAGTTGGAGATGAAAACTTTAAGTACATGAAATAGTTTGATGATCCTAAATTCCTTAAGAAACATGCTAAAGAGAATCAAACAATTAGAGACATCATCCAATTCGTTTCATTTTAAGATTTTAAGAATGACATTGAATAGATGAGTTCTGTTGTTTTGGACCAATTACCCAAACAATTCATGGACTACATGCACGTCAATAACATCCTACCTGTTAAAATGTCGTCAGTTCACATTGGTAAAGCATTGTAATGATAGATCATAAAATTAAATGATATTTATAATATTTTGGATGAATATCAAACTTTGATGTTTGAGAAATCTACGCTTTTGACTAAACTCAAGGCGGATTCACTGACTCCCAACTCTCTGGTGAATTCATTCTTGGTATTAGTATAGATGTCAGTTTCTTCAGCATAAGTGTTGTTTTCTAATTCCAATTCAGCAGTGTATTGTTTTTAATCAGCTGCTCTTTGGTCTCTGAATTCAGTCATTGAATCAATTTTCTCTAAGGAGATTAAATCAAATGTGTTTACCATTGGTGGCAGTCAAGTCGACTGTAGCTCTGTTGATTTATCTTTAGAATTCACTGTATTCCTCATCTAATTATTCAAGGTAAGCCTCGTGATCAACAACGTCTTAGGCTTCTTAGGCTGTCAAATCATTGATTTAATCAACGACTGCATTTCTGAATTCGTTGAGAGCATCAACAATGTTCTTCAATACGTCTTGATTAGAGAAGTTTTGATTAGAAGCCAAATTAATCAAGGCCTTGATCATGGGTGCCATTCTTGATCTTGATCTGATCTTGTTTTCGATGTTCTTGAGTGTGTTTTAGAATCTTCTGATTTATAACAATGATGGGTTAGTGAGGGAAGCAAGAAGAGCCAAAGCATCATCAACTGAGGCAGTAGCATCATTCAATTCAGCAACTTATGCTTCGAAGGCTTCGTGTTCTTATTCTCTAACTAAGATTGCTTCATCATAATTCTTTCTGTTGTCCTCTTGATATCCAATGACTGAATCAATCTTGCTTTAGATTTAGGCTCTTCTTGGGTAGAGGAGATTGTCCAATGTGTCTTGTGTGTTATTGACATCTTGATTATTCAAAATTACACAATACCAATTACAGCATCTTGGATGTCTTGTTCCAAACTGACTACTAAGGCATTATGTTCATTTGTTCTCACTTAGAAATTGAATTCTAATTCTTCTAATTCATCTTCCAAATCATTGATAAGTTCTTCAATAGCATCAATTAATTCTTGAACTGGTCCTCCAGCCATTGAGTGTAATTCAACCAAGTGAAGTAAGGCTTTTCCATAGGTGCTTTTAGCTAAATCAGCTTACACCTTAGCCATATTTCTCTCTTGGACTCTGGCTGTAAAGGCCACAGCAATGAGTGCAATCAGAATAATTGATTTCATTTATTTAATTATTAATCATATAAAAACGAATTTTTCTAATTATCAACCATTAATTAAGCATTCCTCCTCCCCTCACTTGAGAACTATATCATACTGATTTTTCCTCATTTCCTACTCTCACTCAATCGCACTCTCCTTCTAATTCCACTTTTTGATACTTACCAACCAGACTAAATTTGTCTCACTTAATCCCCAAACCAAAAACGAATTCTTTAAATTGATGATCTCAATGCAAAACATTCAAAGGCTAAACAACACGTTTAGAATACAAGGCTACCTACTCATTTGACAGTCATATAAGGATATAACTAACTGAATATTTGAAGAATATCAAATTGATTATTATAAAAATAAAAATAGATTGGATTCGATCTTACTATGCATCTGAATCCAAGAATAATGGTTGATGTATTTTTATAAATATCAAGCAAATTCTATTTGTTTTCAGGAGAACAAACCTAAAGTCTATTATATCTAATGACTATGCTTTGATTTTGAATTGAAAAGATTTCTCATCTCATTCAACGAATTGAGCATTTTCTTTTAATCAAGAGTAAGTAAGTGTTTGTGATCTATAATTTACCACTCAGTCACATCTGTTTCCTCTTCTATAGTCTGTATCATGAAATCTGAATCTGAATTTTGACTCCTCACCCTCTCTATTTGATTCTCGTCTATCAAGAAAGTCACCTCCTCCTCAACTGAATACATAAGCACTTTCCTCTCGGGCGTTCTTATTTAATCGGAATTGAACCTCACCAATCGATTATTCTACTTTGGGATCATTGTCTACTCCTAAAATGACAGAGATCTTGGTTTTCCAACTTCTTGAGTCAAATTCAGATGTTGATGGAAACGAGCAATTATGGATACATCATCCTCCATGTTTAAATGGTAGCATTTATATAATTCTAAATTCTAATTTTTACCATTATGCTCAATAACGATTTAAAGCAAGTAGTTTTAATAACACGATTACTTAACCAAGAAATTTTGATGCAATGAACTCTTTGTGAAAATACAGCAAAGTGAATTTTTTTCAAAAGTGCATTGTTTGCTACAAGGCATATTTCGGTTGTTATTACTTTTAAATTACAAAATCCATTATTCAGCCAAAATTCTCCTGTGACTCATATTATGCTCCAAGTATATCGATATACTTAAGCCAACTTCGTTAGATTTTGAGTTTAGTGTCTAATTAAAAACATTCTGATTGCCAACATCTTAATTCAGACATACTCTTTTATTTATTATAGTTGTCATGTATTCATTCAGTATAAATTTATGATTTTGCATAGCTTAAATTAGATGCTCCTTTTTTAAATTGTTATAATTTATAAATTAGACATTTTTTTGCAAGGACCCATTTCTACTTAACTTTCAGTTTTTTTCTGATTGATTTTTCAGTGACACGTAGCTCAAACCAATTGTGAAGAAGAACGATTCCAAGACTTATTCAAGCTAGAGATGGCTTTCAGTATCTTGATGAGTCATGAACTTTAAATTTTATATACTATACTATGTAATTGTGTTCAATAAAAATAAATAAAAATTAATATGTAATATGAAATAACAATAATTATTAATTTTAAGCACTATCAAGAGGATAGTTCCATAACTTGAACAATAACTTAATAAAAGAGTAGATTTGATCAATGTTTTATGGTTCTCTCTTCTATATTCTTAATTCTGCAATATACAGAATTAATTAATAATATAATATAGAAATTACACTATAGAAGCAATTAAATAGTAATAAATATTAGATGAATAGCTTCAAAAAAGGTTACCTGACTGCATTTCACTTAAAAATAACTTGCTTCCGTTAAGAACTTATAAAATGAAAATGAATCTGAAAATTCCTCAATGTAATTGATTGATAATTAGAAATCTTTAGATCAAAACATTTAAAAAACAAAAAACCATACTAATTTTAAATTGATGATGTTATTAATTTTATTTATAAATCAAAATGCTTAGCATATTTCAGTCTTGCAAGAGCAAAACCTCAAGTTTTGACAATAACAAATTGCGTTGTCACTCAACTAGACTCTCCCAAACTCAATATTCTTGTCCAAGAGTAACTGAGGAAGACAAATTATTATTTGAGAATACTTAATTAAAATATCAGCTTCATTAGTTGGAAGAGGAATTTAAAATGTATAAACTAAAATAAAGACATATGAAAGTATTTATAACACTTAGAAATGTAGACTGGATAAAACTTTAGCGGAGAAATTTGTTTTTAATTGTAGAATCTGAGAAAGTTACAGACTATAAATAAGTAGCTGGAACAGGAGTTGCTATAAAAGGTTAAGGAGATTGAAGAGATGAAAAAATCAATGAACCTTACCAAATAGCAAGAATTACAAATTGAGTGTAAGGAATATCATTCAGAATGCCTACGATTAAGAAAATAAATTTAATAACTTAATTAGCTTCTAAATTACAAACTCAACGGAGTTAATTTGAAAGATCTCTATGAAGATTTGGAAAAAAGACTTAAAAAATTACAAGTTGAAACTAAATAATAATAATAACTAATTTAATAATTACAATCTGATACAACAAAATATAAAAATTAGATCGAAAAATTAGAGCTCGAGAATAAACATTTTGAAAGGGAAAACAAAAAATAACTACTTTTGATAAGCCAAATACAAGTGCCTCAGCCAAATAAATTTAAGAATAGACTACAAATTTATAGAGATGAAGTTGAAATCACTAAACTGTAAGCAAAGATTATGGAACTACAACAGCAACTTATAAATTAACAGAATTACAAGGAGTAGTATATACAATAGCTCTTAAAGATTATCAATGAAAAGGATGATTAACTATAAGCTTATGAATTATCAAATCCAAATCTAATTATCAAATAAGCAACTGAAACGTAATAATTGATTCTAGATTAAAAGTACTAAAAATTTGTAGAGAATATTTAAAGTGAAAAGTCTATTGAGAATGAAATAATCAGTGATATGCCATCCTAAATGAATCTTTTGAGGCAGCCAAGCATTCGAAAAAAATAGCATATGCTTGATTATCAGAAATCATTTCAAATTGATATCACGAGCATAAATGGGTTTGAAGAAAATTCCCCTTAAACTGAAGAAGTGGATGATAACATATCCATCAAAAAGGAGTTCAAAATTTAAAAACTTCCTAAAGTCAACTATTATGAAGTCAGAACCATAGGTCAAAGGCTAAAGTTTCAATTTTAATTGAAATAGATTCCCCTGATATATTTGGATCAACTTCTGAATTATTACGAGGATTCCGAAATCACTATAGAAGAAGTCATAGAAATTTTAACCAAGGAGCCTTTTATGATGAATGATGAGAGAGAAAAGCTGTTGGTGGCTCGGTATCTTGTCGAAGATAATACCTAAGATTATGTTCTCCATAGTCTCAAAAATTCTAATTCCATCTCAATTATTAAAAGTGTTTTGAAATAGTTATTAGGTAAGTATGAGTTGTTTTCTAATTCGGAAAGGAATAATATTGAATAACATCTAAAATAGGTACTCACGAAACATCAATACAAGATACAAGACACTTTATAATAATTGGCAATCAAGAAGAACTATTCGTAGTAGGGAGAATGTGATAACTCTGATTATGAAACTACATTGAGATTTTGTGAAATCTAATTATAACCAAGATCAATTGAATATATGGAAATGATAAACTACAATTTAGGAAAAAATTTAGAGAAGATAAATTACAAATCATTACTCTAATATTTTTGCGATTCTTAATCATGATTTTAATTGTTTATACATTTTTGATGTTAAATAGTCTATGTATGTCTAGATTCAATAAACATAATCATTTTCTACATGAATTCTTATTTAAAAATTTTTATATTCTAATTTGTATCAATACTTTTTGTTTTATATAAAATGAAAACTTCAAATAAAAGGCAAACATGCAAAATAATGAAAATAATACCTTTTTCAAATAAATATACAAACTTCGTAAATGATAAAGACAAGTAGTTAAAGAATTAATGTTAGAGTAATTTGTTTTAGTAAATAATCCTAATAATGTTCATTATACAATCTAACATTATCCAAGATTATCAGAAAATTTAATCTGAAAAAACAACCGAAATTAATGCAGATAATAGATAACAACAAGTATCGTATCTAAACTCAGTAGATTACTGATAGGAGAATAAAATGGTGATATTTAGATAATTGATATATCTACTGCAAAGTTGATAACAAATCTTTCTAATCATGCCTATTAAGTTGTACAGATAATACCATTTGAAGATCAATATATGATTACTATGTGCCAGAATAAGGAAGCAAGAATATGGGATTCAAAGAATTTGAAATAGATATTCAAGATCAATCATTAAACTGCTGTAAAGCAAATATACTTTTCAAAAAATGGATAAAAGGTGATTTTAGTAGCGTATGATTGTTCAGTTAAAGTATATGTCATTCTATATTAGATATTTTCAACTTAAACAGGAGAAATTATAAATTAAATAAATCACAACATTTAACAAGTTTATTACATTAAATATTTTTAATAATTTGATTAATGTTTGATAGCTTATTAAAACAAATAAGATAGGTAAATTTAAAAATTATCTAATTAGGCAGGTTCTTTTGTGGGACATACAAGAATTTACAAATAAATAAATTCTCTAGGGATTTAATAACAGGATACAAGATGTATATTTTAATTCAAAGAGTAAAAAAATATTAATTTCAAAAGATCTCGATTTAGCAGTGATTCCTTCCAATTCAAATAAATTGATTATATATAATATATTGTCTGAAGAAATCAGAGCAGAGATTAAAGGGCTAGCTCATTAAAACAAAATTAATGTGGAATTTACTAAAAATAACCATCTCATTATTGATGATCAATAGCACATTTTAGTCTAGTATTTATTGATTAAAATTAAGTACCGAAAATGGAAAATTTAATTAAACCTTATTTACATTTAATGAGAATTAGATTAAATACTTATAAATCATAGCAAATTAAAGTCGCAATAATAATAGGCAGAGCATCTAAATGAATGATTAAAAAATAACTCAAGACGATGAAACAAATCAAAGTTAGATTTGGCTTCATACACCCTCTTATTTAGCACCTATAAGCTGATATGATATTTAAATATTAATAAATGTAAATAATGAATTCATAAAATATAATATTATATGAAATCTATATTTATAATTATTAGATAATTTTGATTTCATAATTATAATAGCTTCAAATTCAATTCAATTAAATTCCATCTCTTTATACAATAATTAATATATGATTATTCTGAATCTAATTTTAGGATCCAGTGAATTAATCATATTTACAATTGCAACCTATAATTTATTAAAAAAAAGACAATATTAATAGAAATCATATAAAAAATTCTAAATAGATCAAATTAAATTAATAAACATTATTTATAAATTTAAAGACTAGATGAGGCTTACTAGTTACCTACAATTTAATTAATAAAACTGCTAATTGAAATGATTATTAATTTATACATCAAATATTCTAATAATAAATGTATTATTCTATGTAATTAATAATTAAAATTATTAATATGCAATATACTTCTTCATAACTAATTCGAAATCAAACTCCTGAAGACTTAATTTAATCATATTCGACTTAAAAAAGAGATAATGTCTCCACCAACTCTAAGATGTAGACTTAAATAAAAGTAAGCCATATTTTTTAATAATGAGCATTCAATTGAATTACTAAAATGCAACCTAATAAGTCGTTAAACAGTAAGTGATTTTACAAATAGAAGTTAAGACTAACTTGTTTACTAATTATTTTAACTTTAATAGAAAGTACATAATTCCTAAAAATAATTCATTAAAAAAGAATTGTATTTGTAAGAGTAGATACTTTAGACCCAAAAAAACTTTGATAAAACAATGAACCTAATGAAATTAAAATACTAGATGTAAATAGATGATCTAAATTCTGAACTAAAGGTGAAGGATGAGGAAATCTATAGTCTTAATTTATAATTATAATAAAGCAATTTGAATAAAATTGAGGAAAGATTGTATTCATCTTAATAAAAGCAAAAATCTTAAACTAGCGAATATTTAAATACTGAAAGTTCAAGAATGAACAGTCAATTAAAAATGCCAAGAAGTTCTTCTGGTGTGAGCAAATATTAAAAAGAATTGAATAGAATTAAACTTCAGACAGCAGAGTTTGCTTAAAAATTTGAGAATGAGAAAAACCAAATTCAAACAGATATTGCCATTTTGAAAAATTAGAAATAAGTTCTCTAAGGTTACTTAAATTTTAGTAAAGGATAAAGTACCGATCGATCATATTATAATTCGCCAATAAAACTAAATAGTATGATGACCAATAGACAGAGTAGCTCTTCGTTTGGAGTCAAAGATTATTTCTCTCGCAAACAATGATAATCTTTATGTATCAATTTTATATAGCAATAAATAATTGAATCAATATTTTGTGAGGAGTTCCTCCATATATAAAATTTAGTCAAAGAGTTGCCAATAGCCTATGTTTTCCTCTCCCAATAACTATACGAGTTGTTTTCTTAATTCTTGAGTAGAAAGCTCTAAGAACATACTTTCAAATTGTTACATTTAGTCTTCATTAATTGCAATGCTTTTTCAACAAGATTGTTACCTAATCCACCTTCACATCTATGTCTTAATAGTTTAATTCTATCTTAAATTCGAGCAACAATAGAATTAATTGGTTTTATTTCATCCTGATCAAGTCCAACATCATCTCCTTAATCTTCATCATCCAGGTCTTCATTCTCTAATTCCTCTTCAACTAATGGAATGACTTGTCCAGCTACACTGTTAGAAAATTCTTACTTTCTAAAGCTTTGATTTGCATGTTTTACACCTGTCTATTTTGTTAAAGCGACTAACTAATCTCTTGTATTTTCAAAGTCTTATCTTTAAGTTTGGTCTTCATTAAATCGAGCCTTTAATCAACATCCACTTCCTCTTCATACTCTTCTTCATTTTCGATTTCCTAAATAGCCATGACTCCCTCACTGTCTTCAGAATCATAGAATTCTTCCTGAACCTTTAAAGAGCTATCCTTAGATTGACGATACTATGCCTATTTCCTTTCTTAAGCTAATTTTCTATTTTAATAGCTTTCCTTATAAATTTATTATCTTTCCTTCTCTTCTTAAATAGTTTTTTCTTCATCCCTTTTTTGCTTCTTCTGAATAACCCTTTCTTTAGCACTAATAGTACTATCATCCCTCAGTCTATCTTTTTCAAGGGATAAACTTCTTTCTTTTTATTTTTGTCTTATCTCATTGGGTCTTCTATCCCTTTCCAAAGATACCTTCCTTTAATTCACTCTAAGATAGTCAGGTCTTTATTGGGCATCTGTTTTTTAAGTATTTTCTGATTTATTGGTGATGTTTTCTGTTGTTGCTTTAGTATTTGGATTAGTTTCAGTATATTTAGTATTTTGAGTAGGAAGTTTTTATTACTTCTTTTATTCTAACCTTTTAATTTCATCTTCCAATTTCTTTTTCTCAATTTATTCTTTTTTCAACTACTTCAATTTCAATGCTTCTTATTCTTAAATTTAAATAAGCATTCTTTATTCTGCTCTACCTCCTTTCTCTAACTCATTTTTAATATCAGCAATAGTGGCACCTTAAGCCATTTATTTTTGATAGTGTTAAATAAGTGGTAGGACTCCAATTTATTCAGCCTATTCGTATAATGTATCCACATACATATCATCTAAATCAGCTGATTGTGGTTCTAAGAATATTGATAATGAAAATACCACTAAAAACTTCAAGCATGTAATAAATAATCCTTAATTTGATGATTGGCTTATGAACTATTTCCTAGATGGTCGGTCTAGCCTTTGGATTTGTATTAAGCATTTTGTTTATAAGATCTCTCAATGCCTTCGAATAGGTTGGACTGATGGATGAATATGAACCTTTTAATATTTTCAATGCCAATCCATTCATTGATTATGCATCAAAGGCGTGTCTCAGATTACACATTTCATAGAGACAACATCCAAGTGCCCATACATCACTTTTATATGAATATGGTTTATATTTAAATAACTCTGGACTCATATAGTAGGGAGTTCCTATGCAAGTGTTAGCTAAATCACGAGTTGAGTCAAGCACTTTAGCAATTCCGAAATCTCCTAATCTAACTCTGCCATTTTTCAGAAATATATTTTATGTCTTCAAATCTCTATGTAATATCTTTTGTTCATGTAAGTAACATAAGGCCAATGTCATTTGTGCAAACCAATCCAAAATTTGAGATTCAGGGAAACTTTTCTTGTTTCGAATCTTTTAATAGATGTCTCCACCTTCGCAATGTATCATTACTATGTTTAAATATTGTTCTCTATCTAAATATGAATCCTTGTAAGCTACAATGTTTGGATGTCTCAATTTCTATAGTAATCTGACTTCATTTTCAGTATTCTCACGATCCTTCTAACTCATGTCTCTGATTTTGATTCGCTTAATAACATAAAGTCGATCTTCTCTTTTATTTCTAGCCAAATACACCTAACCAAATGAACCAGAGCCGATCGATTTGACTATTTCATAAAATTCCATTATTTTAAATATTCATAATAATTATAGTTAATTAATGTGAATATTATTTTAAATTATATTAGTAATAATAACAGATATATAATCATTAAACTAACTGCCAAGGACTCAAGCCATCACAATTACGTATGTTTTGTGCTCCTTGTGCAATCAGGAGATCAGCAACTTTGTAGAATTGATAAGCGATGGCTTTATGCAGAGCAGTGTCTCCATCATTCTTATTTAAATAATATATTAATACATTTTATAAATTGACTTGTGCTCCTTTTCGTAATAAGAATTCTACAATCTCAATATTCCCAGTCTATGCAGCCATAATAAGATAAGTGTTGTTTCCTTTGAAACGTTCATTGATCATCAAATTTGGATTGTTGGTAAACTCTTCTTCAATCTAAAATTATGTATTAATATCAAGTACTTCTGCCAATTTTTACTCTTCAATGAGTAACTTGATTTTCTCGATTACCGCAATAGATTATCTTCTACGAGCTTCATTAATTTAAGTTCTCATTTATAGAGAGTTTTTACTCATAGAAGATATGATAATAGGATTCCTTCTCTCTTGACTCTTGGTCATTAAAGTTTTCACTATCTCTTCCTCTTTTTAAGAAATAGGATTTGTTGTATTTTGCAAAGTCAAAGTAGCCTTCATTTTGTTTGATTAGGTAGTATTTAAATTACATGATTCTTTCAGGCTCATCTCATCCTGTGGAGAATCACTTCTTCTTTGTACAACGCTGGTTTGACTTGAAGTAGCTTAAAGCAATTATTTAACAGGTTTCTAAACATTAGTTGTGTAATTGATTGTTTAATGTCGAGGTGAAGACATAATTATTTTTGTATTTGTTTTTTAATTTGATCTTTCACTTGGTGGAGATTGTTCACGATTTGATGTCCTTTTTTTAATAGGCTTAGCTGAATTAATCATGATTCTTGCCTTTTCAAATTTGCTAGTAGATTATTGCATTTGTATCTATTCGTCGAATTCAACCAAACCATAATCATGAGCCAGATTATCAATTTCATATTCATCTTCAAATATGCCTGTCAAAATATCACTGTAGTGATGAATAAGTTTTTTAGATTGTTCCATTTGATCCTTTCTTTTGATACGTCTATACAAAGAGCTTACTTTTCTATTAATTTAATCATCATTATAGATATGCGAGGGATCTTTAACCATCTTGGAATCAATCAAAGAACATTGATCTTGGAGCATGATATTTCGAATGTCTGAATCTAAAGTGTTAATTATAAAGTTAAGATATGCAGCATTTATCATTTTGAGTTTCGATTAACATTGAATAATTTCATTGTCTCCTTCATCTTCAATAAAACTATCTAGATCATTTAAATAACAATCATCAAATGAGTAATCAAAATACTGAATTTAATAATTTTGAAATCTATTATACTCTATGGAAATATAAAATAAGGGATTTGATAACTACTAGGTATAGATATTATTTTGATTGGTATAACAAGATTAGATTCGACTTGATTATTGGCTTTCACATATTTTTAGAATGTTGATTGAGGATCGCTTTTCTTGGATTAATTGTAAATGCACCAAGATATTTTCCTCTAATTTTATAAAGATTTGTGACATCTTGTTTTATAAATACATTTTCATAAACCTGCTAGTCTTACTTCATAAAATAATTACTTTTTATAAATTATAAAATTGATGAGTGTCATCTTCGTGTGCATTCTCTTGATCTGGAATACCAATAATCTTTAAAATGGATTTAGAGAATTTGGATGTCATTTTTTTGGGTTATGAGGAAATCTATGTTTACATCAAATTTACTTACAAACTACAATGCCTGCTTCAAGACATGTTTAGGTTTATCAGTGTATTCCTACACCTCCTCAATCTTATCTTCCAATTTCTTACAATAATCTGGGACATTGAATTAGTAGACTCCTATTTAATTTTCTGGATTGCTCACAGAAATAGTCAGTTTTTTTTTATTGATTTGCATTGTGGGTTGCATAGTGGGTTTCATTTATTCCTTTTTTTCCTCAATTGGATCTAACAATGAAGTGCTCCCCACTTTATAAAGCTAAGTAGGCTAATTCTGGAGTTGAATAGTTGAGAGATGATTGGTAAAGGTAAATCGAGGACTTGTCATTTGAGTCTTAAAATTATCAGACAAGAAACTATTCTCATTTGTTTGAATGTCATTATGTTGAATATGACTAGTGGTTATGATTTATCTCATGTTCTTCAGGAATATTTAGATGTTCTAGTTGTCTTCTTATTGCATATACTAATTCTCTATATTCAAACTCTACTTGAAAATCTTCTCTCTCTATCGATCTTTAAATGTGAGTGGTCCTTCTAATGTAAAAAGGGTTTACTCCTCCTTTCTTAATTTTCCTTCTGAGATAATGTTCTTGAACTTTTCAGAAGCAATCACTTAGAAAAGAGACTATTGATTCTTCTTTTCGCAATCTAGAACACTCCCCTAAGTTTTCAGCGATGTTCCTTTGAAGACCTTCCTTGCAACTACTCTGCCACTCAATGGAGTTGGCACCTATATCTAAGGACTCTATTCTAAAGGCAGAGGAGCTAAAGCATTCTTCAAAAATGATCTTTGCGTGATTCTACTTATAAAGAAAGTCTTGGTATTTGAAACTTCTTACACGGTATGTAGGGATTTGACTTTGCTGTGACCCTTGCTTCTCATTTTATTATAATAAAAATGCGATTTAACATTTGTAAACAAATTATTTAGAAGATTACCCATCCTTTCTAATAAATAAAAGAAATGTGAAGAAAATATAAATTTATACATTAATTTAATTTTATCATCCTAAGAATGAATAATAAATTGTCGATATTATTGTTATTGTCGCTAGCAGTAGAATAGAGAAGTTTATAATACAATTCAAATTACAAATAGGTTCATCATCACCTTAAGCTATAAAATTTATACACCCAAAATATTACATGAATTATTCAATTAAACACTACCCAATTCGCTTGAGACACTCTTGTTCATCGTCAATGGACTTGAACTGTTTTAATGCATGGATAAGGCAACCTTCTTAATGCATTTATGTTTTGCATGCTAAAATATTACTTATCTAATTTCAATTACCTTTTAAGGTATCATTTTCCTCTTGAATTACAGCTTAGCCAATTCTTATCGAGCTTTCTCTTGTTATTGAATCTGAGTTGCTTTATCCACAATGCTCCATTAATTCTGCTTGAGCCATTCCCTAATGTCTTCCAAGTTCTACTCCTAAATTCTCTTAAATTCATTCTGCACTTGTGGATCCAACAGATCTATACCAAACTTCTGAGCGAATTGATATAACTTCTTCGATAAATAACTATACACATTACTTTCTTGGGCCTATTAAAATCCAATTGAGATATCTTCTCTAGTTGTTTCTTTGCTATCAATGCCTTTTGTAGTTTATCCTTCAGGTCTTCTGCTTCCTTTATCTAACCATTCTATTAGTAGGTCTTCACCATTTCCATTCCTCTGGTTTCAATAAATCGCCCTAATTCCTAAACCTCCTTCGGTATAGGTTTCTTTGGGTCCAACTCATAGCTAAGCTCTTAATCGTTGTCTTGATATGCAAATTAGGCCATGAAATCCTGGGGTAACTCCTCATCCTCATAGACATCATATTGAGTTGTGTCTTATTGATCGTAAAGTTCTTTGTCGCTATCCTGCTCTTCGAACCTTTTCAATTGTGTTTTAACCATCTCGTAGACTTTGGTTATGCCTTCATTAAGAGGATCCAACTGCTGGGCGAATTTGAGATCCTTGCAAATCATTTAACAATCCAATTGAGTTACTTGCTCTGATAAAAACCGAGACTTATTTATCTAAAAGTTTAGTACCTAAGCTCTTAAAATAAAGGCCCCTGCGCACAGAGGATTCAATTATTGCCAATAATCGCACATCTTAGTGCAAGCTGCTTGTTCATGCAAAACATAATAGCATTTACCCATCAATTCGAATAACCTATTCCAAAGGTCTTAAAAGCAAACTTAATTAAAAATGTATACCTTTTATTTATTATTGCTCAGGGTAGTGTCTACAATTCAAATCTTCGAATTTAGTATCCTCCCATCGTTTTGACTGTTTGGCATCTGCAAACACAGACATGCAGGTCTCTAATTAATCAATTGCGTTTTAATATTGGTCTATAGTATTATATATTGTGCGGTACTTAGATTAAAGAATTTTTAGCCTCTTTCGAATAATAGTTCGTAGATTTTCATTTTTTATGAGAAAGATTGACGTGATAATTGCTTAAAAGCTAGACGAAGCATTTATTAGTTTATTATTTAATTAAAAATCTTAGATTTTCTGTCCAAGTTTTGATAAAATATTTGCTTCAATAAAGAGGAGATCTTCAAAATTTGATCTCCTTAATTTTGGTTATTAGACAGAACTCTTCAATAACGACTACAAGGTTTTCATTTAAATGATAATTATCTTAAATAATAATGTCAACTAATTTTTGTTAATCAATGTGATTCCTACTTAGCGTGATTAGTAAAAATGTCCCTGATGTTGGATTGGCATCCTGAACCCAAGTAATTGTACAGACAGTAATTATGTATTGCAATTTCACTTACTTATGGTTTTAGAACACATAGCTAATTTGTGATTGGAGAGATTGAATAATCTTGTTGAATGTCATTATGAGAAAAATAAATGTAAGAGAACTCAACCAACCAAAATGCAATTGTTAGATTAATATTCATAATAGATAATGAATTATTATTATAAATAGTTAATTTATAATTATTACTTATGAGCAAAAAAATTAAAATTTCTTAACCTCTACCAAAAGTGAATTGGAAGGATAGTGATATGGAGGAGGAACTTACTATCAAAATACCTAATGCCAACCTTATTAGCAAAATCATTGACCCAAGATCGAGTCCCTAGGAATACTTTGTTCCAATAGTATATATTGTGTTATTCTAAGAGATTTCCAGCTCAATAACACATGAAAGATGCTGATGGCTTTTTCATACCCTTGCCTAAAGAAGATCCAAAAAAAAAATTACAGCAATAGCATCAATTCTAAAATGAAAGATACTAAATTCAATTACAAGACTTGATATCCATTGATGATTTAGGTCAAGGCTCAAGCGGAAGAGTGATCAAAGCATTACATAGACCAACCAATTTACTTGTTGCCCTTAAAGTATTCATTGTAAATAGTAGACAATACAAGTAGTGAATGACGAGAAGTTCACTAAATAAATCAATTTGGAACTGGAAACTTTGGTCAGCTGCGATCATTCAAACATTATCAGATGTTATGGAGCTTTTCTAGAAGGAGCTTAAGTAGCCATTGCCTTAGAATTCATGAATCTAGGCACTTTGCAAGATGTGATTAAGAAGTCAGGAAAAATCCCTGAAGGCATGTTAGGATTAATTGCCTATTAACTTCTTAAGGGTTTGGACTACTTGCATCGAACAAAGAAAATCATCCATAGAGACATCAAGCCTTCCAACTTATTGATAAATAGTGCAGGCGAAGTCAAGATTTCCGACTTTGGCGTGAGTGGTTAATTACTAAACACCTAAGATCAGCGAAGTACTTGGGTTGGCACGGTGACTTATATGTCACCAGAAAGGTTTCTTTGTGAACCCTACTCTTCTAATACTGATGTCTGGTCTTTAGGACTTTCTTTACTTGAATGTGCTTGGGGAGTCTTTCCTTATCCTCATCCTGGAACCAACGAAACAACTCCTTCCCTTGGGTTTTGGGAAATCAAAGAATACATTGTTTCTAGACCTGCTCCACCATCGCCTCCTGAATTTTCATAAATGGGGGCTGATTTCATCGCCATGTGTTTACAGAAGGATCCAAGGAAGAGGAGGAGTGCTGCAGAATTGCTGGTATATTAAATTTATATATTGTAGGAACACCCTTTTATAAAACAATATGAAGATGTGAGTCTGCAATATTTAGAAGGTTGGCTTAACATTAATTAATGATTTAAAATTATAATACATCATTTGAGATGTTTCAAATCTGAACTTGATTCTATATTCTTGACCATGATTCCTAATTGATTGTTTATCTCAATTAATTGAGGCAAGGTGCACTTGAACACAATGTCCTTGTCTTTGTTGTCTGTTGATTTAGTGTGCAATTATATTTTATATATTTCCTAATACACTTTATTAGCATATTTCGATGAAACCACGATTTCCTATTGCCAATCAACATCTACTAAGTAATTGAAGCCTATTTTCGATTCAAAATTGGCTGCTATGATGGCATTATCAGGATCATTGACAAATTGCTTGAATTAAGTAAACTTCTTTATATATCCATCTACGATAGTCTGATCAAATCCATAATCATATAGATTTGTAGTGATTTCAATTTCCATTAATTGCAATTTGATGCATTGAACTGTGAATAGTAAAATTAAGTTGAACAACTCATTTGTTAAAGGTTCTGTGTTCAATTGATCCAATATTTTTGTATTGTTTTCTTCTCCAGCCAAATTCATAAATACACATTTAGATAGCCTATCAAAATTTTATTAAGTAAATGGATCCTTTGCTAATTAAGTCAAACCCTTTGCTACTTCTTCAGGAATATTTTTGGTTTCCTAAATATTCATTTTTTCTGATTTTATTTATACGTCGAATAATTTTATATGCTTATTTTAGTTTATATTGAATTAGAATAGAAATCTCTAGAATCTTAGTAGAAGTATTTGCTCTACATTGAACTATAAATAAAATGAAATAGAACAAATTAAAGGTAATTCTATTTATAATGATATTAAAAATAACAATTAAACTGATTAATACTATATATCATTAGTAATTATCAATCTATTCTACTTTCATCATTTAATTAAGCCTAAAATTTTTCTCAATCATTTAAGCTCACCTCACACTCAAAAATTACTGAATTCTTTCTTAAAGCTAAATCTATTAAATAGGAATATTAAAAACACAAAAAAATCTTAGCTTTTACCTTGAAATAATGATGATTTTGATGAGGATAATCTAAGTGTGGAGTATTTGAGGTTTGTCTTTAATCTAATTGTGTTCATTTAATTTTGTAAAATTAGTTAGATTAGTAAGTATATGTTAATTTAAATAATATATGGGCAATTGTTGCAAATAAACTGGTTAAAAGAATTTCTCTTCAATTCAACTTAATGACCTCTTACAAAGAAAATCTCTGCTTCTTGAGTAATTGGAAGTAATTGAATAATTTAACTTCAGCAACTTTAAAATCCAGTTTATAATCAGACTTCTCTTTAGCTAAAGATGATAACTTGGATTAAGGATTCTCATGATCTTTTTGATTATGAGAACTCCAATCGAATAGCTTAATCTCTGACAATCAATTCCTCTATTAAATTGTATAGAGATAAAACTAGTGGGAAAATCTAATCGGCTTAGTAGGGGAAAACACTGATCAGAATTGAAAATAGACAGAATTGTTTTTGGATTGAGCCAAGAGTAAGTGATTTAGTGTAATCATTAGCTAACAAAAAGCGATGATCATCATGTTTGGTTGGTTATAAAATCAATTTAATAATAAGAGAATGGTGTGAAATTACAATATAATGATGTGATAAGAGTGGGGAAGGTTGAAATAAAATTGAAGGAACTTCATTTCGATGTGGGTGAGAGAAAACTAGATGAAAGAGAGACAATTCTCAGTTAGAGTATGGATGAACAACGGTGTCGAATTTGTCTATTGAGTTCTGAAAGCCTGGATGATCCAAAGATTGAGCCATGTAATTGTTCTGGAACTATGGCTTTGATTCATTTGAGGTGTTTATAACATTGGATTGTAACTAAATACAACATGGAAAATAGTAACACCATAGTATTTTTGTGGGATTAGATGAAATGTGAATTGTGTAAAAGTAATTTTAAGAGAAAATTGCAACTCAATGGTCAAGAAGTTGATTTGGTGGAATTAAGTAAGAGATAATTCCAGAGTTATGCAGTATTGGAAATGAAGAAGCCATTGATAAAATCAAAGGAAAGATTGACATATATTCTCAATTTGGAAAAACTTGAGTAATTCAAGATTGGAAGAGCCAACGATAATCACATTCGTTTATGCGATATTAGTGTGAGCAGGTTTCATTGCAAATTAATATTGGTACAAATGTGTATTGTATTGTGTAGCACAAATAAGAGTTTTATATATAAGATAACAATTCTAAATTTGGCACTCTCCTTAAGTTGAAGTAATCGATGCCGTTGTTGAAGGAGTTTTAGAACGTACAAGTTTAGGTTGGACGAACGTTGTTTGAATTCGAGAACGTAAGCAACGGTTACTCCAAATGATTATTAAATTAATTAATGTCATTTTCTGAATAATAAGGTTAAGAGCTGCAGATTAGGAAGGCAGATTTGGATGATTACGACGAGATCATGTAATTGATGCAGGAAGAGGGAGAAGAGGACTTATAATAACTCTACGCATATCCCAAGATTCTTACATTATTTGAGAGATCCTATTTGTCAGTCACAGTGCTTGATTCATAGAATAATATTATAGGCAGTGCAGTCTTTGATGATTGTCCTTAGGGTGTTACCGGATAAGTGGACTTCAAACATGAGAATTTGTGGGAATAATGGATTCATGATGGATGGGACATCGGCTTTCATGTGAGTTCATTCAACTGTCTTTGGATGACTTTCTTTTTTCTTGGTATTCTTTCTATATCTAGATCTAGCTAAGAAGCGATTCCAATTGACTGAAGACCAACAGTTACAGATCACCAAACAAATCTTTCAAAAGGTCTATGATTATTTGAATGTCGTCAATGGGATCTTCTTTTTGAGAAGGAGTGAAGCAATTGATGCTGCTCAATAAGAATTAGATATCGCATTAGAGAATTTATTTGAAATTCTCCCAAAAAGACAAGATTTCAAATTGAAAGTATGCAAAAGGTCTAAAATAATAGTTCATGCAAGGAGTGAATCAGAATTGTGAGATCTTCTATTCGGCATCTTCTATGGTAACTGAATTATTGGAAATTCGTATGGCACGTGAAGAGGATCATGATGATTTGGCTGCTATCTTTAATCGTCAATCAGATGTACACACTGAAGAATTTGGTGAATTTTTTATTGCTGATTTAATTGCAACTCAGAATCAAACCAGAAGATAAGCTAGGAATTATAGAAGTGATGGAAAGGCCATTGTAGGATAAGTTGGGGACAAGGCAGTTGGATTGATGAGTATTTCAAGTGATATCGAGTAAGGAATCTAGTCTAAATTAGTTATCGTCTACTAGGGTAGTGTTTCGATTTAGAAGTGTTTGACAATCTCTATAAATCAGAATATATGGAAGCTATAAGAAATAGGTTGGATTAATTGGCACTCGAAGAGTAAATCAATAAGTAGATCACTAATTATAAGAAGCACATCGAATTAACCAAAGAGGCTATGAAATGTCATATAATTGGACAAAGACTCTATTTACAATAGTATTGTTTTGATAGAGATTAGGAGATCAAGCAAAAGATTGATGATTATGGGTAAGAAGACTTAGCTAAAACACTTACATAATAGGTTGTGACCAATATGATTAACGGGTGGTTGAAGGATTATCAAGTATTCAAACCCAGTGATCTATTTCTTGAATATCCTGATTCATTCAAAGATTTAGAATGCATTACCATTAAACCAATCCAAGTTTTATTGGAAGCACTTGAATTCTTTGGATTACCCAAAGGATATATGAATGGAGAAGGCCATTGGAAAGATTGGGCCAAGAAGAAGGAGGAAGAGTAAAAGGCTCTTTCTCTCAAAAGACCTAAAAGATAACAGAAGAAAACCAATAAAAAAGCAAAGAAGGAGGATAAGGATGAAGACATCTTCAAACCACCACCTTATTTTGATTTAGGACCATTTTTATTAGCTTTTACTAAATTTACATCAGTATCAGCTGAAACTAGAGCACAGTTCAGAAAATAAATAGAATCAAGAGTCAAAGAATTAATCATGGAATTCTGTACTGAAAATGGAGAAATGGATCCTAGTCGTCACATAGATTTAATTGAATTTCCAGATGTACTAAGAAATAAAGGATTTGACATTGGAGCACCGATGGGAGAGAATCTGGCATTCATACTAGAATGTTTTGGTGAATTAGAAGTGGACAATAGGATTGTGTAAAAAATAAAGGAAGAAAAAGATGCCAAAAAGAAGGATGCCAATCTTAAGAAAGTTGGTGATGATGCACCTAAACCTGTTGATGTTTTGTAGAAAATGACTTCATATAGTGAATTCATTGGGGCTATTTAAAAACTAAAAAATTATGATTAAATGATGTGCAGATTGTAATTAGTACGATCAAATACATTACAGACTGAAGTTGAAGAAATTATATAAGATGAATAAAATAAAATTACTAATCTTGAGAGAGCTAAAAATGTTGAAAGGAATTAAACTTAATTTGATGAACATGTATCCTAGATTCTGAATCTATTGATTAACTCCCAGAAGTCCCTAAAGCAGCTCAAAATGCTGTTGTTATCAATCTATTTTGCATAGATGAACGATTTGAATCAAGATCACTTGATTTTGTAGAAAGAGCCTTTGAACTCTTCCCTGATCGAGAGTATCTTATTTTAACATAACCATACACAGTCTAAGAGACTACTCTGTTATCACACTTTCTATAAGTATCAAGGAAGAAACACTCAACTTTTGAACATGTTTTGTATATATTCCACAGAAACAGTTTAGATTCTCATTTGATTGAATTAAGAAAGTTCAATTAAAGTGAATGGAACTAATGTCAGTTTTTGGTTGAAAATCTATTGGGAAAAGAGAACATTGAAAAAGATGTCAGAAATGTAAATGATAATGAGACATTTATTGTCTATTGCAAAGATGAAATAATTGGATTGTATTGCATGAAGAAATATGTCAATCTCTAATACTTGAAATCTCACTTCTGTATACAAGATCACGTATTAATTAAGGAGCATCCTAAACATTTGCATACTCGATTATTACATGGAATCTTGAATCCATTGTTTGCTAAACAAACAAGATTTATTTTAAGAGAAATTTGCAGATTGATGGATAAGACATGTATAATGTTAGAGATTCATGATCGTACTCTCTTGCCAGATATATTCCATGAATTCAATTTTGTGAGAAGTCGAGCATTTCCTCATTTCTTGAAGTAGAAATGGGATTGGACTCTTGACGATGATTAAAAAGAACGTATGGGCACAATTCTAGATGATCGTGATCCATAAGATTAGACTCAATCCCCCTTTTCATTAGCGATGCTTACCAAAAAATAACTATCTAATGTTAAAATCTCCAATAATTCTCGCATTGTAGTAGTAGGGGCATCTGATACTGGATTGTCTTTTATTGAATCATTACTTACTATAAAGGATATTCACTTTACCAATATCATTTTATTGGCTCCTGGAGGATTGATAACCATGCATGTTAAACATGAATTTGAAATGCTAAAAGCTATGAGTACCAATTATACATTGGAAGAATTAAGAGCGTTGATGATAGATGCTAGAGTGCAGGTAGTTGATGCTAAAATGGTAAAGTTGGATAAAAAGGGAAATCGAATTAAAATTGATAAAAATGCATTCATTCCTTTTGATTATCTCATAATCACCGTTGGTTTGATTGATACTGAATTGCAATCAAGAGAAAAGATTAGTTTTGGTCTATCTAAATCTCCCTATTACAAAAATTCATAATTTATAAATGGAGTCTATAGCATAGATGATCCATACCTATACTCCCATTTCAAAAGAACCGGATTCAAAGGAAGTAACATTGATTTGTTAACAAGAAAGAAAAAGCCATAAAATATAACAATTTATGGTAACAACGTTGACCACCATTACATTCATGAATGGGTTACTCAATAGAGGTGTTCATCCATCTCGTATTAATTATGTTATGCCACCCAAAACATTTTAGAAATAAACCAGATTTGAGAACAATAAATAACGACTTGAATAGGAGGACAAAATGATCTTTGATCCAGATTAATTTGAAAATGAAGAAGTCAAAAATAAAGTATTCGACATTATGGTAAAATTGGGCATAAAGATACATTAAGGATTCACCTTGTATGAATTAAAAGTAGGGAAGGAAGGATTTGGATTAAATAGTGAAGATGTACTATAGGAAGTCATCTTTAGGAAGTAAGCAGACAATTATGAAGAGTTGAAAATAGAGATTCAGAGGAAAGAGCAAGAACTTTAAGAGTTGAAGGACAATTCGGAAAACAATATGAGCAAAGACATGTATGGAGAATAGGAAGAAGGAGAAAATTAGTTAGAAGTACTAGCTAGAGAAATTGAATAACTCAAGGCAAGTGAATATGATTACTTGTAATTGGATTCAAGATTCTTCATCACAAGTGGATTAATTGACATTGACAAAGAAATCTTCCATATCATTCATGAAAATGGGTTAGTGTACAATGGTAGATTGATTGTAAAGAGTAATTTTCAAACTACTTAAGAAAATATATTTGCTTGTGGTAAGATTTGTGAGTTCTCTCAAAGATACAAACATCATTCTGTCGGAAAGAGTTTAAGATTAGATAAATATAATGGTAGGGAACTCGGTTAAAAACTAAGTAAATGCATTTTGGAACAATTAAATTTGAGTTATCTAACATCCCAAACTTATTCAGTTGATGAATTGCCTTAGCTGTACATGCCTATTGGTTAAGGTGGTATAGTCCCCCACAAACTTTATTATTATTACATTAAAAAGAATGACTTTTCAAAACCTAGACAATTACAATAATAACCATCCAAACCCATAGTGTCTGATAACTTTAAGGATTCTCAAGGCCATTTCTTATAATTTGATGTTGATCCTAATGGACTCATAGAGAGTCTCACTTATTTTGGTTCTGAGGCAGTCCATATACCAAGTTTAATACACTTCATTGAACTATCAGTGAGATATTTGAACAGATTGGATTAGAGAGGCAAATTGATTAGCAATGTGTCTGAGTTTCTCTCTGAAAATTGGGCCATAGCTCTTTATCATGAATGGTTTAGTGAATTTAGACACATTACTAAGAGTGAAATGTTGAAAAATGAACTCATTGATCAAGTGCTTGAGAAATCATAAGAAGATGCCAGAGAAGGTCGTTACATGGATGACAATTTCTTTGAAGATATCAAAAAGCTTGATCACCAGAGACATACGTCGAAAATATACAAGTAAATTATGTATCAATAATTCTATAGGAAGGTACCATCGAATTTATCAGATAAAATTAGAACCACTTACCTATGTACTTTGTTCCAAAAAAGAAACTTAATTGAAATAATAATTGAAATAAAATATTATGAGTAAAAATTCAAGGTTTTCATTCCCCAAAGCTCCTCGCTTCCCCTTACTTCGTAAAGTAAATGATACCCCGTTTTATGACATACCATCCACAATCAAAAAGCGTTCTATTAGTCTCGGGGAGAGATTACCAATAAAAATTACAGCCAACACACCCTCTCCTCAGCATTATGCACTTTAAGATACAAAATCTCAAATGAAAAAATCATTCGGGATAGGCAGAGACGTAAGCTATATTCTAACTTAGAGAATGTATCAACCGATGAAATCTTTAAGTCAAACACCAGGCCCTCAAGTTTATAAACTTCCAAACACTCTTAAAAAAATCAGTTATTCCATACGTCCTCGTTTGAAAATATAAACCGAATCTTCCATAACCCCAGGGCCAGGATCATATCATATTGCTGCTAGTCGACTAAAAACTATCCTTTGAGTATGAAAATTAATAATCTTATCCTTTTGATTAGTAATTCAATTAGAAATTCTAGATTTCTCATGTCATCATCATCATATTCATATATGTAATGTTTATATATATATGTATCTGTTTATCACGAATAGTTTATAATTATACTTTTAATTATTTCTATCTTAATAAACAGAGAATCTTCTAATCAACCTTACATAGTTTTTCCTAATTTTTAAAACGTTATAATTATAGTGTATTTTTTATTATAGAGTTGTTGAGATATTATAAAATTAATCAAGTTAAATAAAATATTAAAAAGTATGGATTTTAGAAAATTTTAAATTACCATCCTGAGACTGGTCGATATCTTTGGCACTCCTTATTTGCATTCTATCAAATTCAATTAAAAAATCTAAAAATCAATTCTAGGAGGAATAACCTCAATATTTGTTTTGGTGATCAGCTTAGCCTATTTCATCTATGTTATTGATTAATGGATTACATTCTAAATTTTACCCAAAACCAATAACTCCATGAAGGTAGAGCAATATTCTGATATTCATTTACAAGATGAAAATCCCATCATCCAATTAAGCTATGGTAAGTATTCAGAGCAAAAATTGGATCCTTTTGATACTTAGAATAATATATTAATGCCGATTGGGATATATTTCATAGATGGCAAACCATAGAAGCCGTTTTCGTTATTGAACAACAAATAAAAATCTGATGTATATCCCAATAAATTGTTACCCAGTCTTAACACACTAACCCTTGTGTAAAATGGAAATGCTGATTAAGATTTCCAAAAAACCACTGAGCTTGTTATTATGATTACTAAATGCCATCAAGAATATTTAGCAGACGGTGAAAAATGTGCAACTGATTAATAAATAGATGAATTCTTTGCAACAAGTGTTACTTATTTAGATTTTTGGATCAATCTGAAATAATTTAATTTCCAAACCTAAAAATTTGAAGTAGTGAGAAAGCAATATTATTTCTGGTTTGAATCTAAATCAGCTTAATTAAGTTAGATCATGATTAAAAAGGCATATTTACATGTGGATAAGGGCATATTGTTTAATAGTTATAGTGATTACAATTACATTTAGGATACTTAGATAATGATGTCTACAACAAAAACCCAACTCTGGTCTCCTTTAGTCTCTGGGGAAACTTATTTAAGCTTGATATTTCGATTAGATCCAGTCTCAATTGATATCTAACTTGTATACCCAAAACTAGGTGAAATCTTGGCTACAGTTGGTTCAATCGTAAATTTGCTGATGGTGGTTAAATATGGTGCTTAATACTACAACGAATCATTATTAGAAAACAAATTGACAGATAAAATAATTAAATATTATTATTCTGATTTTGAAGACCTCAAGACTTCATAAGATAATCAGACTAAGATTTATTATAATTAACTAAAAAAACAGGCGAAAAAAAAGTTAATTTTCCATAACATTCTATATGAATTATCTAGGATTCAACTGTTTTTATTCAATCAATTTGGGCGTACATTGATAGAAAATTCTCATTAATTAAAATTTAGATTTTAAGATTTTAAAGTAGATTTTGAGGGTGATGTATTTACTGCAAAGTAGTAATAGACATAATTAAATCTCATAGCTCATGAAAGTACTTCTAACTTCATGATCATAAGTATTCCAGATAAAGATAGGACCAAACTCTAAAGAGGGGACAAAGTGCATCCAGAAATTAGAAGTAGTATAGAATAGCAATCTTTTAGAGAGGACAAGTGATATTAAGTATAACACAATTGATTAGAATTTGATTTAACAATTCATTTCATAATTAATTATATATGATAGAATGCATAGCAAATAAACAATAATAATATTCATGATTATTATGGCGGTCTTTCTTCTTTTGGAAGATTGGCATGATAGATCTTTTCCCAACTAATAATGGTGTTATCAAGATTGGTTATGCTCTGGTGCAAATAGCCATCCTAACAGGATAATATTCAGATAATTACAAAAAAGGCATTTAGAGTAAACCACAAAGGTCGGACAATGACTTTGAAGAATCCCATTTCAGATTTTGCCATGATGTGTATTTTATGCAGATCCTTTAAGAAAGGTGTTTATGGTATGCCCAATCTGCCTTCTTCTTCATATTGAGCACTAAATTCTTTGTTGACTCTTTCAGACCAAATCCTTGAGATATCAAAAACTTTGGCTCCCCCATTGAAATCAGCAGTATGAATAATCATTCCAGTTAAGAGTTTGAGATCGTCATCTCCAGTTCCAAATGGTTTTGTCACATCATCCTTGATTCTACTTTCAAAATCTTTAAGGAGAGTAAAATGAACTTTGATATCCGTGTAGAGAATATTGTCTATGAGAATGCGTCTGAATTGTTGATGCTGTTCTTTAGTTAGGTTGCTTAAAAAGTTGAGTGATGAATCTTTAAGCATAAATATCGTGGTGGCTGCATGGTGTTGTTCAAGAGGCTAAAGGATAATAAGATTCTTACACTTGAATCATGATACCTGGTGGCTAATTTAGATTGGCTGTTAATCATAAATACATTAGTTCTGCCAGTGTGTGAAACATCATGACACAAACCAGAAATGATGGTTGCCATTCTTCGAAAATCATCGATGAATTGTTTGGCCTTTTCACATTACAACATGAAATGAGCACTTTACATAACCGATATTCCATGATCATAATTGTGAAATGAGTTATTTTTCTTATTGTATTTCTGTTATAGAACACTTAAAAACTAAGCTAAACATTAATTATTCATATTATATTGAGAGATGAATCCATTCTTCTCCAAGATGCTATACACCAATCTATGTTTCTCCTACGAGGAATCCAAAGTCAGAATATTGAATTCAAACTAATCCAATTAAGAATCTCTCTCAAGTATTTTAAATTAGTTTATGTTAACCTACTCTAATTGCTGTTGATATTTGATGTACACACTTGAACTAATCTTCTTTTTTTTTTAAGGTGGAATAATCCATTAATCAATTTGCATGTCTTTCGACTATGAATCAGAACCCTTTACGTCAGGTTTACGATGTCTAATCTATTGCAACTCATTCTCAGGGATGAAGAGAGCTATCATTGAGTTGGCGACATCTTGCGTTTCATCTAATTGATTTAGAAACTTGAAGGTTTAATGTTTATTGTATTGAATTAGTATTTGTCTTTAGATATCCTCCTCGAATGATTTATTAACTTCAGCTTCCTTCTATACGTCATTCGTCATGCTGTCCATCTTCAGAGTCATAAAGTAGTGTTTAAGTCTCCTTGCCTCATTTTCATGGAATATGACTGTGAATCCTTTAAAGTCATTATCAATCACCTTGAGAAATATTTCAAATTGAGGGATTTCGACGTTGCTCAAGTATTGATTTTGCCTATTTTCATGGATATTCTAAATATTCACCTCAATATTGGAAATGATACTGTTTTAAGCAAAAATATCCTGATAAGTAATTTTATTATATAGAATTGCTTTCGGATCAAAGTTAATATTGTATCTTTGTCTAATTAATCATATGAAATGAATTTACTTTTATGCCTTAGAAATTGGTCTACTCAAGAAAATCAGTTCTCCTTGCTTATTGAAATCAAACAATAACGAGTCAGTAGTTCTAAGGAAATACTTATAAAACGCAGACTTTTCATAACATAACTTCACGTATCCATCATATTTCTCTAATATTTGAATTATCTATTGGATATAATATCTAATAATTACAAGAGAGTATAATTGTGAATCCTGTTCATTCTTCAGGTCCAAGTTCTTTATACTTAAGGTAACTTGATTTGAATCTTTTAATTCTATTTTTAATGAAGGCACCTCTTTGTTCTTCTTAACCAGACCCTCAGTCTAATTCTACTGTTCTTATTCAACTTCGTATTTTGCACTCAAAACTTGTTTAATGCCTTCAAGCAACAGAAATCTCGATATCCTCATAAACGTGATTCCTATGTCCTACACATGATCAGCAAAGCGTAATGGATTGAAGAATTAGACTTTAGCAGTTATGATAGTTTCAACTAAGAATTGTGCTAGATGAGTGACATCTGTGTTAAATCCATAGATGTTAGCATTGCTAAAATCAATAATGAGGAATACTTGATGAAATTTCTCTTTATATTATTTTTATCCTTATCTGTCCAATGCAAACAGAAGAGAACCTCGTAATTTTTGATATGCAGTTGGAATTTAACGATGGATGTTTGTGCATAGGCGTTGGTTTTACAGGTCTCCTGGATTTGCGGATATTGATTATGTTTTGAATCTACTCTGTGGATGTAGGAAGGCCGAATTTATGTTAATTCATCGTTAACCTTTTGGGCTTCTTCAGGAGTGACATCTTTGATGGAATCATTGGCTGAAGAGTACACTTCCCAATCCTTGTCTCGATGAATGAAAAAAGTAAATTCATCAGCATCGACAAGTATTTTGAGAAGGAATTTCAGCACTTAATACAAATTTTCATATGAAATGTCTTCTTGCATGAGAAGCAAATGCGTGTGCAAGTTGCCAGTAAAAATATTCTTTAATTCTTTGTAGATCTCATCTATTTGCCTTTTCATTTTGTCATACACATCTTCTTCACTAGAATCAGCATCTTTCTCACTTATTTCTGCTAGTTTGTTATCGTCGCCTATATTTTATGCATGCTAGCCATTTGGGTCTGCTTATTCGGATGTAAGTTGTAGTATTAAATTGCATAGTGACAACAACTTTTCCTTGTCTTCTGGGACAAGTAAATTATGCTTTTCAATATGCTTGTTCAATAATTCTGTGAGTTGGTCAATCATCACTGCACCTACTCCTGCTAAAGGCTGGGGTATTGATTATTCTAGCTTGCTTGTATTCTGTTGTTTGTCTTCATCCGAGACATCTTTGGTAAAATGCATAGTCTTGGATTTATGTTACCGTCTCCTCTGTAATGCCTTATTTTATTCCTCCAAATAATCTAGTAATGCCTATCGCAATTGCATTTCCCTAATTAAATGAGAAGGTTCACGAATACTTTCCAGGTCCACTATTTTGAATGAGAACGCGACAAATTTTTTCTTCCTTGTGAGTCAGACTAGATTTGAGGAGAGCCTTCTGTTCAGAAGAGATTTGGTTGGTCTTACAAAGATTGGTGACAACGATGAAGAATTATGTGTAGTGACTCAATTATGGATCCATTTTTATAATTTATAGGGTCGTTTCAAGTAATTTGAACTTCCCTTATAATATGATTGTGAACGAGGTTTCACAACAACTGTGTCTGGAGTCTCAGTAACATGCTTTTTGAATTCTTCCAATCCAAGACGTTGTTTCTGTTGGATCAGATTGACATGTTTGTGTTTCCCCATGGAAATAAGTTTGGACAATTTATTGTTCAATTTCTCCTCTAATTTTGGAGTATTGTCACTGAATTTGAACGCCTTCAATTCAGGCTTGGAACATCGTTCTCCTGAACATAGAACCAATCCAAAGCCTATTGGATAGCACCGCACTTGCAGTGGACGATTGCAACAATAGCTATAAGGTACTTATTTTGAGTTCATGAAAAAGATGGTGTAAGTTTTGGTGTACAAATGTTGGCAGATGAGGATGCTGTGTTATCGAAGTTGGATTTCAGGGAACATCCTCATAATCACATTCTGAATGTAGATCGATTTCTCATCATTGGGAGAGAGAGACTCTGTTTGTGATTCTACATGGACTAAGCGAATAATGTAAATAAGTCTACTGGCATTGAGAGTCTCTTTCAGAGAAGGTTCATAGATGTGGTAATAAGGCTTATCATCTAAGTTGGGAAGTAAAGTGTTATTCATTTTAATAAAAATATCATTAGATTTCCATCTTCTATTGAAACAATTTCTCAAACACTGCCCCAGGCCCTGATGGATCCGAGAAGTTGTGCAACTTAAGGTTTTCTCTACATTATTAAAATCTATAATAAACTTGTTGTAATCTCGGACATCTCTGCAACCTTGCATCCCTCTCAGATACTTCAGCAAGGACTCCAATTCCTTGTCTTCCTTGTTGTCATAGAAGGGAATTATGGGAATCCCATTTTCTAATTGCCAAGCATAAGAATAAGAGGCATTGTCCACCAAAACCAATTGACTCAATGGACGATCAAATATTCTCAGATCCTTTGTATACATTCCTCCTGTGGTCATTATGCAGTTGTCACGGTACAAACTGTGTGAGATTAGTGTCTTATTCGGATCCAGATACTCTATAACCTTCTAAGCATAGCAAGGATGAGAGGCAGTGAAAATGATCAATTCAAAGTCATTGACCAATAGTTCAAGCAGTTTTATGGCTCCAGGTCTAATATTGATTCCTGCTTTTATTGTTTCTTGAGGGGAAACTTAAATAGTAAGAATAACATCACTGGGAATGGCGAGACTCTCATTGCAATGAACCAAGGTTTCGTCAAGATCAAACACAATGCTAATCTTATCTAATGATATGATTGATTCATACTTTTATAAATATCCTTTTGTTTAAGACGTACTTATTTGTTTTTGAGATCCTTTGGATCGGCTGGCGATAAATATGAAGCAACATATATTCCTTAATAGGTTTAAAAAAAATGCTCTCTGTACATCCGACTAAAATAATCGTCGTGTATGGGTTTCGTGAAAGCATTCTTAACTTTAGTTATATAATATTGTGGCTGATCTTAATTTAATTTCTTAGTGCTCTCAAAATACTTGTTCACACTTAGACTGCCCTTCCCTGCACTTTTAGGAGTAACCTGTTGCGATTGTGTTTTTGGCTTCTAAAACAACGCACTCTGAAGCTTTTTTAGGATCAAATCCTTGCTTTATCCCACTGATTGCTGGGGACGATGGTGTGGTTTCTTCTCAGTTGATGGTCTATATGATTAAGTGCCAGTTGGTGTTGGGGGTTTAACTGGGTATTAGATGTCCAGTTAAGGTGAGACTTTCGTCACAAGTTGACTTAAAATCTTGGACGATTGAGTTGGAGTGATAATTGGATGTTAAACTTTACTCTCCTTCTTTTTGAGCAATTAGAAGTATTTTTGCATAGCAGCATTCACTTCTGAATTGCTCAGCTTTTTGGCTGATGATTCGCGATTTGCTTGTATTTTTTACGGCAAATATGACTTTGAGAGATTAAAATCCATTAAATATCGTTGTGGTTTCATATATATTAAATTTATGGTAACCTGATTGACAGGTTTCCCTATGATTTATGAATAATATTGCTCAATTTTTATACATTTGGATCCATTCTAATTTCATCCATCTACAACATCATACGATCATGTAATTTTCTAATTCTACTTGTTGGCAAATGTAATGTGGCATTCGGAAGTTTAGTAAATTTTTACGCCACCTAAACTTGTGGAGGATCCTACATACTTTCAGCCTTTTTTCTTCGTCTTCTTGGGTCTCATAAGTAATTTGAATTCATCCTCCTTGAACCTCTTTACGCTTTTCACTTTTTCCACAACTATCGAACTTTTCCTATCATTTCTTGGTGACCCCACCTGCAACAACTGCAACATAAAATTAAACTTCTCCCTATTTGTAATGTTGTCCTCATTCAGTTTCTCCTACAATCTCTTCCTCTCAATCTATTCTCCTATTCTTCGAAACAATCCCTCCAGTGTTGGAGGAGTATTTGCAGTTTCATCCTTCTTTGGTTTGTAAGTCATCTGCAAGTCAGGATTATGAAGCAATTGATGAAATGCTAACTCATTTAAATGATTCTTAACATTCTGATGGCATACTTAATTAGCCATCCTAAGCAATTTACATAAATTCGAGAATGGTACATCATATTGCCATGCCTAAAAAGTAATATATAGTTGGAGTAACTACTCTCAATAATTTAAAGATTCTCTCCAGAGTTATGAATTCTTCTCCTTCACGAATCAAATTGAAAAGATCTTACAATTAGTTCTAGCATGCGAGTGGATAGCCATGTATGTAACATTAAGAATTCATTTAATTTATATAACTAAATTCATTAATTTTCTTTATAAGTTTATCGATCAAATTATGAGATAATTAATCTTTTATTTAATCATTCAATTCTTTAAAGGTTTAGAAATACCCTGATATATTATATGGAACTCAAATTACCTGATAGTATTATTGACCACTTGGAAAATGGATTAATTATAACTATTGCTCCATAAGTACAAGTAAAAAACATACTAGATTCTAGTAATAATAATGGTTTAAACATTATAATCTATTATTAATTTTATAGAATTTTTATATGAATTATTATTAGAAGGGGATCAAAAGAAATGAAATTTTGTTATGGAAAGATGAGTATTACACTAACAGATTAAACAAATGCAAATTCTTCTAATATTTAAAATATTTAAGAGTTATAAAGTGTACTAAAATTACTAGAATTTCTTTTATTATTAATGCATTATTACACTGATTTGAGTAATATCTTCTTGAGAATGCAGCAGAATTCAAATGTTCAATTAATTAGAAGGGATTAATGATAACATTAAAAAACTGACCAAGTGTAGGATTAATATTTTTATTGATATATAACACCAAATCATATAATGGTAGTGAAATCTCCAATTATTAAAAATTAAATAATTTTGAATTGGATTCTATTTGCAATAGTCAATTTCATCTTCACACCATTTGATTAGCAAAATTTATATGGGTTATCTAATAAAAAAGATTTCTAATAAATTAGCATCAATAAAATCATTATAGTTTCTGTTTGAATAATGAAATCCAAACAATTTTACGTGCCTCAAAATAAGCTTATTCTTAAATCATCTTTAAAACCACCTTTTTTTGATTTTAATTGTTCTGAAATTTTATCTGTTTTAATTCTTTTCAAAATTAGAGAGATTTCAGAGACTTACAATTTGAACACTCAAATTAAAAAGCTGATTATATTTCAACGATTTTTATATCATCCTTCAATCTCATTTTGTATTCTCCTAATCTTAGGTGAATTTCATAAAATAACTTCGATTCAAGAGATTTTATTTTCGACACCAAAGACTTTTATACATTCAATAACATTTAAAATAGTACAAACCATCATTATTCAAATAAATATTTCTCACTATATACTCATAAATCAACCATGTCTCTTGTCTTGTCTACATATCCGTTCTCATCTGGCATATAATATTTTCCGTCCATCAACACAGGTTATTTTTTTTAATACATTTCCTTTCTGTACTTTTATACTTCTAATGGATCAATCTCAAAACAAGCCTTAGTATATTATACACAAAATTCATCTTCAATTGATTCATTTGATTCTCTTTTCATTAGATGTTCACTCAATTAGTCTCTCCAACCACCAATAAATACAGTGCATCCAGATTCAACTGTTCTACTGATATATGCATATCCTTTGAATTCCTCTATCACAAGCTCTACTCAAGGCATCTTCAATCAAGACTTCGCTTCTGCTTTATTTTATTTCTTTCAAAGTCTCCCTAATAATCGCCTGGCATCCCATACAATAGATATGCTTATCGAAAGTTCTAGGTCTCACAGAAAGTGGATCAAACTTCTTTTTAGCGTTTATTGCGAGTATTAATGTGATGTAAATTAAAATTATCATTGCATAAACTCTGCAAATAGTCCAAGTCTTTTAATTAAATAGAAATAAGTAAATCGTACTTAGAAATAATCTTCATTAGGAGGGTTAACATTTCTTGGATAAATTTTTTCATATTAAGAAAACAAAGGATTGAAATATTTTATTTATTTTATATATTTAGTCCTTTTACAGATAAATAATAGAATAGATAAGTAGGTTAATTAATTATTCCAGTAGCGACCATTCTTAATGGATTGAAAATTCAATCTTTATTTATTGAGTTCAATATTAATCAAAATTATTTTGTAGAATAATTATTAATGAAATAAATTGGCCTTACACCTAAGAAATGTTGTTGAAGCCACTTTTTTGATTTCTTATTAGATTTATCTAATTTTAATTGTTTATATAGATTGGATTGCATATCTGTTTAAATAAGCCACCTAATCTCTAGATAGTATTTTTATATGTCACTCTATCAAATAGAAGGATGAAATAGTGTAGTAAAGCATAATGATAGATATTAGAGACACATTAATTATTAACGATTATCTTAAAAATATAAATATATATCAATGATTATAAGTTAAATTTAATAAGGAACTAGTTGGGATTTCTCTTATTCTATAAAACAATAAATAAGTATATTGGGACACTACTTTCTCTGCTGATTATGGTTTTATTTGATCGTCATCACAATGCACCCAAACATCTTTTTAATCAATATTCTTCAACACATAAGAAGTATAATGGCCTACTCTTAGATAAAATATACTTACCGTATTAACCATTACCAAAATGATTAGCAACTGCATATAGATCATAAATCTTGTTACTATTTTGTCCAATCTGCCATTACTTCAAATTCAAAGACCTCAAGGGGAAATCTATATCTGATTCTATCTTCTCCAAATAACCATCCCTGTATTAGAATCTCTTCAGATGCAATATCAAAATATTAGGAGTGTGTCCCAATGATAACTTTACAATTGCTTACTACTTGGATTGACATTTATCGCAATTTATCTCTACTTTCTCTTCCTGTGTCAAGATTGAAAAACATTGATCTGGTGTCACTCTATCTTTCCTGTTATTTTTGTTCTCAATCAACTATTAATAAGTTTCATGATGTGAAACAACTGTTGAAAAAAAATTAAATGACAATGAATCTATCCAATCCAATACTATGCAGTAATTCTAAGGTAATTGTAAAAACATAGGATCAATTTCACAAGAATAGCCAGTGCAAACATTGTATCTATTACTCGAATTGGCTGTACTTTTTTCGCATGCTATGCAATTCATATTTTAGTCTAAAATTTTAATTTTATAAGGGAAATCATTAGATTTAATGAAATTGAGCTCTTCCTAAATTGATTCATAGTTTGGTCTATTAATTTTCTTTTGATTCGGTTCCAAGTCCTATTCTGTTCTTCTATAACTACTCTTCCTCATTTCAGCCTAACCTAGATACACACTTTATGCATTGTATTTTTTGGAATGATGTAAATCATTTGATATATCCTGGGCTCCATTGTAGTATTGCACTTTCTCTTTTTGCATCTTCTATATGCAACTCTTCTTCTTCAAATAGCCCTATAAGATAAATTACAAAAATACTTACAAAATCTATGAATCGTTTGGCCTGTATATAGATTAATGCCTAAAACTCGTTTAAGGTGAGATGAGAGGATGGAACCAATATTAAAAAGGGAAAACAGAATTTCTCATATTGTTCAGTTGCTTTGTTGAAATATCGATTTGTCACAGTAACTAGATTAAACTTTTTTTAAGTCTATACTTTGCTTCTAAAAGGTTACAATTGATATTAGTGAAATGTTTACACATTTGGATATTAATTTTGTTTTTTTATTTAAACTTTATAATTCTTTTCGTGATTCTTATCAATTATTTAAGTGATTTAGCCATGTCTCCAATCTCCCAACCTATCTTCAATATCGACATAATCTGAGGTTTGGAAGTTCTCTTTTCTATAAGTGAACATGGACATCAACTCCTAAAATTCATCCTCTGCATCCTTGACAACCTTGGCTATCTCAAATACATGTAGTAATTGATTAGCCTTTAAACCGATCTATCTAATAGGGATTGAGGGATTCAGATTTCCAAATTGTCGATGTATTTAATTTCTATAGATTTCAGTCAATTCAAATCTCTATTGAGATATCCCAGTAACCTTCTCAATTGCAATAAACAAATCCTTCAGCAAGGCATATTTAGAGACTTTGATCCCGTACTTATCCAAGGGTGGAATCTCACTCTACAATGATTGACACTTCTTAAACAATATAATGAAGATGGGAATTTCATCATTTATTGGGATTGGTAAACTCAAAGTATAGTACTCCTCAAACTTCTAACTCTTGTATTAGCAATTTTAACAAATCAACGTATTGACTGTCTTACCAGTAAATAGTTCTTTTACTACCGTTTCGAACTACTCGAAGGAGTTATTGATATTGGATTAAACGATAGATTTCTTCTATAGGTTCTTCTTCAGTTCATCTGACATGGTGTCTAAAAGCATATTAAGAAATTCTTGTGCATCGTGTTGTTCAAAGCCTGAAAATGAAGGCAGATTGTGATCAATAGCTTTTTTGAATTATTCAGGTGCAAATGCTTTGTCTTTTTAATCCTTCAACCTAATGGCTACTTTAGACAATTCCTCAATCAAATAAGTGAATTTAGAGTTCTTTTAAATTTCAGACTTGAATGCCTACTTATACAAGTAATCATCGAACACTGGTGTATTTATTAGACACTACAGCACTGTGTTAATGAAACAGGTGTTTCCCAAATTCAACAATCCAATATGATGAGGAATCAGAAAATAGTTTGGTTCCTACTTTTATTTCGAATTCGGAGGATATATTCTTATAGATCGTTCAGTAGCTGGTATAGAAAAGTCTCTTTGATAACTTTCCTTTTGGATGTGAAATCTAATGACACTTAGATCTTCTGAGAATCCATTTACTATACACAACAACCATTCATTTGAAGTAGGATGCTGAACATCGTACAATTGTCCCAATCCACATCCAACCTATTGAAATACAGATTTTGGAGTCTTGCCTTTCAATACCAAAGTAACAAAGGTGCCAGATACAATTTATAAATCCAGTAATTTCAATTCCATGTCTTCTACAAGAGTCCATGATTCGTTCACCTTCATGTAATACAACTGATAATCATATTAATTTTTGATCTTAAACTTTTTAACCAATTTGTTCATAACTTGACGCATAGATTTTCGTAAATTGACCATAAATTTGTATGAACGCCTAAACGATAACTCTCCCTTATTTGTGGTGATGTATCCTTACAAAACTGGAGGGTAGAGATCAACAATCTAAGTTTTAGTACGTTCATCATGAAAAGACCGTCTCTTATAAGCCAGATTATTGTAGCATCCGTACCATTACACTAGAGAAATCCAAGCAGCCTCAGGCAAGATCAAATAATCATGGTTATTTAGAATGTTGGTTTTCAATTCCCCTTCATATTCTCCTTGGATGTCTGAATTATCAATTGAACCTGGTCTAATCGAAGTCTGGTTCTCTATTATATAAAACTAAGAGCCATGAAGGGATTCATGCAATCCATGATTGAAAGTCAATCCTGGATGGTAAAGATCCTCGTTTTTCTCTTCAAATTGAGATCCCTACACTCCTTGATCATCTTATTGAGGTGCTATTATCTTCTATTCTTCCATTTCCTCTATATCCACAATGGAAATATGGGCGATCTTTCGGATTGGGTTATTGACAAAGTTATAGTTTACATAGAATCTCCACAGTTCCCACCATTTGTAACTTATCACATAGTATTTCTAGGATGAGGCTGACGTCGATTGGAGCATCTCCTTGATTCTTTCTCTCTCCTTAAGCGGTCCAGGCAATAGTTCAAATATCTCGAAATACCTTGTTAGGTTGAAATTTGTGTCGATCCAAATTTTAAACATGCCCTTCTGCATTTCTGAAACCTCAAAATCAGTCTTCTATAGATATTGTCTATTTTCGTGTATAAAAAACTCCATCTCGGATTTACTCAATTTACCATCCTAATCAAAATCATAAAATGCCAACAGAATTTCTGCTCGGTCTCCCTCCTCTGAATTAAAGATCACACTCAACATAATACAAAGTTCTCGGAAATCTATTCTGCCATTTTAATCAAAATCAAAACATTTGAAGACATGCAACGAGTTTTCCTAATCCTATAAACTTATTACTTTATGATTTCAACTTAGGAAACAAAGTTCTGAATTTGAAATGATCCATGCCATCTATCGGATTCACGGCCAAATATTTCTGTTTAAGCATTTATAAATATGATGATGGCCACATGTCCAACAAAGTACTCAAAGGTCTTTCCTTCAACAAATACAAACTTAATTTATCATCATATTTTACAGTGGATTCTACTTGTTCCTTTTACCACCTGTACAAAAGCCTCCCATGTTATCAAAATATTATTTATTTTATATTTTATTAAAATAACATCCAAATTTTTAATTTCCTCCAAAAAGTTTCACCATTCATCCTAAATCCCAAGGCTCTTATACATATAACATAAATAATTCAAAATTACTAACTTGATCTTTTTTTGAATATTTGATTAAATTAATATATCTATAGTAAATTATTTATAAATATTCAATGATTATTAGAAACAATTATCTTGTCATTCTATCTCCTTATCTCTTCGTTCCCTAAGAAGTCGTCATTTTATTCTTATTCAAATTATTCCTCTTGGCGGTCAAAATTATAGAGCTCAAAAGGAACTTCTTAACCATCAAGAGTATTTAAATTACTAATCTTTATTTTAATATAGAAACTTTGCAACATTGCTTTTTATATCAAATTATTTAATTTTTGGGTCACCTTTTAACTAGAATTTGTAGATTCGATTGATCTTCAACTTAACTTGAAAAAGCACTCTATCTCGTCTTATGTATTTGCCAATTCTTTTGTGGATAGACTTTAAACCGAACCTACGATTATTATAATAATAAAGAAGATTCCATTTTCTTTGATAATAAAAATCCATATGGTTTAAAAGGGAGGATCTTGCTTATTTTGCTTTTTTTGCTTATTTTGATTTCCTAAATCTTTATTCCATCAATAAAATCCTCTTAATTTAGTAGCCCATAAGTTCCTTTTTCACTACTACTTTTAAGTCTATCCGTTTCATTTATATGATTTAATATTAATTTACAACTATAATTCAATTGATGACTATATAGTTTAATTTATCCGATCAAAACTGATGGACGTGATGAATATTAAATATAGGAATGAATGGTCTCATTATAATACTATAATCAATAACAAAAAAAGTGTTATTTCATAAAATAAATAATCTTGATTAAGTCTCTAACCAAGATTTAATGATCATAAATATTTTAATTAATGAGCGAGAAAAAATAAAAAAGGAAACAGAATGATAAAGAGGATGGCGAATGGAAATGCTTAGAGTGTTGCAAATCCTATCTGTCATATCCAGCATTCTATACTCATTGCAAAACTAAACATGATTCCAAATGGCCGAAGCAATACAGCACTCCAAGACCTTTGGAAGAAATCAAGCGTGATAAAACAAAACCCAGAGTAAATTGTATGTGAAATTAATAGACCAATATGGATGAGCAAAAATAGCATGAGAAGGAGGATCAGATCTTTGAATTTTTGGGCAAATTAGGGCAGAGCAATGAGGAGGAGGACTCGTCAAACAATTGCATTAGACACTATTTGAAATAACCAATCGACCCAATTAAATCATTGAATGATGATCTGTTTTAAGGAACAAATTATTTAAACATTTATAACCAAGTGTTGAAGGAATTGGAAGAATTGAATAAAAAGGTACTTGATCAGGAAGCAATTTGGGATTTCAAAGATCCTCTTACATTAACAAACGAATTGGAAGAATTCACCTTTTCTAATCTCAAAGGAATGTTTCACCAACTTGATGGCCAATTGAATGTGGTTAATGTAACAGCCATCTTTATGGGATGGCTAAGTAGACATCTGAAAAAGAATGCTTATTAAGACATATCAATAATTAGCATTATTACAGCATATTTCTTTAAAAATTACTAATCCTTGAAATCTCAAGAGGTCAACACAGAAGGAAAACTAGACTTGATGTCCTTAGATCAAAATGAAGCACAACATGACGATCAACGCAAAAAATAATAAGAGTACTGCAAAATCGACAAGTAGAATGACACAGATTTAAAGAAGGAAGTTTTATCCTAAATGAACAGTTATTTGGTATTAAAATCAAAATTATATTTATAGAAAAAAGAGTACCATAAATTTTAGAACCAAGTATCATACATTAGAACACCTGATATTGCCTAGGCATTCTTTTGTTTATTAATAGATTGGATAGAAGCATATTCTGATCTTGAGGATTACGTTGAAAAAGGAAAAGAAGTTCAATAGGAAAAATAACAATTATAAAAACAAGATGAAAAAGGAGAATGATCTATTAAAATCATATAACATAAAACATTACTCAATAATGATGTTTGATTTATGACTATTTAAGAGAATCTCTAAATTTAATATATTAACTTTTGAATCCATCATTTCTTTTACAAGTACTATATCTTCAATGACTGAACACATTTCTTATTATTTCAATAATTATAGAGATAAATTCAATATGTATTTCAGAAATACTTTTTGTTTTTCTCTAGAATTAAGATTTTAATGAAATATTTTATCAAATTATGGATTAAGACATTTATTGTTAATTTTAGAAGAATACTGAGTCTCTTCTAACTATCTACCTTAATTAACAGTTGAAATCTTTTACCTAAAACTAATATATTATATTTAAAGTAGTAATCTTTATAACTTTACTGAATAATTATAAACATAAAATGCCCTTTGTTTCTAAATTTTGTTTATCAATGCTTAAAGTTTAGTAAGTTTATCAATATTTATATTATTTAGTTAAGTTATATAGAATTTGAAGTAGGACTTTCAATAATGTTTCATATATTTAATTTATATAAATCACAGAAGATCCGGTTCATTTTAAGATGGAGTTCAACAACCTTCTTAAAGAAGGTTATCCTTCCAAATGCCTTGTGTGACATGATTTCTACTTAGAAGAGAGCCTGGACCATTTCGTTTGCCCTTTTTAAAGAAACCATAGAATTTAAAAGTTTTGGTTTCTTCAATGGCTTCTCCACTTACCAAGCCATCTTCGAAATAACCTTTGTATCTGATATTTCCTTTGTTCAAAATTCCTAAGCCATGATACTTATCTTCTTTCCATTCTCCGATATAAATTAAATGGTTGTCAGAACTGTAGAGTGTGCCTTTGCCATGCCTCATTTAATTCTTGGTTTCCCCGTAATAAGTTGAGCCATCAACATAATCGATTTTGTGAGAGATGTCCTGTTCTTTGTTTGGACTTTGGTTTGCTTTTGAAAAATGACTCTTTTGTCTAACAAGATTGGATAGTTCTGGGAAGCAAGAACTATGAGCAGGTTCGTTGGATTTAACTATTCGGATATAATTTATGGACTTACAATAAATATTAGAGTCTGGTCGGTGTTGAGAAGAATACCGATCATACAAGAGTGGTGAATTGGGAGAGCCTTGGGTGTGCAGATAGGAGGTGGCTGGAGAAAAGGTTCTGTTGGGAGAATGGTAGGGTACAAACATGGAAGGAGGGGATTAGATCAAAGGTGTCTAATTGAATAGATTCCTGTACATATTAAATTAAATAATACATGGGGAATACATGCTGTAATAATCAGACAATTGATACAGGTATTTGTAGATGTTATGAATATGACAGAGAAGTAACTAGACAATCGACCTTAGAATCCAGGATAGCAATCTGATTAAGAGCCTAATAATGTTGAGGAGCCTCTGAAACACATTATATGTAAGTGTAATGGATTTAGTATAGCTTATCCAACATTGTCAGTGTAGCCCTCGTTATTCATACAAATGAAAAGAGAGACCATCTATAGTACTTATTCAGTAGGGAAGCTATTGGGAGAAGGTTAGGATTTTAGTGATATCCAATTAGGTGCTTATGGATAGGTTTCGATTGTTACGCATAGAGTGACTGGGATGCAGAGAGCAATGAAAGCCATAAGGAAGGATTGTCTGTTTGAGGAAGAGTAGGCCAAGCTATTTTCAGAAATGACAATTTTGAAAAATCTTAATCATCCTCATATCGTTAATTTGTTTGAGTTGTTTGAGGATGAGAAGTTTTATTATTTAATAACAGAGTAATTGATTTCTTAATATTGTAGATATTTAAGAGGAGGCGAACTCTTTGATCGCATTTAGAAGGCCAAGAGTTTCAGTGAGGCAGATGCTGTTCGATACATGAAACAAGTTATCTCTGCAGTTGCTTATTGTCATTCAAACAATATAGTACATAGAGATCTCAAACCAGAAAATATCATTTTCGCATCTGAAGATCAATACTCCACTTTGAAAGTCATTGATTTCGGGACATCACGCAAATTTGATAAAAACTAGAATATGTCAAAAAGATTAGGAACTGTAATTTACATACTCTATTCATTAGCCATACTATATTGCACCTGAGGTCTTATAGAAGAAATACAATGAAAAATGCGATGTGTGGTCTTGTGGTGTCATTCTCTACATTCTATTGGCTGGATATCCTCCCTTTTATGGTCGAAATGAAACTGAAATCTTTGATAGAATCCTGAAGGGTAAAATTCCATTTCACACTGCTGAGTGGAACAAAATATCCAAGGAAGCAAAAAACCTAATTACCAATATGTTATGTTAGGATGTAGGGAAGAGGTATTCTGCTTAATAAGTGTTGGATGATCCTTGGATGCAATAGGTACAAGAGCAAAATTTGGTTGATGACAATTTCTTAAAGAATCTCACTGAATTTAGTGCCAAGAGTAAACTTAAATAGGCCTTGCTTACTTTTATGGCTTGCCAAATGATTTAGCCTAAAGAAGTTGAACAAATTTAGGAGTTGTTCAAATAAATGGATAAAAATAATGATGGAAAATTATCTAAGGAAGAGTTAGTAGCAGCATTTTAATAGAAGGTGTAGAGTAAGGATAGACTGATTGAAAATATGGAGACCAAGATCAATAAAATTGTAACTGAAATCGATGTGAATTTATCTGGATATATCGATTATACTGAATTTATTATGGCATGCTTAAAATACGAGAAATTGCTTACGATTGAAAAAATTAAGCAAACATTTAAAATATTCGATATTGTAATGAGTATACATTATTCTAGGATGGTGATAATTACATCTCTAAAGAAGAATTGTCACAGGTCATGGAAGGAGTGGATGATGATATATGGAAGCAATTTTTAGCTGAATGTGATCAAGATAACGATGGTAAGATTTCAGAAGAGGAGTTCATAAATCTGTTACAAGATAAATTTTGATATTTCAACAATTATTATTAATCTCTATAATCATTATTTCTGCCCACACAGTATTTGATTTACATTCCATTTCCAACTATTTATATCTATATTTATGTATTCAAATCATCTTTTAAGAAATGTCCTTAATATTAGAATTTATGAGTGGCTATAAATAGATTGGATACATGAAAAATCACCTTATATTAACAAAATGGTCATTCTTTTTATAATTGAAAAATCAAAAATTATTATTTTAAATCTAAATACTGGTACTCTCTAATTATTGAAGAACTCCCATCCTTTGATTACTCACAATAATCCAGGAAAAACCTGTTAGGATGAGAATAAAAGGGTTTTGTTTGTGCCAATAGAATAGGTTTTTAGAGGTTATTGAACAAAAGGAGAGTTGAAACAATGTTAGTGTGAGTTTAAGATAAGAATTAATAGAAAGTTATTGTAAGTGAAGTAATTTAGCTAAATAGTGTGAAATTAATTTATAAATAAAAATAATAAAAGATATTTTAGAATGGCTACCCCAGAATCATTAAACCCAGCTCCTCTTACTGGTTTAGGAGACCATTCTTACAAGAAGGTCTTGGAAGATGACTATTCAACTGGAAAGTTAAACCTCAAATTTAAGGGAAACACAAAGAATTTGGGCACTGCCAACTACAAGGGATGGTTAGATCTGAGCAAATAATAATCTAAGCAAGAGACTAAGTTCCAATTCCCCTACTAGAAGTATGAGTTTATGAAAATAACATAAGATATTTCTTCCAAATTGCCACAAGAGAAGATGGAGCAAAAGTACACATCGACTTTGGAGAAGTAGCCAAAGTTGGAAGCAATGGAAGACTTAATCTATTTGCCAATGCAAAATTAGGCAGCTCTCATTTGGGATAAGCAGTACTCAGATTTGGTGGTGTTACTTAATTCAAATAAGTGACTAGTCACATACGTAAATAATCATAAATAAATTAGGTTTCGAATATAATCCAAGCAATGTCGTGAATGCATTCAACAGAGCCCTTTGGAAGAATAACAATTGGGTCTCAGTATTTGCATAAGACGTTCAAGTCACAAATGGATTTAAAGTGAGAAGATTCGACTTCCTCATTGGACGCCTCTCATAGAATTATGATGTCTTTTTCAGACACTTGACTTAAGATCCACAAAAACCCAAAGAAGTGCCTTAATTACTACAAGGAAAAGTAATTTTGGATCTTGTTTACAGAAAAGATAAAAACACTTTCGGATTGGAGGCAGAATACAACTTAGCTAAATCTTAATTAAATGCTTTGGCTGGAGTCTCCACAAAGGTAGAAAAAGTAGATGTCAAAGCAAGACTCAATTTGACATAAAAGAAACTTGCTTTGAGTGGAAAAGGAAAACTGAATGACAGGTACATCATCAAAGTGTATGTGTAGATTCAATTGGACCCTATCAACCGAAGTACCAATCGACGGATCATCACCAGCCAAATAAGGTTTCTTACCAGTCCCAATTGGATTCACATTAGATGCATCATTATGATCAATATTAGTATATATATAAAAATAAAATTTAATTGTGCTTAATGTTAGAATATTTCTAATGTATATTTGTTATGTATAAAATAAATTCCAATCAATAATGATTAGATTTGATATATTTGTTAATTAAATTAACCCATTGTTGAGCTGGTACGTTATTTTCTCTCTATTTGAAAATGTATTTCTTTTTATTTCTATCGCCAACAATGAATTTCCCTTTCCCTAACAATTTGCATGAAGTAAATTAATTTAAGGGTATAATTCTCTAACAGATAACATCAAGATAATACCTTTTTATTGTTTAATTAAGGATTAGTATAGATAAAATTTGCAACCCCATCTTAGCATACAATGCTGGCATATCTAAGAGAGAACTGAGTCATAAACAGAACTCCATGTTCCTTATCTAATTGGCCTGATATGATTATGGAATCTGCCTTGTGTTTGGTTACAGAAATTCCTCTAACATCAAATTTATCCCGAGAGGTTAAGTTGTTTTCAACAAGGGTTGTTTGAATTCTACTCACCTTTCTTTTATATATGGTGGCTGTATTTAGAAAAGGGACATCTTACAACCACATCTATTTAAAATTAATTCCTCTAAAGAATTGATGTTACTTGAGATTATCATAATTATACTGACAATCTAGCAATGATATTATTATTTAAATACCATTAAACTCTCCATGAAATCTCTTTGAAGGATCCTTATCGAGTAAAATCTTGATGAGATCCAAGGCATCATTGGGTATGCTTTATTCTTGTGACCATGAACATTGACTTATGTTATTAAACAATTCAAATTCATTTTCTGAATAGAATGGAGTTTTATTTGTATATAATTGATAAATGAAACATCCTAAAGCCCATAAATCAGCTTATGGACCAATTACATTGTAATCAACTAGTTCAGGACACAAGTATTCGGATGTGCCCACAAAACTAGAATCTCTGCAATACTTAATTGTGGGTTTCTCAAAATCATTTAAAGAGGGAGACCTTTGTTTTTGATATTAAATTCTTATATCTTCTAGTTTATTTCCGATATCAATTTTAGTATGATCATAAACAAATACTGTTCCAAAATCAATAAGTTTTAAATGTTTATCCTTGGTCAATAGAATATTCTCTGGCTTAACATCTCGATGGACCAACCCATTCTGGTGCAAATACTCAAGAATTAGCAACAATTCAGCTGCATAGAATTTTATTATTGAATCATTTAAAACATGCCCTAAGCATTATAAATATGAATTACTGTTCATGTATTCCAACAAATTACCATCAGTTAACACCTCAAGCGAGTAATATAATTTATCTTGTTCTTCAAATGCGTTGAACAGTTTAATGATTCCTTTGTGTCTCAAATTACTCAGCACTTCTCTCTCAATACATGCATGATGCATCTTTTTCTCCTACACTATTGATGGGAATTGCTTACTTTAAGGAGGAAATTCTTGTCCACAATTTTGAGTGCTGATTCATGTCCAGTGAGTTTGTTCTTAGCCAACACTACTTCACTATAGGCCCCTTTTCCTAAAGGCTTTATGATGTCAAAGTCTTCATATTTGAGATCTACGAAACAATATGGAATTTTTGAGTTACTTTGCACATGGACAGGCATATCTGGATTCATAAATATTATTATTTTATTCAACTTTTCACATATAAATTTATAACAATGTACTAATAATCAGTATTAATTAAATAAAATTCGCCATATAATGAACATCATCTTTCGATTCGTAATTTTTTAATTACAACCAAAATTTTACTCATGAACATTTTCAATCTTTACGTGTTTCCCAATACATTTTCGTGATTGCAAATCGAATCAATAATGTAAACCAGCACTAAACCGCCATGAGTGATATCTTGAGCATATTCGTTCTGAAATTCCACAAATTCTTTCAAATGTTATCAATACTAAAAATACTCCAATTTAAAATATTAAACGATTTCATGACCTTAACATTGTATTCATTTTTTATAAATTTTACAATAAATTACATTATGGGCATATCTAATATTTCTACGCGCAATGGATACTTCCCTAAAATTATAAATTAATGCTCTACTCTCAGTTCTCTCCAACGTGTTAATGTAATACATTATTTTATAATTGAAATCTATGTACACGCCGACATACTCATTCTTAGTTAACTAGATCGGAATGAAAATCTAATCAAATAAATCAAATATAGTGTTGTTTCTCCCTTAATATCGATCCGTAAAACTCCTTGCCCTAACTATTTATTGATGTTTAGTTACTTGACCACATTCTAGCTCAAAACCTAATAAAATTCTAAAGGCAGTATTAGAACTCTCTAAAATGTTTCCTACAAATACTTGAAATAAATGTCCATTATGTTCTAAGATAGAATTAAGGAGTCTTTCAGCTGATTATATTCCGTCAAATAGATCTTTTGATTGAATTTCAGATCAATGACTGGATCCTGATCCATCTTCATATCTCTCCCTATAGATTTGGAGGTTGGGATTGGAGAAGACTAAAATGTTTTGTGAGTATTCTATACAGCCCTTGGTAATCCTATGTTCTCTAATAGCTTAAATAATAGAAAGTAATACTTTATCTTGAATGAAATCAGAATATTGATTAACAATTATTTCATATTGATAGGGATTGTATTTTGAATAATATTTTAAGAGGTGCAGTAGTTTCTCGATTGGCTTCGTGTAATTCATACTGTTTTTATTCCCTTTTACTTGATCCTATAACATACCTTCTAAATCATCAAACTTCAATTTGAGTACTTATTCAGGACTGTAATAGGGATAGGTTGTTGCAATATTCTAATCCTTAGGATCCTTTTTTACAATGTGCTGTTTTAAATTATTCATACCATCAAGAAAGTCTTTTACTGAAATGGATTCTTTAATAAAATCTATATTATCATTTGAGGGTTCTTGTATATTTATTTAATAAGCCTTTGGAGTTTTATTAAGTGAAAGTGTCTAATTTTATTTATAATTTTAGTTTTATTATTTTTATTCTTATTCCTATTGTTATATTTATATTTATTTTTATTTATATTGGTATTCCTATTTTTACATAAATTCTAATTATTTTTTTTAGTATTCCTATTGTTATCCGTAAACCTATTTTTATGCTTATGCTTATTTTTATCCATGTTCCTAATTTTATACTAATTCTTATTTTTATACTTATCCTAAATTAGGGTGGTTATCAATTTTGATTAAGGATCTGTGTCTTGATTGGGATGAAGGTTGTCTCCTTTTATTTTCAAGTTGATTGTCTGCTTAAGCCAATTCAGAGAAGGATTTAGATTGATTATTCATTTCGGTCAAAGGTAATAAATAAGTTTACTTTTTTGACTTTAAATTCGAATGACTTTATGATGAATTAATATCCTTTAAGAAATTGTCATCTAAAATTCTTGAATATGACTCGCCCTTTTATTTCATCTATTTGATTCTATACTATTTTAGTAAAACCCATTTTATCAAAGCATGATCTAGACATTCTTGAAAGATTGAATCAATCTTTGATAAATCTTTATTCTTGTCGTTTAGGATTCGAATGAATACGGCAGCAATAACAGAAAGAAGATCTTTGGAATAGGATTTAATATGGTATATCTGTTAATCTGTAAAAGCATCTTCAAGTTAGGAATTTCCATTGATAAGGAATATCTGCTCATTCAAAGTATCCCAAAGCATCCCTCCGTATTTCATTCCTTTAAAAGTAATAACAATGGCATATTGTGGAATTCTGGTTCTAATTTCTTCAAATTGGGAGGGATGCTAAACTATGTAGGTTTCAAGAGTGATGTTCTTATGGATTTGGCTTTGGATGTACTTGAAGGTGTAATTGATGAGATTGGTGGTGATGATGTTGTGCTATGATATATTATTGATGTTAATACATATAAGTAAGACTCTGCTTCATCCATGGAGATTTGGTCTAAGAAGGGCCCTTTGGTGAGTTTCTGATAGTGTCTTTCATAGTCATCTTCATAGTCCAAGTAATTGGGATATTGTAAAGACATTTAATAAAAATTACAATTATTTTATAAGAGTAGGAAGTTATGCAGGAAGTCGATGATTGTAGTTTTATTTAGTAATTAAAGAAATGATGAATGTATTAAAATGAGTATACTGGTGTTCGACAATTAAATAATTAATTAAAAATGTCAAACGCTAATAAGCCACCTCTTGTAATTATCCATCCCCTTGTGTTGATCTCAGTAGTAGATCACTATAATCGTATCATTTCCAAAACGCAACAACCCAGAGTAGTTGGTGCATTGTTGGGTATATAATCCAATTTGAATCTTAGGTGAAAGAAAGGCTGATGGTGTGATTGATATCACTAACAGTTATGCTCTCCCATTTGAGGAGGATCCAAAGGATTAGAATATTTGGTATTTGGATCACATTTACAATGAAACACTATTTGAATTACATAGAAAAGTAATGATCATCATCTCATAATGCTCTAGATTAACATAAATGAGAAGATAGTTGGATGGTATTCTACAGGATCCAGATTCAAACCCAATGACATTCAAATCAATCAAATATTTTACAAGTACACATCTACTCCAATTTTTGTGATCATCGATGTTCATCAATTTGATCCATTATCACTTCCAACTGAAGCCTATACATCAGTTGATGAGATCTCTAAATCAGGAGAAATAATCTAAAACTTTGTGCACATCCCCTCCACTGTATAAGCATTTGAACCTGAAGAAATCGGAGTTGAATAACTTTTAAGAGAAATCAATAATGTAGACACTCAATCACTTTCAGCCAAAGCAGAACAAAAAATCAATGGAGTCAAAGGAATGAATAAGAAGATTGCTCAAATTTAATAATACTTAACTCTCATTTAATAAGGCAAAGTCAAACCTAATTAACTCATTATCAACAATCTACAAGTATCTACTCATAATAACTCTAGGAAATCCTTAATTACTTGCCAAATTTAGGCTCATAAGACGTAGTTCAAGCATTCACTACCAAAAACAATGACAATATGTTGACAATATATTTGGCCTCTTTAATGAGAAGCATCATTGCCTATCACAACTTAATCAATAATTAAGCTTAATAAGAGAAAAAAGTAAAGTGATATTTAGTTCATATATCTATATATTTATTCCCATAAATCAATAAGATTTAACAATATTTTAAAATAGTTGTGTATAATATATATCCTATAATTGTCTTTATTTTTCTAAACGTCATTAACATATATTCATAATAATTATATTTATGTATAAGGTTTATCTTTCATAATAATTCATTATCAGTATAGAGTAAATTATTAAGAAAAGAATAATTGAAATAAAACTCAATAAATTCAAATTTCTATTTTATCCAGTGATTCAATTGAGTTTTCTTCAATTAGATCGTATCTACTCTAAAATAAGTGAATAGAAAATTTATGGTATGTGATAGCATTTATTAGATTTAATTAGAGAGTAGTTATGATAATAACTGATAATATTTTATTAATTAAATGTCGTTACTTTAAAAGTTTACAAAGTTATTCAAATCGAAGGATGAAATGCTAGAATCATTGGGAATTTTATTGAAACCTAAGTCTCAAAAGGATTTTGATGTGGCTTGTGAATATTTTGGATCTTTAATGAAGAGATACCCAGCAGTTGTTTTCAATCTCTTAAGATCAAAAGAAAATGTGGAGAGTTACTAACCTAAGGCAGAGCATCTATTGAATTTATTATTCGTAATTCATGCCAACATTTCTGATGATTCAGTGTGTGGATAGTTAAGAGGACCTCCAATTTATTGGTTAGATAAACTAATAGACTGAGAACAAGGAAAGCTTCATTCTTATCGAAAGAATGATATGTGAAGCCAGTACATCTAGTTTCTTTCCACAATAATCCCCCATTACTTAACCCTCCTAATTTCAGGGAAAGACTGAGTAAGTGAAAGAGAAGAGGAGAACAAGAATAGAAATGAACGAGTAACTTAAGAACCCTGTTTAAAAGACAGAAGCCCAATTAGTTTCATGTTAGTTAAAGGCTAAGATTTTTTGTATTATTTACTACTCGTTCCTCTAGAAATTATCAGTTAATTAATTGGTCTATTAATCTTGTAAGGATTTGCAATATCCATTTGAAGAACCAGAAGATGTCAAATTGAGATATATTTGGATCTATAAGATTTAGAATGTAATGTTAATGGGTTTGAAATTGTTGGAATGCAAGAATATTAAATATAAGATCCATTAGGATTTAGTATATCAGGATTTACTTAGATTCCAGGTATTTGTCAGGTAGGAGATAGAATAATTGATTGATCAATATGCTACAATACCAAATTTAGATTGCTTGTCATTATATGAGATTTTTTCGGAATTTCAAAGAGCAAGGACTGTATTAGAAAATTACAATGATGAAATCGATCTCAAATTAAGAGTCAGTACAAGACAGATTGAAGAATTTTTGAGTTTTTCAGTTAGAATTAAGGTTCTGAATCAATTTGCATTCAAGAAAAGCATAAAGGTTCCAAATAGACAATAGCCAAACATTTCTATTGCTTAACAATCCTAGTCTGATCGTAAAGTGAGATATATTAAATATTCTTTTGTAGCATCATAAGGCAGTGAGTGATATCAATAAAGAAAATTTGGAGCCTCTGAACTTTTAGGATTTGCAATATGAATAAACTTATGAAAGAGGAGTGATGGAGAAGAAATTTTACAATTAGTCTACTGAAAACAGTATGGATGACATTGGAGAGAACATTTAATTGGATGTTGTTTAGCATAGACCTTAGCATCTCAAGGGATTAAGCACATTTCAATAATATTGACTAGTTTATTATTATCACAATTATAATTTATTAAATGATTATTGCTGCATAGCCAAATCGTTTCCAAGAGTATGAAGATTAAGCCAAGAAGATTTTCTATTAGGATTATTTTGAAAATAGGATGAAGACATTTCCAATCATTTGTAGATTCAAAAAGAGAGAATATCAATCGCAATTTATAAATTACACTACAATATTTCATGATCTCAAACATCATGTAGAAATAGGAAATTAAATAAGAATTTGGAAGGAAAATAAATAAAAATTATAATATTGCTGCAGTTTCTAATATATTTACACTTTGATCCCATAATTGCATTTAGGAATTCGATTGAATAGGAAAGTCAAAGACTCCAATTTAGATTTCTCAGTCTATAAATACATTAATAATTTCTCATCACTTACCTATTGCTACAACCTTGATTCAAAATATCGAACCTAATAAAAGTTTATTTTTAATTTCAAAGAATCCACTCTGACTATCAATAAAGAGAAACTGAAACTAGCATTACAATTCGGTGATATTATCAAACCATATGTCAAGACTGATTTGAGAACTTTCTCGTATATATTTATTTAAATCAAGAAAAGTTACTTTTGGTGTGAAGGCCAAGTTAAAGGACTTTGAACTATTTGCATACAAGGAGATTTCAAAAAAGGAATAAAATAGCACTGTTTCATTGGGAGTGATGCTTAATATTTTTGATTGGAAAGTGGGATTGAAGATGAATTTCAAGGATTTGTCTAGTTCTTTTGCTATTTTGTATCATTTAAAACTCATTATCAAATTAGTATTTAGAAATATGGGCTTGCGATTTAATTGCCTATTTATAGTTTTGATTGCGAAGATCTTTTAGAGAAGTATACGATAGCAGCATTTGGATTTATGATTGCATGTTCAATTCTAAAATGTTTTTAACAACCTAAAGTATTGCCTCTGAGCAAATAACAAAGAATTGATCAATCAAGAAATCAATTAAATTTATTAGAACACAAAACTAAATAGAATTTTAGATATGAAAAAGAAAACAATGGATTACTGATTCTATTTGCTTATTATGGTAATGCAGAACATATTCAATTGTTGAATCAACAGCAAAATAAACAAAAGTATCACTTGCAAAATGATGTAACACATATGATTACTATTATTTTAGTTAGAAATCATTGATGTGACATTGTCATGCTAATTCAATGTGAAGAATTCTAAGTTGCATTTACCCAAGTATTCCAAATCTTGTCTGTTTGGTTTCTGTGATCCTTGCGAAAATGTAAATACTCATAAACTCTTGTTATTCGAATACACATACAAATAGCAAAAATTTGATAAAATATTCGATGACTTGGATGAGGTGATCTTGCCCTGATTTATTATATAATATTAATAATAAATAAAATGGAAGAATTAGGTATGCGTCCTGAAACATCTAAATGCTCACGAATGGAAAAGCGTAGATTAGTATCACAAAGTCATCAAAGACAAGAATCAAGTCAAGCTCCAAGAATCAATGGAATTACTTTATAACAATACTTCAGGGGAAGCAACTTTAGAGTACTGGAAATCAACGAAGATGAATGGGACAATCACTAAGTTGGATAGCCACGTGCTCCTCCTCTTTAAAATACCAATTTTCGTATTAAAACAGATAAGAAAATAAACAATAAAAAACTACTAGAACGATCGCCTGCTTAAAACCTAACTACGAGCAAAGACTTTAATCAACGTAAAATTAATAGAGTAAGTAGAATCATTGATTATTTTGCTAGCCTCACATTACATCAAATGAATTCTTTCAAAACGAAGATGAACTCAGAAAAACCAGAATAGAACTCAAATACGGACGCATGAAAGAGGATGTGAACAATCGCTTTGGGAATCCTGACCAGGATCTTATCAATAAATATGCAGAAAAATTTAATATAAATAGGGAACCTCCAAAATTGACATTAGCTCCCAGAGAACTCTATGCAAAAATCAAGTGAATATTAATTCTTTTTTTTCATTGCCACTGCAAATTAAAAATACTCCTTTTCATTAATTATCTTAAATTATTCACTATATCCAAAATAATATTATATTATTAATTCTACCAATCAATTAAAGTAATAAATAATGTTCCAATCTTCTTTTTCTCACATTAATCAAATTCATTGCTGGGTTTCATCATATGCTTTTTGAATTTCAATTAATTTAATATTTAGTCATGAAATAATTTTAAATTTTAAAATAATCTCTTCATTTTAGATTATTCTTTCCCCTAAATTATTTCTCAATCCCATTTTACCAGAATTTCAATTTCCTTAAGATATTAAGTTTTAATGCAGAATAGATTATAATATCTTAACAATTATGAATAATTGAACTATAATCTAATTTTAGGTTAGAATTGCCTAAAATTTAGGCTATTTTTAAAGAGAATAATTTATTTGATTTTAATTATATTTTTTTATTAACTAAAATAAAACCTTAGTATAATTTATAATGGGTTAATTTGAATTTGTATTATTAAGAACAATTCCTGCTTTTATATTTCTGATTCCCTCATTGAGTTGAAAATAAACATTAAAGTAGAATCACCAAATAGGTGGATGCATATTCAATGATATTCCTCGTGAATTACATTATTTCATTAATAGTGAATAACAGAAGTAGTCAATGAGGATTAATAGATTTAAATTTCTACTTAATAAATCAATTTTATCTAATTAATTCCTGCTTTTCATCTTCTAGTTTATGCTTTTCGAAAATGGGCATTTTAGGATAGAATATAAAATTTCCTATTCCGAAACCTAAGGCCATCATCAAAAACACCCAACCTTTCATTTTTTCATTAATAATTACCATTCACTGTCATTAATAGAAACATTGTTATTGCAGACTGTGTTGCAGCTAGTAATTACCATACAATCTTCAAAAATAGAGATCTAATTATGTGAATGCATACTTTTATCTATCTGCAAACCCTTTGAGAACTGGAAGTAAACATAGGAAGGCACAGAAAAACATCGTTACAAATAGTCCAGCCACAAATTCACCTTGTGTAGTTGATTTCCAACTAAAAGCAATTTATTAAGCGTTTACGTATTAAATACAAATCGAACCTTATAGTCCCAATTTATAATCATATACATCCTCATATCCATCATATGCATTGCAGGAGTCATTTCTGATTATTCCGTATGCTACATAAAATAAAAAATTAATTAAAATTTTATAGATTACAAAATCCAATAGACTGAGTATTATTAAATATTTCTGAAAATATACATTAATTTCATTGCTGATTATATGTTTTATCTCTTAGACCAACTATATAGTTTCTTGGTCTTAATGGATTTAATCCTTTATTTTATCCTGTTGAAGTTTATTGATCCTTCATTTCGTATACTTGTGCCTATCAACATAAAATGAATAGAAATACTTCACTATCAACTTTGAAATTACTTAAAATAGTCTAGGATGCCTTAGTCTATCTTTTTCTTATATTTGCCATTTATATAGCCTAATAATTATGAGAATAAATACTTTTCTTCTCAATTCCCATTCATTCCAACAATAATTTGGGTCAAGATTCTTTTCTATAAAATGAACTGGTGTTTGCACATCCTTATCCACCATCAATTTATTAGATAATAAACTTCCGCTTTCGAATGTTAGTTTCAAATTGAGATTCTTGAAATTCTCTTCCACTCTAAATAATCTGATTAGATGAGGTTTCTGTCTACATATATCAATCACTCCTGTTAAATATCTTTGTGGTTCTGACAAGAATTCATTGATAGCTATCTCATTGCTAAAAACACAATTCTTGTCTCTGTATCTGAACACCCCCAAAGATGGTTTTCCAGGGATTAATAGCCCATTCTTTTTTACAACTGACCAAATACAGAAACCGAAATAATCTAGTTGTGTTTGCATAAAATCAGGGGTATTTTAAGGTAATAGTCTTTATACTCCTGATTCTGGTTGATAATTAATTAACGCTAGATTATCGGGTTAGGTTGATTCCATTTATTTGCATTGTTTTTAGATTGCTAAGGGCATTGAGAGTTTCATCATTTTCCTTAGATCAACCAACAGTCGAAAGAGTTCCACTCTCTCAATTGATATTTGCTTATCTTCAAATAGACCTATGTGACTTTGAGCTAGCAATGCAAATTTAGGATAGACTTATTCTTTGGGAGCAGAGGATTTATGTTCCAATAATTTCTTTAGGTCTTCCATTTCCTTAATGAATCTAATTCTATTTTACTCAATCATGGCTTCGCTTTACTCGATATCCTCTTGTAATGACAGGATGTAAGATAAATATTATCTAAGGAAGGCCAATTCATCCTTATATTTTTCGATGTCTTCATTGTTCATTTGAAATTTGTCTTAATTGATGAAGAAAGTAGTGTAGATTTCGCATTGTTCTATTGTTTCCAGGGCGATTTGTTTAATTTAATCGGATAATTCTCTAGCATTATATTTAGTAAGATCTTCTAAGGAACTTAATGAAACTCCACCCTTTCCAATTTTCTTATTGAACAATCTAATGCCAATGACTAGGTTTGCCAATTCGACGAGTTGGGTTACTTTTTCGGAGGGATTCAATGAGACAAAGGGTCCTAGGGCGGCTCTTGGGATGACACTTTCTAGAGCAGCTCCAACTTCTAATGGGAATAGTGATAAAATGAGGAATACCTTTGTCCATGTTGAATTGACCTAGAGCATCAAAATTAATGGGATCTTCAATCAATTCTTTGTTCTTGTATATCAAATAATGAAACATTTTAGTATATAAGGTGGTCAAGCCTTCAAAATCTTTGGCATTCTTAATTTCGAGAGTCACGACATCATCAATGTATTTGCCAGTCTCGTTGGATTGCTTTTTGATTTTTTCTTGTCTTTGCAATTCCATTTCGACATAGGCACTATCATATTCTTGATTATAATGATAGATTGTTACATATTTGTAATTGGATAGTTTTGAGATCTGGGGCATTTTAATTGCTGAGTTTGTTCAGTGTCTCATTTTTCAATTCGTTCAATTCGCTTTCATTGAGTTTTTCTTCAAGGTAAAATTTATTTGTTCCTTTGAGAGATAATTTGAAAATATACTTTTGTTGAGAATGGTCTATGCAACGTAGGATGCAAGAGTTTCAGTAATGGGGTTGTTTCTAGCTCTACATTAATAGAGGGCGAACTTGACTACCTCATCCAATTAATTCATTTTGGTTATTGGTGCTTATAATTAATTTAATTGATGAAATAAGTTTTGCATTAACTAGCCAGACAACACACTATAACGAATAATAAGAGCTTTAGTTTGCCCACCAAACAATCATTGGAGCAATCCTACTAGGACGTGAAGTTTCAGTTCGTGATGCAATTCTCAAAAAACACGACTCAAGAATAGTTGGAATAGATTGTTAATATATTGTTCAATCATGGATTCTAATCTTATAAGACTAGGAATCTGCAAAATGACAAGATTTTACTATTCATTTGTATATGGGATCCGAAGATCATATTGGAATAGGCGGAGTAAATGCAGCTGTACAAAGTACGTACAAAAACATTAAATAGTTAGTAATTGACCGTTCGCACTCTTAAATGCACGAAGTATATAGAAAGATAGCTGAGAAGATAAATGTAAAGAAAGTGTTAGATGAGAGATTAATCCTCACTTTAAATTAGATTGATAAGAGGATAGTGGAATTTGAAAATTATTAAAAATTTAAATATGACTTAAAAAGTGATTTCTGTTTACACAATGATGACGCAGAAGTCATAAAAATATTTAGTCCTTCAGAGACTTTGCTCATAATTTACAATTACTTACACACTATTAAAATAGGAGATTTGGATATGATTCATTTTCTAAAAACGGAAGAATATTTATTACAAGTAACTCCGATTCACGATGAAATAGTCTCACTCAATACAGTATCAGACATAGAGAGATATTTTGGAGGCAACTTAGCAGTTTACTTCGAGTTCATGAACTTCTATTAATCTATGCTTAAGTATTTGGCAGTTGCAGCAATCATCACTTTAGTAATCGATCATCAAAGTAGTCTCTTCAAAATCACAAATGTGGCTAGTTTTTATGCAGTACTAACCATGGTATGGTCAACATTCTTCATCATTGCCTGGCGTAGAAAGGAGAATGAATTAAGTATTGAATGGGGTGTTTTTGGTTAATAACACATCAAGAGATTAGATCTGAATCCAGAATATAAAGGCAATCCAAAAATGAATTACATCACAGGATTGATCAAGAATAGCTATCCAACAAGCAGTAGGATATTCTATTATATGATATCATTATTCGAAGCCATTCCCATACTCATTATTGCTGGGTTGATTAAGATTGTGGTATTTAATATCAATGGACTCATACGGAATGAAGATAGTATCTTTTATATCAGAGTGGCTGCTAAACTCAATCAAGCAGGAGGTCTCTTATATTACAAATACACTACCAATATATTAGATATTTTCACTATCTTGTTAATATTCTATATCAACACTCTGTATACAAAGGTTTGCATCAATTCAACCAAACGAGAAAATCATAGAACCAACTTGAGGTTTTATAACTCTTTGATCCTTAAACGATTCATATTTGAATTAATCAATAGATTCTTTCACTTATTTTACATAGCCTTCGTTGAATTCGATATCCCAACTCTAAGGAGTCTCTTGATTAAGTTGTTTGTTATGGATTAAATAAGAAGAGTTCTATTGGAATCTCTATTGCCCATGTTGATGAAGTAGCAGTATGAAAAATAGAAGGAATAGTATCGATTGAATCTGTAAAAGAAGGAAGACATCAATGAAAAAATTGTAGATAGAATTGTATATCTTAATTATTAATTATTATAGGCAGAACTTGAACTCTGGGAATATGATGATTTTGATGATTACATTGAAGTCATATTTCAATATGGATACATAGTATTGTTCGCAGCTATTTTTCCTCTGGCTGCTGCTCTCACATATATTTTCAACTTTATTGAAATATGGAGTGATAAATTCAAACTAGCGTACAAATTTATTAATTACAACTAGAAATAAATTATACTAAAGGAATTTACCTAAGAAAGCACATAGCATTGGCGAATGGAGAACTGTTTTGATGACCTTATCAGTGTTATCAATATACACTAATACAGCATTTATTGCCTTTGCTTATTTCAATGTATTTGACACTTGTTAGAAGACAGGTTGCGATTGGGAAAATATTCTCATTCTACTATTTATCATTGAACATTTTTCATTAGGTTTAAAGTATATTGTACAATAAACGATCAATTCAAAACCAAAATGGGTTAGGATTGTTATGAGAAGAATGAAAAGGAAGAGAAGAAATTTTCATAATTGAAATATTTTATATAATATAATTATTAATGATAAACGGATGATCACTAATATTATGGCAAAGGATCATTATCTCTTATAAAAATATAGCATAATTCAGCCTTGTCCAATGCATAATTTTGAAGATGATTTTTTAATTATAAGGAATTTGAATACCAAAAAATAAATAAATCCAATTTCAAGAAGAACAACAAATATAATCTAGAATTAAATAGTAGTATGAATATGAGAAATATTTATTAATCCAAAGAAATCTTAATCTTAAATTTTAAATGACAGTTCCAATCATAAAAAATTATTAGTTACTTTCTCAACCATGATGTATTGAAAAATATGAAAATTGCAGAATATCTTTCTTAAAGACTGAATAATACTAAAGATCCTTGATTTTGATGTCAAAATCAAATAAAAGATTAATAACTTCAAAACTCTTAGTTAAGATAAATTTAAATCTTTCAAATTAATTAAAGAAACTACTATATGACCAATCTGAGGAATTATTGGGGTTCAATAATTTTAAATAAAGCAAAGAGATGGAGAAAATTAAGAAAAATAACATTTAAATTTACATTTATTAACTACTCTGATGAAAAATTGAGTATAAGAAAGGAGATGATATTGGGATCTAAAAAATTGATGTATGAGTGTATTAATTAGATGAATGTGGTGTCTTTTCGATGAAAATTAAAATAATTTATTGGATGAGAATGAAATTATATTTAAATATCTGAAAAGGATTTGAAGGAACTACAGAAACAGAACTTAGGATTGATTTATTTAGTAATTATAATTATTCCAATTATATTAAACTAACTTTTATAGAGCATTTCATTTAATTATTGAAGATATTAATATTATGAATAAATTTTTAATTACATTAGCAAGAATTCCAAAGTGTCAACCAAGATTTGGATTCGCTGACATTTTGAAGGACAAAGATAAAGGAGATGAGAAAGTATTTTTCACAAGAGAAGATTGTATACTATCAACATAATTAATTAGAAAAGTTGATGTAAAAATTACTCAAGAAAATGAAAGAAAATAATGAAAAGCCTAAATCATCAGGAAGCAATGATAAAGAGGACAAGGAAGATTTGCAAGTATTGATATGAAATTAATTATAGAAAATATTTTCCAGATATAAGATTAATTATACTGATGCATTGGTTGAGGAAGTCTTAAATTGGAAGAGAGGAGATTGATATATAATAAAAATATAAATAAAAAGAAGAATTATCATCATTTTTGTATCTAAATATTGAAGATTGAAAATTATGTTTTAACATCAATTTCCACATCTCTTTGATTGGAGAGTCAAAATTGAAAATATTTCTAACTATTATGATTTATTTAAAATAACAATGCTCTCATATCTGATATTTAAATATTTTTATAAGTTATAATTATTATGCTTAAGTGTGATCCATTGTTTGCGTTGATGAACCTTTCATTAAAATTGATTCCTAAATGAACTACTTTTCAGAATTAGAAAAGAATTAAACAAATAAATGTAATAAACTAGATATCAACGTAATTATTTAACAGTTCAAATATTATCTATATATTCAAACTATAACTAGAAACTTGAATTAAAATGCGATACAATATATTAATAAATTCAAGCAGAAGGAAAGCTACATTATTATTGTATTAAATTAAAAGAGAGAGAGAGTATACGCATATGTAATCTAAGATTAAAGAAGTTATTTTATTATTTCAGATTTAGAATATTATAACTTGAGATAATAGAAATAACTAGATCGATTGCTTGTATTTTAAATTCATTAAGCAAGTTAAAAGAGTATATTTAGATTTCTACTTGTATAGATCATCTATATGTAAAAGTAAGCCAACTGAAAATAATTGTCAATAAAATTCTATCAACAAATCTTAATTCTTTAATGCATGTAAATAATATATGGACTTGTTTAACATATTTATAAAATAAAAGATATTTTGATACATGAATTTTTAGATTCAATTTATAAATCTCGATTAAAAATTTTTATTCTTTTACTTGCATTAAACAGTGTTTCTTCAACTTATATTTAATTTATAACTATAAACAATTTAAATTCTCAAAATTTCTTAAAATTTTTATTCCTTCATGAAAGTTATGTAATTCCTAAGATCTTTTGATTAAAATCAATAAGCGCCTTAAATTTTCATCTATTCAGTGATAAAATAACCAGACTGACCCTAAAGTAAAATAGGCTTGCGGATAGGATATTTAATTGATTTCTATTAACTTAATAAGTAAACATCATAATTATTGATTCTTTAAACAATTATGTTCCATTTGTGATGATATTTGTTCGGCGACAACAAAACCGCACATTGCTATTAAATTTGGTTAAGTCAAAGCAAATAATTTCGATTTATAAGATCAAAGTTAGTCGATCTACTATTTAAAAAGTAAAAGAATGTGATAACGTAGTGATATACAAAATCAGTTAGGGCTAATCATTTTGATTAAATATTTCACCAAGATCAATATCTATTAATTATGTATTAATAATAATTATAATAGGAGAGCATTGAATTAGGTAATAAACGAAACTAGACGAGACTACTTGAGTCAATAAATGATCTTAGTTTGCAACAGAAATAACAGCTCTTGATAAATATTTTACAAATCCCAAGACAAGAGAGAAAGGCAGAGATTTTATAGTTAATGAGAATCATAGTAATGAAAGTGGATTTTTTCCATCAATTTTAAGTGGAGAATATTGATAATGAGGCGTATGATTATTGTTTGAGGCATCTGACATTTGAAGCCTTTTCCAAAGTATGAATCTCATTTACTATGGTTTTTTAGAATACAGTTATATTTGAGAAGGGTGATTACCCTCACAATATGTATGTAGTATTGCGTGGATAAGTGTCCATATACTAGAATGATTATTAGTTGGATTAAAAAATGACAAAAAAGCATTCATTACCCGTAGATTAGGCTAGAGAATGCTCACCTACCAATAGAACCAAGTTTTCTGATTTTACGATGAAAAGGTATATAGACATATATCGTTAACTAGTTTGGTTCGTTTGACAGAATTCAAAGATTGGAAGACTTTTGGTGAGTAAGCAATTTTAGATTAGAGAATGAGAACTAATTTTGCAGTTTGTGATGTTGATTCAACTTTGGCAATCTTGAGCAAAGAGAATTATACAATTGCTGTATAAATCTTGGAGAAGAAAAAAGAACTGTATCGTATGAATAATTTTAAGTTGAATCCTAGTTTTTAAGGTTTAAATAGGAAATTAATCAATATAATGCTCTTTACCTATTAGTCATCAGATTACAAATTTAGAGATATAGTTTATAAGTAGGGTTAGACTGACTCTGATATAATATACATTATCAAATAAGGAGAATTCTTAGTGTATTAGGATTAAAGGTTGAATGAGTACCAGCAGATGAAAGTGAGAAAACAAATTGCAATAATGACAACAGGGGAAATATTCGGAGATTACGAAGCATTCGAAAGAATCACACGACAGTTTAATGTTTAGTGTAATTCTCACACTGGAAGCCTAATCATTATTCCCTTATAATCATTATCATAGAAGTTATCACAATTTAATGAATAACACTACATATAATAATTAAAATCTTTATGTTTGAAAAAGAACAAATGGTATCATGATTTCAAAACTAATATAGAACAGACTCAAGGGAAATATTCGCATTTCTTTACTATATAAGAGTAGAAATCTAATAATGCCAATGGATCATCTAATTTTTTAGATTCACCTAGTAAAATTATTAATGATAATAAACAATTCAATGATGCATCAAAATCAATAAGCCCTATACAAGAATTAAAAAATACTTTGAATTATCTGACATCAATAGATGATCAAACAAGTGAACAATTAACAGAAATAAATCAAAGCATTAATCTTTAAAAAATAAAAAATAAAAATACTATATATGTTGTATCTCCAGATAAATTGTAACCATTACCTAAAGTGTAATTAGTTTCTAGTAGATAAAAAGAGAGAAGCTAGTTATCAACGCCAGATCGATTCAAATAGGTTATCAAACATAAAATGACAATTTTAAAAAGAATGCACAATCTTTCACCTGAGGACTCTGTAAATATGAACACTTTGTAACAGAAGACTATTTATGTCCAATTACCAAAATAAGTGAAGTTGGAATAAAACATTGAGAAGCATTGGCCAATCAAGGCTACACTTTATTTGAATGATTTGGATAATCGGATTAGATATCATAGCAATAATTAAAAGATGTAGAATTGCAACAGCAGCAGAGACTCCAGTGTGGTTTATGAACAATTTAGCATGAGAATGGATGGGAGTGAGTAAAATTCACAAAGGACTAGCAGAATGGGAATATTGAATAACATACTATAACACTCAGTAACAAAGAGAGGCAAGAACAAAAAGAAAAGAGCTTTGACTTTAAAATATAGGGAGTACTTGGAGTCACAATTCTAAGAAAAAACTTAAAACTCTTTGCATTATTCTTGATGATTGTATCATGATTCATTTTAAATAATTGATGATATAACGTTTGCTTTTTTTTCTGCTATTTCCTTTCTGGTCTTAATATTAATTAAAGCACTAACTGGTCTATGATCACTATAAGTGACATTATGAGATTTGTAATATTGATATGAGTGTTCGCAATGTTCATTCTATGCCACTAAGATTCTGTCATTCCAAGATGGGGTTCTTGATTCATCATATCTTTCTGAAAAGGGATCAAATTTATACGTAGGGAGAAAGTTAATATCAGACTCTTAGTACTAATTTAAATATTAATTTTCTTCTCTATTGATTTTAATTTCATCATATTTTTTCAAAGTTCTAATGTTAAATTAATAATATACTAAAATATTTCCTTGGCTTCTGCCATCTGATTTCTTTCTACAAACTATTAGTATCTTTTAATGGATGTGATAACCTTGTCTTTTTCAAGGTTGATTCTGAAATTTAGATTTCCAAGTAAGATTCGATAATCACATTATTCAATTTTCTCTTCTTTCTTCTTTCCTATCCCTGTTTGATTAAATAGAGTTTGATGAATGTCATTGAGATTCTACAATCTTGTATCCAGACTTTTCTCTCCATATTCCAAATTACAATTAATAAAACATACCAAAGTATCATCAATAAACATTTTAATTGCTACAGCACCTTTGTTTGTAAAAGGATTGCCCCACATACTAAGTTTGATTTTATCATAACTAACTTTTGTGATTCTGTCTTGAAATCTCTCCTTAGCATAAATAAACAAACCTATTCCTTATAATTCCTTGGATTTAATATAGATATACTTATCCCTCTATCTTAGATTATTGGCAATCAACTTATCCCAATTTTTTAGATACTAAGATGATCCACCCACCAGTCCAGTTGCAGAATTAACCATTTCTTGTAATCCAATTACAATAATGTCAGCTTAGTAATCAAGAATCTATCTATTTAGATCATACTACTATTGAACAGTTTCTCCTCCCACATTCCAAGTTGCCACCAGAATCGTGCGTTCAGAAAAGCTGCAGAACTCCTAACATCTTGATTTTAACTTTTCTACTATCTATTTACTGTATGAGGCAGTAATATCAGCATGATTGCCCAATAAAATATCTATTGCCTCTTATTTAAAATTATCCCAAATAGTCGACTCACCTACTCTCCCTATTGTTTTTTTTCCATGATCTAAAATACCATCGAGATCTCTCTTTCCAGTTCTTGTAATATTGGTATGAGTTGATCCAGTACCTGTATATTGATTTGACAACATGTCGCCATTGTCAGCCCAAATGTTCTTGAAATACTAAACAAAATAATTTGTAATATGGCTTGAATTTTCATCTAAGGCTTCGATGGGTGACATTTTTAACAAGTTTTAGAAATCCACTCCTAATTTTTTAATTTATATATCAAAAACACTCATGGCTATCTTGGTCTATATGAAATTGGTTCTATCAAGACAGTCCATACAATTAGTCCTAAAGATTCCATGTTGAACAGACACTACTTTTTTTGTTTTTAATTCTACCAAAAAGAATCCAAAGTTTTAGATATGATCCATCAATTTCCTTATCAATGGATTAGATAATGAGAAATCATTGTTTTTACATTCATGATGAAAGTCAAACCACTCATATTTGATATTTTCATTTAATTCAGTAGAATTTGCTTTTATTTGTTCTTCAAATCCTTGTGTAACCATCTACTCGTCCTTTTTCTTTTTAGCCATTAAATTCAAACAAATAACCCTTGAATAATCTTCAAAAAGACTTGCGAAATGTTTCTTAAATGCCCTTTTGGTTAATTCTGCTGATCTCATTATTTTAGTCTCAATCAACCATCCTCTTTGACTCCAAAATATAGGAACACTCCCTCTCACTTAAAGATGAGAACAGCAATGATTATTATAATATATGATCTATTCTGTTTCCACAAAGTTAGCAACATTGCCATCGTCATCTATACCTCTGGCGTTATACCTGGTACCTGCTCTTTGACTTGATCTCCTGCTCATCAAATAGAAATCTAGTTTTTTTCCATTGATGTACAAATAAAAATAATTTATGAATCCTTGTATGATAGTAGTCAACCATTTTCTATCAATTTATTATTTAAGATGATTTTTAATCAAATTCAGATTCCACAAGAACCTCTCATCAGTCTTCTCCTCAATATGTTGCTTTACTTTTGATAATGTCAAATCATATCCATAAGAAAAATAGAAACCCATAACCAATAATTTCCTTAGCTCTGCAATCGTTTTCAAAATCGTATTAGCCTTAGCAGATTACATTATATTCGGCATATATGATAAGAATGAGACCGAAGCAATCTAAAATATATCTTATTCGTCTATTGTACAAATTAATTCTGCTTCATCTACAAATAATAAGAAAGGTTCATTTAGAATATAAATTGTGCCTAAGAAAGCAGAAAAAGCCATTTATTCGTGTTTGCTCTATGGTGGTGCTCCAGCTACATATATACTCAAACAAAATACATTTTTCATACAGATTTCCATTGTCCCTATCAATAATCAAATGTTTATCCAGTGTTATGGCTTTCTGATTTGTCTCTATTATATATTGCTTAGGATATAAATGAACTTTGAATATTTGCGTATTTTGCTTCTTAGTTGAATTAGTTTAAGCGTTTTTACTATCATTGTTGATAGTTAAAGATGTGAATAATTACATTATTTTATAATCAATTTAATAATTCCTATAATTGGAGTAATGAGGATCTACTTGAGTATTCTTGTGTCGCTCCTATATAGAATGCCTCAGGACAATTCTCTACTAATTCCTTTCCTATGATACCCAAAGAATAGATATCTATTTTATCTTATTCAATGTCATTTGCTGGGTAATATTTAGTCGTCAGTCCCTTTCCTCTTAGCCATTGTTACAAGTTAGGTTCCCAATAATAAGAACAGTCGAAATCGATTATAACAGGATTCCCATTCTTCATTAAAATATTGTTAGGCTTTAGATCTCTATGAAAAATCATATTTTAATTGAGTATTTAAATCGATAGAGTCAAATCTTTTAATTATTAGATATCCATTTTAACCATAGGTTCATAATAAGGGAAGATCAAATAAAATTTTAAGCTACTTGCATAAGATTAGCTGATGTTTATTTGATATTACAAGGAAATTAACTGAGCAAATCCTCGATAATTACATTTGTTTACAAGTACCTATGCTAAAATTTCAATTAATAAATCTTTGAGTTTATTCTTCATTTTTTCAAATTGCATCTCCGTTATTTGTTTTGTTTTCATTACAATTGTCTCATTATCATTACTGAAAACAGTCACATCTGGAGTTATCTCTTTGTAATTTGTATATTTGTCCTAAAAGCTCTGCTAATTCAATTATTAAACATTCGCAAATTCTTACTCTATTCTGTCTATTAAGTCAACAATTTCTTAATCCATGAGGAAATACTTTAATTACCATAACGTATAATAGACAGAATCTTGAACTAAGGAATTGCTTCTAGAAATCTGAGATAAAGCCTGAGATTCTACTAAATAATTCATACTCCTTCTAGATTCTGCTTAAAAGGACTATCTCTGATATTCCATATAGTATGAAGTTCTTCGACTCTATGTAGATTATAATCTATCAAAATCAATTTATTTGAAAATGTCACCAATATTTTCTCGTAGATTTGAATTGCCTATTTCCAAATCTTCTCTTGATTATTAGACTACTTTTAATAGATGAGCAGTACACAAATCCTTAAAAGCAGGATTGCATGAAGCTCTCTTCAAATACTCTACTCCTTCTCTGTATCTCCTATCTTTCAAATATCGAACACCAATTGAGTATTATATTTCTGCATAATCAGAAGTAGGTAAGCACTATTCCTAAAACGGTTCTTCTCGACTGTATCGTATTAAGGATTTACAATTATCCACTATCTTTTTAAAGAGTTGGCCTTCCTGAACAGTATATTTTTTTTTATTATCTTGTTTTGATTTTTCGAATTAAACTAAACGATTCATACTTAAATCTTGCATTGAAATATACTGATAAACATAACTTAGTAGCAAATTCTCAATGCAGTCTTATGAGAATTAGAATTGTTCAATTACACTTTGTAAAGTAATATACAATCTGCAATCTATATTTTACAAAAATCTTTCCATGATTTCCTACTTTTCATAATAGTGTTTGGTGGTCATTTAATCATTTCTCATGTGACATACCAGGATTAAATAGAATTGTAGAATAGAGAAATAGGAATTCAGTTTGAATTCAAATTCTATCTTCTATTTTAGAATAACTTTTTGTATGTCTTTATCTTTTAATTCTATAACATTTGCCAATTGTTTAATGTCATCATTTGGAATTTAAATATTGTTCAGATTACTTCTGACTACTTTATATAGATTTTTTAAAAACAATTCACATTTTCTATATTTATAAGTCTCATTAAATTATTTAGCATCTTACAAATACTGATTACAAAAATTAGTGAAAATACTAATGTGATATGGCATACTGCTACCATCAGTTAATAATTCATTAACCATTTCAACTGCCTTAACTGACTTTTATAAGTACAATGATAAAATCATTATTTTATACTTTATTTTGTAACAGAATAGTCTTGAATCCTTAATTTCTATGTACAAATTCTTATAATTCAATTGCTTGGACTTTTCATATGCTTTTAAATACAATTAATAGGCTTCATTGAATTAACCCAAATAAAGACATATCTTGGCGATTTGATAGTATAAATAGGGAAGATAGCAATTAAAATTGAATTGCTTTTAAAATACTATTGAGACTTTTCTAAAGAAACTATAAATGACGAGGGACAACCAATATTCCTTGAACCTTTTTAAATGTTTCCCTAGCTTAAGTAAACAAATGATGTATGAATCGTCATATTATTTATTAAGAAAGAAAATAAGGCTAGTAATATGAGAAAGACGTTATTCTCCATTTAATTTAACAAAATATATTTCCCAAAGCTTCTCAGTATTGATTAATCCAGTAAACAAAATGGCTCCTATTTGGTTGATGTGAGTAGTATCTTATAGGTATGTCTGATATGTTTTAGTATGTATAGCATCTTCAGTAATAGTCCTACTTAAACAGGCTAATTAAACCTAGCATCTATGCAGTTTCTTTTTTCTTTCGAGTACTAATTGGAATGAATTCTCATGGATTGTTTATGCAGGAAATTAAAGATTTTCAATTCCCTAGAGTATGGATTAGCAATTTCTAAGCAGAAACGATTTAACATTGGGATTTTCGATGGTTTCCAATTTTTGATAGCACGACTTTATTATGTTAAGAACCTCTTCGCATACATCATTAAAATATTTGTTATGAAATCTGTAATATTCAGGTATCTGCCTTTTAAATATGTTGCGAGTAAACTAATTGATCTTCTCAAACATTTAAAAATGTTCATTTGCTATTTGTTATTAGTTTTAGATCAAAAATTAGCAACCTTAGATAAAAAAATCAAATCCATAGAGAACATCCATCTCAACAGGAAATGCTTAATTATAAAAGTCATAGTGGTGAAACTGAAGATTTGAAATTCCTTAGTGTTTCATCATAAATTTTTCATCCTCATTCGTGAATTTCGAAACATATATGATAGGATTGAGTACATATTCTAAAAAACTAAAAGATAGATTAGAATCTGCAAAATCAATATTGTTGATAGTCTGTATATACTGTGATTAGTCGCATATTGGACAGAGAGAGTGAAATTATTACATTTATTTATATTAATAGTGACTTAAAATTAAAACACATTACCTATGAAAGAAAATATAATCATTTTTATGTAAGTTGAAAAGAGATTCTATTTTTTTAGATGATTTCCTTATCTTGACTTTCTTAATTGACTTACTATTCAATTAGATGAATCAATGCCTCTTGATCCATTTAACTCAATCGCAAATCTTCATTCTCCTTAACCAAACTCTTATCCCTTTTCCAGAAAGAAACTCTGAATAATAAAAAAGAATTATGATTATGTTATAATTAAAATATGAGGGTATCTAATAGGTAAAATTGTATTCAGAAGATTAATTAAATAAATACTTTACCAAAATATGGCAGATTTCTCTTTAAATTATTCAAGAATAACCAATTCTTATTTGATGGAAGAGTGATACTATATGTTCATATTTCTTTTAGAGAATCTGTATCCTGCAAAAGGATGATGAATTATGCAAACTAGATTACATTTCACCTATGTTTGGTTTCTATTTTGTAAATTTATAGCATCCAAAGCAATTTTTAATTTATTGTTATTCTCAATTTAGAAATAATTAAAGTAAAAGTAATTTTCATATTAAATTATTTTGTACTCATTCTTGTAATCGCAAATTTATTTATGAAATCTCACGTTATTTATTTAATTAATTATCTATCGCTGGGTTTTTAAGAGCATCTTTCTTTAATAATAATTAGTTTTTTAATCAAGGATTTAATAAAAATGGATATAGTATTTCTTCAAAATGATGGATTTTAATGTTGCTAATAATAATATTTCTAAAGTAATTAGATTTTGCATTTTTTACAAATTTAATAACCTCATTTTCAAAATATCCTTGAATTCAATATATCTTAGTTATAGATTTTACCTTCTTCATATTGTAATCTTTCCTTATTCTTTTATTTAAAAGTATGAAGAATAATAGTTTTATATTTTTTATCCATTCACACAAAATGTATAAATATATATATTAAAATTAAATCTACAGTCATTATTTGGATTTAAATTAGAAACATTTTTTTGAAAATTCTGATTTGAAGTAGAACTAGCGCTATCTTTCTTAATAGTCTGGATATAAGAATAATAGTAAATAGTAGTGTTAAATTACATCAATTTATTTGTAAAGATAAGATTCCCTTGAAACATCACTTTTACATTTTCAAATTTAATTTCTTTCTCTGTTCTTTGAAAATCAATCATATTCCAAATAGATTTATATTAAATATTAAAACATGAATATGGTTTTGGATTAACAAAATTATAAAAAATTAATACTGTTTTGGTTAAGTAAGAATAATTTACATGATAATTCCTTGCTAAATAGTATTATTACTATAGATTTCAAATAAACTTACTTATTTGTATCGATAATTATAATGCTATATTTAATTAATTATTTAATTTTAGAATGAAAGGAAGGAAGCACTCTTAAAGCGGAAAAGTGAGCGTAAGTATAACAAATAAGCTAGGAAAGAAGCAGTAGAAGATAATTGGAAAATGAATAATTGGTCAATAAACCTGATTTTTTAAAAGCAGCAACTTTAGGATAAATATTTGTAGTTTGCACTTAATAATTGGGAGGATTAGAGGATGGTATTTGAAATTAGTAATATATAGGAAAAATAACTAAGTTACAATTTAGAAAGTTTTTGATGACAGAATAGATTTGTTTTGTTTTCAATTTAATGGGTTTGGGTTTGAGTGTTATGCAATATGATTTAGAATTTGAGGAAGAGGATGAGAATGTAATAAGTATAAGATAGTAATTAGATATCCAATTGGTTATTGTGGATCATATTTATCTCTACATTGGCTTTATTAGTTTTAACAGTCTTACGTTATTAATAACATATGAATTGGTTGAAATCAAGAAAGTAAATTAGTTAAAATGATAAAATATGGTAAACAGAATAATGGTACCCAATGCTTATAGAATTGATAATTTATTGTGTGGTTCCTTATCCTTTCACAATTGGGATGAGAGTGTACTTTTACAATAGTTTTCAAGATGCAACAGCCTACTATCATGTCAATGAAATTCTTGCTTTATTTATGATAACCAGAACTGTGTTTATCTTCAGAACTATTTTGGCATAGACATTTTGGTACAGCAACAGAACTCAAAGAGTTTGCAATCTTTATGCCTGTGAAGGCAATTATATGTTTGTGGCAAAATCTTTAATGAGAACTTCCCCATACACTTCATAATTCATAGCTCTTGTGTCTTTGATAGGCATCTTTGGATATGGAGTAAGAATATGTGAGAACCCATTGGCTAGGAATGACCCTGCTAATAATAATTTAGGTAGATATGCAAATGCTTTATGGAATATCATCATTACAATTACAACAGTGGGATATGGAGATTTCTATACAAGAACAGATTTAGGAAGATTTGTTATCTTTGTTGTTTGTATTTTGGGAATATTTGTTATTTCTGTTATGGTGGTCACTCTTATCAACTCTTTGGTGATTTCAACTTTAGAATCCCATGCAATAACCGTATTAGAGAGAATTCAATTAAGATCTAATTTAACTAAATCAGCCTCATAGGTAGTGCTCTACTCACTCAAAATCCATGTTGCACTCAAGTACAACTATATCATTATTATTTAGAAAGGGAAATCTAAGTAAAGTCTAACTCAAAATATTGCTGATTAAATTAAGAAAGAATTTGAATGATTTCAAAATTGCTAGGAGAAAATACAGGAATAAACAAGATGTAGGCAACATGAATGAAGAAATTACTAATTAATTTAGTTTATTAAAATCAGATTTTAGTGAAGTAATTGAAAAATAGAAAGGATTATTGTTATAAAATTAAGATATCATGAATAAATTAGGAGTAGAAGCCAAACCCTACATATCAAGTCCTTGATTGTGATATATATATATAATCATTATTATTTCTATGCAAAATAAAATATTCTTACAACTCCCAACAATTTCATAAAACTATTTTTAATTACAATCCAAATTCTTAAACAAAAACAACAATCAAATTGAATTGCTCTGTTATGAAAATCAATTATATAGGAAGGTATTTTCAAACTATATACTAAGTCGTAAAAATCCCTTAAATTTACAATTTTGAACAGCACTCTTAGATTCTCAATCAAACATGAACAGGCTTCCATCATCTTAAGATTAGAGAAAGATGAATGCAATTTTAAAGAATATGTATTTCTTGATAAAGCTGATCCTTGGGAAAAGAAATTAAAATCTAAAATACCTTAATTGGATTATCAAACATATTATGAATTGGAAAAGTTAGTTGGAAATGGTAGTTTTGCTTCTGTGTACATAGCTAAGAAGAAATCAGATGGGTCCAAAGTTGCGATTAAGGCATTTCTTAAGAAAATGTTAATATAAAATAATCCTAATTCATGGAGAGTAGTATTTTCATTGTGATTTAGTTAACCATAGAAAATGAGATAAAGGTCATGAAGTGTTTAGATCACCCAAGCCTCTTAAAGTTTTATGATCACTTTGAAAATAGAGCTTAATCCTATATTGTTATGAGTTTGGCAAGGGGAGGAACCCTAGAATAAGGATTAAAAAAATTAGAAGAGCCTTTGCCGTTTTTAAGTGTTAAAGTTATTTTTAGATAAATCGTAGATGCAATTAAATATCTACATGAACGAGGATTTATGCATAGAGATTTAAAGCCAAGCAATATTTTGTTAAAGAAACCAATGTCATTGAAGCAGTTTTCACTTGTAGCCTAATAAGATCCAAATATAGTTGTTAGTGATTTTGGGGTGAGTTCAGAAATAAAAGACGATATGGACATTGGAAATTATTGTGGTTCTATTGGATTCATGGCACCTGAAATAATTAGTTGTGAAGATGATAAGAACTTTACCTATAATGAAAAATGTGACATCTTTAGTCTTGGTTGCATTTTCTATAGATTGTAATTAATGAATATATGCTAGAATCACTAATAAACCTTTGTTTAATGCATAAAATTAGATAGCTTTGAAATAGTTGAACAAGGAATGTCATTTTGATTGGATCAAAATTAGCGAAGAGTTGTATAATAGTAAATAGTTGACACAATTATTGATGAAGATGTTGTCTGTAGATCCAACCAAAAGGCCTTCTTGTTCAGATATTCTCAAGGCCAAGATTTTAGAAGTAGAATATGATAATGAGGGATGTCCCTTATTTATCAATTACAAGAAGCCAAAATCTTAATCTATTTAATAAGCTAAAACCTCGAGACCTTCAATTAAATCGATAAGTAACAACCGATTACCGTTTGTATCTCCTAATCTTTATTACAACATCCAAAACAACAGTAAACCTTCAAATGTAAGATCGGGTAATCTTCTATTACCTCCTATCAATAAGAAATTGCAAACAGAATAATGTTAATATTGATGATACTCTATATTGTAACAAAATTTTCAACAATGAAAGTATAAAATCACTTAACTGTTGTTGTAGTTGGTCTATCTAATTATTTATACAATCCTTATTATTATAGTCTGACCTCCTTATTTTTGATGCTATTATATTTCAATTTCTAATGATATTATTTTAAAAGATTACTTAATTTTCATTGATTAAAAGAGTCTCTGATCCAATGATACTCTCTCTAATTTCCACAGTTCCGATTTAATCGATCAATCGTTCATCTCTTGTAAACAAAACAGTAGTTTTATTATTGCCCATTATTCCTCTTACAGTTTGGGTCAAGGTTGATAAATTCAAATAGCCCTAAAAATAAGAGAATAAAATACTTAATAAATAATATTATCATCAATTGAGATTTCGCATTCCTTAACTCCTCTGACAGGTGTTTTACTATAGTTGTAAAAGGATATGGCAGATATTTATTAAGGAGTGTCAAATAGCAAAATTAATTTATTGACTTGGTAACTAATCTGATCAAAAACACTCGAATTGATATTCGTTTTTAATCTATCTGTATATGTATTAACGAAAGGAGATAACCACATTTACTTAGCATCTAAGGTGATATTCACATTGTTTAATAACTTATCTGGAGTTCTGACATCCATCTCCATTTGTGGAAGCTCTTTCACTGAGAATGGTTTTGCAAATAATTTAGGTTAAATCTATTCACCATTTGGATCAAATATCTCAATCCCATTCAATCCAATATAGTGTAAGTCCCCCCAAGTAGATAAAAGTTTGATAACTATCTTGGTGCCTTATGGTAATTGGGTCGTTTCATAATCTTAGTATATGTTTCTTTCGAATTAGTAATTTACCTTCATTATTTCAATCTTTTTCTAATAAGGCAACTCAATCAATTGAGGTTCATTTACGTCACTCAATCCATGTCCTTTTCTCAAATAGATGCCTTACTTGGTATTTAGAATTTGATTATCCCCTTTGATATTAATCATTTACACTCCCTTCTCTAATTCATCCTCCTTATTATAATTCCAAATTGCAACTCTACTAATTTGAGTTGGTTAAATAAATACAAATTGGATCTTGATTTTCCCATTAGCCAATTACCATCTTTCATCACTATTGACAACAGTCTCAGATTAAGATGTGATTACTTTATACTTTTTGATTTTCATTGACTATCCAAATTTATCATGAATATCAATCTTATCCAATCCAACAAATTTATCACCCCAATTTCTTATTATATACAACGTTAATACTTTCACAGCAACTGTTGGTAAAACCTTAACATTAATCTAATTTTGAGATGAGAACAATCTTTTAGGAAATTATTGTAATTTGGATTCAGATTCCTATCTAACGATTTAAGGAATAGAATCTGATTTTTAATGTTAATAATCTTTGTTAAATTAAGAGTTAAGATTATTATTTGCAAACTTTTAAGCTGTAATCTCACCTTTTGGCTTATTAAATGTGGCTGTATCAGGCCTACTCAATTTGACAGTATTCTCTAGAATGTGCTTTTACTATTGTATTTAACTTTCATGTAATGTATTAAGCCAATCCTACTCTTAAATCTTCTCCATTATTTAAGGGTTATTAGTAAACATTATGTATTCAGCATTATCTATGCCACATGTTCCATTGGCTTACTTGATTTCTCCACTAAAGATTGAATCTGTATCCAATACTATTTCAATGTTACGAACACATTTAGCTCTGTAGGTTCTGCCTTTGTTGTAATTCCAGATTCTAATCATGGATAACTTAGTGTCATTAAACTTAATTGTAATTTCCATATTTTTATCTATTCTTTCAATGCACATATTTTTGTCGTCCTGAGTTAAATAATTGTCATCAAATAAAACAGCAGCATTTCTGAAAAATCCAGATACTGAATTAATTTTTACTTTTTTGCCTTTATAATCAAATATTTCAATTCCAGTTAATCCAATTGAGTAGAGATCTCCCCAATTTTTAAGAAATTTGATTGTCAACGTAGATCCGAAAGGACATTCAGGTATTGAGATATTTTTAGTACGAGTGGATACTGTTCCTGCTGCGATGTGAGCAACTCCTCTTTTAAAATTGAGTTATGGACTAGTGGAATCCTCTTCGGTTAATTATTTCTAGGAGAATAAGTTAATAGATTTCTTGAAGAATCTCTATTAATGAATTGTCTATTTGGTTTTGACTGAGGAGGGTTCCTATTTTTATTCAAGTTTTTTGAATTTCTTATCATCATCAAAAGGATCAAATATTAATTTAGGTTTTGCATGCTTTTATTGACTGGAGGCTTTGGATAGGTTAATTCTAAATAGAAATATAATTAATATTACTCTTTATTTTCATCAGATTTCTTGGAATTAATGGATTGTAATGATTAATTAAATGGTTGAGTAGAATCATTTTAATTCTTATTTCGAGTTTCGCTTTCCTTTATTGTGTTAATACTTTGTTATGGTAATGGTTCTAATTCGATTGTTTGGGCATATTCTGAAAATGTATTGGCTACTCCTCTGGCTATTTGACCTGACCATAGTACAGTGTCATTCTGTAAGATTTCCAAGTCACAAACACACTTATCCAATTCTTTTCTATTTTTATTAAAATTCCATATTTTAACAGATGTAAGAAATTCGGATTCTTCCTAAAGTAGATAGCACACTGTGATGGTAATTGGGAATTATTTAAAGTTGGTAATCCACATTTATTCAGGATATATAGTAAGATTGTGACCATTGATCAGATTATTAATAGTATTATGGGAATCATCATCAGAATATATGCAGTTGATTTTGACATATTTTCTGTTATTATTCAACAATTCAATACTAGTCAATCCAACCTGAGTTTTGTTGCCATAATTCGAGTGGATTTTGAGGTGTATTCGTTTGCTTTTGAAGAAGGAGATGAGTTCTTCATGTTTAGGTTAACCAATTTCGATGGATGCTAGAATTTGTAGTACCAATTCTTATTCATATTGCGGGAGCTTTTGTATTCTATTAAGTTCTTGTTAGTATGAAAAAAGAATACCTTGTTTCCAGATTATTTAAAATTTATCTCTCTACGTTAGATGTTGGAATTGATTTTTATTGAGGAATGTAGGTTCTTGGTTTGATTAGAGGTTTCTAATTGAAATATCAAGTAGTTCTTACGTGTAGTTTTTCTCCATCTCTAATGGATCGATTGAGAATGCCTGCTTATTTGCCATCTAAAGATTTCATGAATGACAGGATTGTATTGTCAGGATTCATCTCTTGTTGAACCTGAGGCGGCTTAGTAATTGTTCTTGCAGTACTTGAGACCTGTTGGATTGGTTTGGAACTGTAATGACGTGGAGTAGCCTATTTTTCGAGAGGCAGTCTTTAAACACTCATATTTTATTATTTATTAACTAAGTATAGGGATTTTTAGATTAGCAAATTTTAATTAATGGGTGAGATTGTGTCTAATCAGCTTTTCGTAGCTGGATATAGTCGCAGCAAAGTGACTGACGAGAGAGATGTGAGAGAAATCTTTAGAAAGTATGGGTCACTCAAGGAAGTGGCATACAAGGGCTCCTACTCTTTTATAGTAACTCTTTTGAATTTAAGTTCACAAAGACTTTCAGCAATGAGGATGAAGCTAAAGAGGCTCTTACAGAGATGAATGGAACAACACACAATGGCCAGAAATTAAAAGTGGATGTTGTCGACAATCGCAAGGGGAGAAGAACTGGACCCAATGAAAGTGACGAATGTTTCAAATGTGGCAGAGGAGGTCACTGGTATTAAATTCATTCATTCTCAATAGGGCCAGAGATTGTCCCAAGGGCAGATCACCTCACAGAAGCAGAAGATACTCAAATTCCAAATCCAGGTTGTTAAGACATTCTATCATAGACATCACAGGAGAAGATCCGGTTCAAGATCCCGTTCATCTTACTCGTCTTCCCGTTCCAGAAGAAGAAATAGAGATCACCGCAATAGACGCAGATATAGCAACAGTCCAAAGAGAGGCGAAGAGCAAAAAAAGGGGAATTACAACAAGAGAAGGTCGCCTTCAGACTCTTAGCATCATTCCTCGTCTTGAATAAGCATGGGCAAAACAAAAACACATTTTATTATTCAACATTATTCTAATTTAAAAAATAAGCTCTTTTCCCGAATTGATTTACAATATTCCCTGAACATATATAATAATAATCATTCATCAAATTTTGCTCACTAATTTTATTGTTAATTCTCTTACTTTCTTAAGCACCCATTCTTGATATCTATGATAATTCCTCGCTAACTTCCAAAAAGTGTGAAAATGCAAATGGAGCAATCAAAAATATTAATCCTTTTTTCTTTATCACAATTTCATACCTGTTGTTCCAACCCACAACAACCTTCTTGACTGTCTATATAAAGTTCTTGGATTCAACCATCCTGTTTAGAAAAATCTAATCAACTTTCCCCACAACCCTTTGGCAGGCTTCAATTAGTTTTGGCTTTATGAAGCACCTGATCGATTTCCCACTCCATATCTTGATGAATTCATTAAAATATTTAATTATTTATTGCCTTAATTATTTTTAATTAATCTTTACTAAATGCAAAAAAAATAACAAAAAATCTCCGAAAAGGCGGATTTGAACCACCGACCTGGGGATAACTGGATAACACTACAGTCCCTCGCTCTACCAACTGAGCTATTTTCGGATGATAACATTTCCATAGCATATCTCCTTTTATTTCCATCAATAACATATTTACATAATTATTAGTTACTAAAACCACTCATTTCGTTTTTCTAGGAATTATCAAAAATCAATATTAATTAATTTCTATTAGCATTAATAAGATAAATGATTATTTATATATCAAGACAATCACGATTGTTTAAAAGCATCATGGCAATTTTATAAATTTTTAAACGAAATCTCAAACACTGAATTCTAAGAGTGCTCCGCATTTTATAATAGATCAGATTCCTTAATCAGATCGATCAATGACTAATCATTATGATTATATTGTTAAAATGATTGGCTACTTTTAGTTCTCGTATGTTAGGCTTAAGGAGTGATTGAACTACTGATCAGAACTTTAAAAATCTACAATAAGAATTATCAATACTTTGATGCACTCCATGTTTTCTTCTCCCAATATTTCACTAACCAACTCTTTCTCTTAATCCAACATCTTCATAGGATTATTGGATGATTCCAAAAGAGTCTTCATCTATTGGAATCTCTCTTCTCCTATCTTCCTCTTTAGAAAATCTGTCAATAAAATGGATCTCTGGGGAGAAGTGGGAGCATTAGGATTTAAGAACTAGCCTGCAAATGAAAAGGTCTTAGGATTCTTTAGGAGAGTTGGTTGATTTTCATTTTCGTATTCATTTGTGCCTCGTTTCGTTGCGTCATCAATTTGAGTATTGATGGAGATCGATTTCTAATATCTTAATTATCTTTAAGCCATAACAGCTGAATTCTATTAGATGGATTCATTGATGACGTCAGGAAGAGTATGCAGATTAAATGATAAGGGCTTATTCTTATTGGCGTTATCAGCAGTGGCTAATTATTTGAATGTAGGTGAGTTCTAGTTTGAAGAATCTTAAATTAATTATTGTAAAGAAACTTTTCTTCTCTTCTACTTGCAAACCTATGGTGATTGTTATTGTTATTATTATTGCTATTACTGTAATTATTTGGATTACTCAACAAGAAAATGAATAGAATTTTTGTGCATTTTCTTCTAAGAAGATTTATTGGACTGCATCGGTGAAACTGGTAATATGTAATTAAATTAGGTCTTATAAAGTCCTTGCAGCTTGTACAATTCTGATTGAATTTGTGGATATTAGATAATAGTCGAGATATCTGGTCTTTTTTCTGGGTTCTTTTCTAGCATTTCATCTATCAGTTGTGAGATGAAATCTGAATAATTTCTGTGGATCTTGGGATGAGGTTCATTGATGATCTTAAAAGCAATTTCACTGATGGATTCCCCTTTAAATGGCTTTTGAAGTGAACATAATTCATATAGAGTGCATCCCAACATCCAGATATCTATCTTATGATTGTACTGTTGATTTTAACAGATTTCAGGAGAGAGATAGAATGGAGTTCCTTCGATATTAAAATAGCATAGTACCGATTGACGTTTAGGCCAGATCCAAGGTGTTGTCCAAAGTTCTAGATATTCCAAAATCTCCCAATTTGACCTTTAAATTTAATAAGGACTGTTACAATTCCGTTGGTGCAGAGGAAGATGTTTTGTAATTTGATGTCTCTGTGGATTATCTTCAACTAGTGGAGGTATTAGATGGCAATGGAGATCTAGGAAAACCAGCCAAGAATCTATAATATTGCATAAATCAAATACTAAACTGTATTTTCATCAATGTATGTTTATGTTTGTTTGGCTTGGTTGGTCATCATACTTAGATCGGCTAGGAGAATTGAATAAGAATTTGATACCATTTTCAGCATATTCCATAACAATACACAATTTATTATTATGGGTGAAGGAGTCATAATGCGAAATAATGTTGGGGTGATCCAGACTGCGTAACAATTTGACTTCATTGAGTGGATCAACCACATAGCTTTCTCTAAAACTCAAATCTACTCTCTTTATAGCGAATAACTGAAAGGATAAATAAAAACAGTACTTTGTCATCTGATTTTCTTTGCACCAACAACACATCTCCATAATTGCCTTTGCCTATTTTCTTGATTCTTTTAAATTGGTCCATAGACTATGAAAAATTCGTTAATTATAATAATTATTCAATTTCCCACAAAATTTATATTTAACATAAATGTCAATTATATAGTTTATGTAGATATCAAATGTAATCTTCAACCTAACTATTATCTGCAAATAGGACAACTATTCGATATCTATACACTTAAGAACACTCACTTACATTGAACCAATTCCTGACACAATTCTCATGAAATTAGTGTTATCCACTGCAAGGTAATTGCAGAATACTTTCATTGTGAGCATATTCCTGCATACAAATACAACAATTCTTGTCCTCCTTCACCCAAGTGTCATCTAATCCTGTGTATTTATGTGGGGGAATCGACTCCAAGTACCTCTTCAATCGTTGAATCGAATACAATTATTTCCCTTTTCTGTAGATCGATAAACAACAAAGCAATCTAAAATATTAACTATTGTGTTACGGCAATGCAATCACTAGAACAAACACTAAACAATACAGAAAGATGAACTCTAAAAACATTGATAATACTATTATGAATATTACATTCAATAAATGCGCATCACAAGTTTCTTAGTAGAATTCAAACATATTGAAATTAAATGGAGAATCCAACATCAAAATAAAAAATCGAATTATAATCACTTAAGCCAAAAAGTTCAAAAATTTCGATTCTCTCTATTTAAATATTACAACCAATTACATTCAAATCAGGACATTATGAAAATATTGATTTCTTTACTGTCATCGTCAGTTTATTAAAGGATTATCTATCAGGAATCTGCTCTAAATTCATTCCTTGCTATTCCAACACTTATTGAATTAAGTTCAATTTCTCAATGTTTTCGAGTTCCATCTTGTACTTGAACTCGTGGTATAATAGGAAAATGCTATGCAATATCAATGTTGTGGCTGTCGAATGCGATTCTGAAAGCTCACATTTTAAAGCCTCTCCAAAAAAGATTAGAGTTATGAGCAATTTTGAGATTGTAAAATAAATGTAAATCTAAACACCCCTTGATAATTAACTAAACACTTCTTTCAAAACACTTGGGTAAATTCCATATCTTTCCCTGGGTTGAGGAATCAATAATTATTTAATATTTTCCAACATTTTATATATAATTAACAATCATTTATATTATTTATTAAAATCCAATGTCCATGCTTTTAATTCATTTAATGGTTATAAATTTATCAATAATTTTTATAAAGATTCTTTTATGATATTTGATAATATTATGCAATAACTAATTAGCAGATATACAAATGTAATTTCTATGAGTAAATCAAACAAAGTAAGTGTTTCTTTTTACAAACAACTTTTATATCAACTTTACTCATTTCATAAGTTTATATATATCACTTATTAAATTAGCTTAAATCTCTTTAGACAAGCATTTTTAGGATAATTTAAATTGCCATTACCTATATTTACTTGATTGATAATATTCAAATACTGTAAGAATTAACAAGGAGAACTACAATTGAAAACTAGTAAATAATTAATGATATTAAATTTATAAAATATTCTTAAATGATGATGTTGATAGATTGAACATTTTATTGATTCTATAAATTTTAGATAATTTAGTTTATTATTATTAACATTCATATACTGATAATTTCTAAAATATAAATAATTTAAAAATGGAGGAGTAAATTTTCAAGATAGTGATTATAGGGAATAGTGCTGTAGGGAAATCATCTTTATTGATTCGATATTGTGATGATACTTTTCGAGATATTTATTTAAGCACAATAGGAGTTGACTTCAGATTTAAAACAATAAAGCTAGATGGACAAGGAATTAAGTTGCAGATATGGGATACTGCAGGTCAGGAGAGATTCAGAAACATCACAAACTCATATTACAAAGGTATGGAGACAATGTTAAGGTCTAGGGGCTTAAGGGATTGTGATTGTGTATGATGTGACAAATGCAAAATCGTTTGAGGATGTAACTAAATATTGGATGGCAGAATTATCTCATTATGCAGACTAGAATGTGAAGTTGATGTTGCTTGGAAATAAGATAGATATGGCTACAGAAGAGACTAGATAAGTTAGTGAGGAGATGGCTGAGCAATTATCAAAAGAATTTAATATGCAGCATCACGTTGTGAGTGCCAAAACAGCTGAGCAAGTATGAATATGATAGCAATATTTAACAGGTTGAGAATGCTTTTATCAATTTGGCAAGATCAATATATAATGAGAAATCTTTGAGGGAGATGGTGCATCCATAACAATAATAGTTGACTAGTAAAAAAAATAAAGATGAAAAGTAAAAGGTGTGTTGTTGATTTATCTTTATTTCGTTTTTGTTTTAAGGATATTTATTAATTAATGTCATATACATCAAGATATTCATCAGCAAGACCATAGACTGTAAAAAGTTCAATAGAAACTAAACCAACAACTACTCCTGCTGCTTAAGTTAATAAGCCAGCAGAGTAATCGCCTTAACCAGTTTAAAGATCAGATGTGAGAAGATCGAGTCAACTCAGAGCAAGTGGATAGCCTACTGTAATTAATGTGTAAATGTATTTCATAAAACCTTTAGACCTCCTCCTACTACTGAAAGAAAGTGGTTGGGCAAGAATCCAGAAGTTGTATGTTTTTTATTGGCTTTGGAAAATGATAGAATGATGAGGGAGAACAATGCATAATTCAATAGAATAAAGGAATTAGAAGGTGTCAACGAATAACAAGAGATAAGAATTAGAGAACTTTAGACTAAGTTGGAATCGTAAACTACAGAAATATCTAATTACAAGTTAAAGTATTTATATTTATTAGATCTGAAATCGAAAAGCATATTATTAGAATTAAATAATTAGAATCTGAATTGAACGAATATAAATCCAAGTTGGGAAGTGTAGATTAAAGTCTTGCTGGTAGATTGAAGGAGGCAGAAAGGAAATTATAAGACAGTGATAAAGAATTGACTAATTGGAAAAATAAATATAACACAGATAAAACTAATTGGGATAATGAGATCAGAAGATTGAATGACTTGCTCACTTAGAAACAGAAAGAATTGGATGATTATAAAAATAATTAAGGTAAAAATTATGAACAATTGTAATAACAATTGAGACAGTATGAAACCAAAATAAGAGAGTATGAAAGTTAAATAAGTACCTACAAAAGTGATATTGATCGTTTGAATAAGTTGTTATTGGAGAGGAACTCAGAAATTGATAGATTGAAGAATGAATTGAAAACAAGATTATAAGAATTAGATGATTGGAGAAGTAAATTCACAAATCTATAAAATCAATTCAATACAATGAAATCATAATATGAATCTAAAATTAATGATTTAACTAACACACTCTAAAATAGAGATAGAGATTTAAATGATTGGAAAAATAAATACGCTAAGTTGGAAGGCCAATTCAACAATCTTGGAAGTCTTCAATCAGGAAGTGAATCTAAAATAACTGATTTATAAAATAGACTTTCACAATTGCAATCCGATTTCGATAGATAGGCCACTTAATTAAGGGATAGGGATGCTTAGATTTAGGCATTAAAAGAAAAGTTACAGAGATTAGAATAAGACAACTTTAACTTAAATAATCAATTATAAGACTTGTAATCCAGATATAACAATTTGTTGAAGGAAAATGAGAAATTGTAAAATGAATTAAGGAACAGAAAGAATGAATTGGATTTCATGAAATAGTAATTGCAATAAGCCAATGATCAACTTAAGAGATATGAAGATTAAATCAATTAATTAAATGAATAAATTATGGAATGCAAGGATCAGATCATGGCACTCTAAAATTCTAAGGAAATGTTGGAAAGACAACTCTAAGATTTATATTCTAAATCCAATGATAATGTAGGCGAACTTAAAAGTGCAAATGATCAGTTGGAAGGAAAGGATAAGGACATTGCTGATCTCAGAGATCAATTAAACTAATTCTAAGTAGATAGATAAATTATGGAATCCATGATCAGCTCTTTGAATAATCAATTAGCTAATAAAAATGATGAAATTCAAAGATTATTAGCTTAGAACAAATTGAGATTACAATAATTATTAGAATTGCAAAGTAGATATGCTTAACTAGATTATCTTCTAAGTGACCTCAAGGGAGTTGAATTACAAAATAAATAACTAATAGCTAGAATCAGTGAATTACAGTAATTGGTGGATGATCTCAAGAGAAAACTTGCATAATAGGAATTACAACTATTATAGTCTAAATCAAATGAATTTAAGATCTAAGAATTAGAAAATATCATCAAAGAGTTGGCTAAGGAAATTTAAAGATTAAATGAATTCTTGAATTAGAAATTATCTGAAAATGATAAATTGAATATGTAGATTATTTCAATGGAGAATGAAATCAATAAACTTAAGAATCTAGAACCTTTATTAAGAGAATTGGAAAAGAAATTATAAACTCATTTGGATGATATTGCTAGATTAAAGTAGTTGTTGGATTCAAGAACAAACGAATTGAATGAATGGAGATTGAAATACTCAAAACTTGAACCAGTCATTGATGAGAAAAGATAATTAGAGGAGAAGAACAGGTTGTTTGAAAATAGGATTTAAGGATTGCATTAGGATATTGAAAGATTGACTAAGCAATTGAGACAGAAACAATTAGATATCGATTAATTGAACTGGATATTGAATCAGACTGAAGGGTTGTTGAGAAATAGAGATGATAGCATTAATTCACTTGAAACTAGATTGAATAATCTCTAAAGATCTTATGATAATGAGAGATAGAAAACTCTTAACTTTGAGTAGATTTAAAGTTAATTATAATAAGCAGTCGATAAGATCAATCAATTAGAAACTTAAATCAAAGGATTGTAGAATGATTTAAATAGAGCCAAGAAGGAAGTAACTTATTAATAGAATGAAAATGATTAGATGAGACAATAGATTGCTAAATCAGAAATCACAATTTTGGATTTGAAGTAAAACGAAGCCAGATTCAAAGAAGTTGAAAATAGGTTGAATCAAAGTCAAAAAGAAGTTGAAAAGTTAACAAGATAATTCAACGATAAATTGTAGGCTTATGAGGAATTGAAATAAAATAATGGTTTATTGGATACTAAGTACAAGAATCTATAACAATAATATTAAGAATTATTATAGAGATTAAATTAATTGGAACAAATCAACAATTAATACTAAATCTTGAAGGCCAAGAATTTGGAATTAGAAAATAACAATAAACAATATAAAATCGATTAAGATAGATTGAATTCTACTTTGAATCAGAAACTCTAAGAATTGAATGAATTATAAAATCTACTTCCATAATTAGAGGACAAGATCCATCAATTGACTCCATTTGAAGAGAAAGTATTAATTATTTTAATATATTCTAGTACGCAATTGTGTAGCCCAAATATGAACAGGAGTTGAATAAATCAGATGAATTACAAAGGAAGATCAGAGGTTAAGAGCAACAGTTACAAGAGTTAGAGAAAGTGAAGAAAATGTAAGAGTGTATAATTATAATATAGAGTACAAGATCAGACTGTGATGTTGACTGTACTTTTTGGAGAATGTGAAGGATTACGACAATAATGCACGGACAAAGATGGAGAGATCCAGGATCTAAGGTTTAATGTAGCCTAATTATCAGATTAGTGATATAATATAAATAATAAATAGTATTGAACTAAGATTAAATATTTCTATAATAACTTAACAATTAATTATACGAGTTTAATTTAAATTCAAAAAATAAATAATGTCATAGAATGAAAATGAGATTTATAGGAGAATCAAATTACTGGGAGAAGGGTCTTTTGGAAAGGCATATTTGGTGGAAGTGCATCCAAGATGGAACTCTTTGTGTAATCAAACAAGTAGATTTAAATTAAATGAAAGAAGATGAAAGAAGAGAAACAATCAAAGAAGCAAGAATTTTAGAAGCTCTGAGACATCCTAACATAGTTAAATTTAGGGAAGTCTATAAAACAAAAAAGGGTAGGTTATGCATTGTAATGGATTATGCAGATGGTGGTGATTTAAGTAATAAAATCAAACAGACAGGATCGTGTCTCTTTAGTGAAGTATAGATCCTTGATTGGTTCACATAAATATGTTTAGCAATTAAACATGTTCATGATAGAAAAATCATACACAGAGATTTAAAAACCTAAAATATATTTCTGACTCAAGATGGAATAATCAAACTTGGAGATTTTGGAATTGCCAGAGTTTTGAATCACACCAGAGAAAAGTGCAAGACAATTGTAGGAACTCCCTATTATTTGTCCCCTGAAATCATTGAAAGTAGGGATTACTCATTCAAAACCGATATCTGGTCTTTGGGCATTATACTGTATGAACTCTGCGCGCTCAAACCTCCATTTAATGCAGAATCCTTGCATGGATTAGCCCTTAAAATTGTTAGAGGCCAATACAACCCCATTCCTGACAAATTCTCCACCAACATGAGGTAATTAATCTCTTCCTTGCTCCAAGTTGATCCCAATCGAAGACCCAATATTCATGAAGTCTTGAAGATGTAATTTATATTTATCAATTCAGGCCAATCATAGTCAATAGAATCAGAAGTGTCTTATCAGAAAGTATAAGGAATGCAGAGTTTTCCCATACTATTCTTCACAAACAGAACTTTGTTAATCATAATTTGATAGTCCCATACGATACTGAGTTGAGAAGTGTATGTTCGTAGCCAAACCTTGGTAAAATTTAATAGCAATAACCATTACAATAATAATATTAATAATAACAATAGCCAAGCAATTATTTATTGGCATTTAATGCAAGAGGCTAGCCATAAAATAATTTATTAAAACAGAAACAATTATATCAATAGCATCTACCATAAGTAAATATCTTATTTAATTTATATTAGAACTATGACTACATATCTAAACCAACTCAACAAAATTATAATCCATATATGAATTATCAAAAATACCAATAAAACAAATAATAATAACAACAACCATAATAAATATAACCTTTATAAGTTAATAATAATAGACCTAATATCTCACCATTAAATCCATAAAGGAATGAAAAATCACCTTATTATGATGATAGATCGCCATTAAGCAAATCACCATTTAATAAAGATGTTAGAGACAAATCTCCCTTTGAAATTTAAAGAGAATAAGTCAGATAATAAATTAAAAGAAATGAAGAAAAATTTCAATAACTTTAAGAAAATAAAATAAAATACTTATAACCTGATAAGTATGAATTACCTAAGCTATCAAGGGAACCATATTCATAACCATAAATCCAATATAAATATTAAAAATAATAATCTGATCCTGTGTCAGTCAAAGACCCAGTTAGATTGGAACCAATCAATAATAATTAATAACAATAAAAGTCAGAATAATAATAATAGCAAAAAATTGATTTGCAATAAAAAATAGAGCAACAATTACAATCTCAATATCCTTCATCTTCTAGAGAACAAAAAGAATAAAGAGATAGTGTGTATCAAGCACCTCAGACTGAAAGAGTATAAGTAGCTCAATACATTTCCCAACCCCCTCCAACTCAATAATAATAATAAGTTGATCCTATCTAAAAAACTGAATCAGTAAAACCAAGCAAACTACAATTAAAAGAAAGTCAACTAATCCTTTAAGAAATAAGAGAAATAAAAAATGATACTAAGGATGATAGAGAAAAGATGAAATAACTAATGGAAATCAAAAGATAAAGAAATAGTAACACATAATCAGAAATCTAAGAAGTTATTAAGGAAGCATCCAAGAATTCAGACGAATAAGAAGATGAAGCATCTTAATTACTAGCAGAGTTAGAAGATATAGTTATAGCTGCTGAGGGTGGGGATGTGAAACATTCATAAGTAATTAATGTAGGTGATGGTGATTTAATCAATATGTAACAATCAGTTAGGGAAAGTGTGGACAGAGAGGATGATGAGAGTTTGGAATAGAAATCAAATGCATCAAATGAAAACGGAGAAAGAGAAAGCTTTTAAGATGATGAAGACATCGTTTGTGAAACTCCTAAAGAATTGCTTTATCAATTACTCTTAAGACAAATTGGTTAGGAATAATTGACCAAAGCTTTAAATAAAATATAAAATGCTTATTCCTAGGATTATGTCAATCTAATGCAAAACGGCCTAGATGAGTTGTAATAATATAAGGCACTTATATTCATGTATGAATGCATGTGATTTTAAATTTAATCATATTTTATATCTACAATTATCATATAAATTAATATTCATTTAAGAATTATTACATTTAGTATTCAAAAACTTATTTTTGATTCAAAATTCGATAAGATTCGACTTTCATGCATCAAAGTATCACAAAACATCTAAAATTATAAAATTTATAAATTACCTCCAAGTTTTATATTTATTAATCTTTATCATTTAATTAATGTATATATTAATTTTTAGATTATTTACTTTAATTTTAAATTTTATTAGCTTATTGTAAAAATACTTATTAACTCTCTTTAATTTCTTATTCTTAATTCTATGCTTTTTGATTCACAATGATATCATTTAATTCATACGATGATTATTATGATATAATATAATCGTTTTATTATTATTATTTCTCGTTTTCATCATGTACAAATGTATAAATAGAAAAATGATCAACTCTAACAATAAACTATTACTTTATTTGATCTATTTCTATCAACTCAATATTCTGCTCTTTACATTTTTATTGTAGAAATTTATGTTCAGTCTCGTAATTATCTTTGTTTATTGTGATTGGAACCTTCAAAGTAATCAAACAGGATTTATTAAGTTTTTTATTAACTTTTGGTTTAAGATATTCATGAATTTGATCTAAATCATACACTTCGACCTTTGAATCTTATATATCAACAATTCTATCTAAATTGATATACAATAAGTTTGTTGGAGAATCCCATCTCAATGAACCAAATTCATTAAAGATTGTAAAATCTTCAACATTTTTTAATTAATTAATTGTCAATTGATTGATATCTGGTAATGTGTAATATCCTTATTTTGTTAAGATGGGTCTATAAGTTTATAGGATTCTAAATGATAGAGTTTGATGATTATCCTAATTATTATTTTCATCAATTATAAATTCACTTTTTTCAAAATAAGCTGCTTTATCACTCTTAAAGACTTGCATTTAATCTATTTTTTGAAGTATTTTATCTTTAAAATCGATTTTTGATTTAATATCATTAAATTCTTCATTGAATGTTATAAAATTCTCACTTTCTTCGAAATAGATTTCAATTATATATTCTCTTTTAGATTTAGTTGACTTTTATGAGATTCTGCTTGTAGTAAATCCGCAATTAGATTATGATTAATGTTGAATACTAATTCTTGAGCTTTTTTAACTGTTGGCTAGATTCAGATTGCTAGAGGAGGGCATTGTTCTAAAGAGAGTGTGAGAATCATTTTTCTTTTTTGGTAACAAATTGATTTCTTACTACTTCTTTTGTCTTTCAATTCTTTTTTTTTATTCTAGCTAATTGATTAGGTATTCTTGCTCCAAATATTTTTCTTCTTCTAATTTGTACAATTTTTCCATTTCTTAGATAGAATTATTTAATGTGGTTGTGAAATTGTTAATCATATCTACTGATTGTTTAATAAATTAAATAGGATTCATTTAATTTTGGTATTAAATCATTTGCAAATCATTCGATAACATGTTGATAGTATTAACATTTTAAAATGGTTGAAATGGTTATTAAGGCATTTGTAATGGGTACATTTGTTGTGGTTATTAAAATTATTATTATTAGAACATTAATTATTAAGAATTTTATTATTGTTATTATTAAAATGGTTATTACATGTTATTCATGAATTATTGTTATGGTTACGAAAAGATTGAAAGAATGTTAGGATTATTATTATTATGATTATTATTACTTTAATTATTGAATAAGTTAGTATCATTATTGGACTAGTGTTGATTTGGAATTTAGATTTGCAATTAGGGTTTGTTTTATTAAAATATGTTTCCAGTTTGTGATTATTATTAAGCCCAAGGGAGATTTAAATCCTTTGACTGATAGTTATTAAATTCAGATTGAGGTTTGTTATTATTAAAAGAACTTTAATTGAAGATGTTTTATGGTTGCTGATCCTATCTAGGATTAGGATTTGAGAATATATTGACTGAATTATTAGTGTTCATACTATTGTTTATTGGAGGGGCATTAAAAATATTTCCATATTACTACTTTTATTATTATTACTAATTATTTTAATTGTTCATTGAACTGAAAAAATTATTTTATTGTCTATTATCAGTAAGAGAGGAGGAGGCATTTGAATTAAATATATTTTGTTATTGTTAATTCTAGTTGTTAGATTCCCAAATGGAATTTGAACTTTTTTAAATGGGAAACATAGGTACATTAATGGCTAAAATAACATTTAGATTTACGTTGTCCAGCCACTTTCGAAATCAAAGAAGGATTGAATCTTTTGCATTGGATTGCATTTTGAATAGTTGATATATGGAAATCATCAATTTGTTATGCTCTAACCAAATAATAATCCTCTAATCTAATCATTATCATTGACTATTATTGTAAGAAATGTTTACCATTTTATCATATTGAGGTTAGAAGATAATTGAAGTAGACAATACGTTTTTATCGTCCACAACTTGAATTTTGATTTGTTCAAACTTAGCTCTATATGAACCTTGGACATCACGTTTTCTTTGTGTTCTTAAAATTAACATAAAAAATACTAAGGAATAGTCCAGGAATTAGAATTGGATTGACTAGTTTAAAATATATTGGAACTGCCATTTCTTTGAAAGAGAGTGTTTGCCATTATTTTTGTTTAAAAATTATTTCCATTATATTGTTAATTATTAATGGTTTAAGTGAATATTGAGTAACAAAAATTAATATAATTCTGGAAATATTAATTATTATAATTTAATGATAGATCAATATGAGGATTGGGATAAATTCTCATCTAAGGAAGACTTTCTTTTTCTTCCTTTCTTGTTGATATCATTAATATTCAACTTCTTGAAATTCTCTTCCTTTCTCTTCTATTTTACTAGTTCATTTTTCTTCTTTTTCTCCTATTTCATGGCCTAAAAACTTGATTCAAAATTTCTAATTTCCAACTTATTGTTTTTCTTATAGGTGTGTACTTTGTTCTAGCTCTCATCAAAAGAGACTTTCCTTTGAAAACCTTCGCTTGCAATTGAATTAGATCTCTTCCGTAGACTAGATGTCATAGATACTTAATCAAAATCTTATTAACTTTGAGTAGACCTTAATTTCAATGATTCGCCCATGTCAGCACAAGAATCTTCCTTGCTTAATGTAGGTTGTTCGTCCATTAAAGCAGCTTCCTTTCTTGGCCGCATGGGCGAATCTATATCTTTCATTTTCTCTTAGATTGTTTCTTATTGAGGCTGCGAAGGAATCTTTCTTCTTGTGTATAGATGTTAAATAACAACTAAAATGAGGGAAATCAAAATCCATGACATTGTTGATAATGTTAATTTAATATTAACAGTACCTTCATTTGCATCAAATTTTGAACTAAACCTATTAAATAGATGAGTAAATCATACAACAACGATAATAGGACTCCTATCGTCAAAATTACTGAATGTTATTTTTCCATTTGATTTATATTATTAATATCAATAATAGATGAGCAGAAGAAAAACTAATACTAAGGTGGTTCTCAATGATAATGATGATGAAATCGCATAGAAAGAGCTGATGTATGCAGTAATTATATTACTCATAATCTTAGCCTGTCATTTAGATATACACAGATAATCAATACTTGACAGAAATGCAAGTGGATTCTATAACAGGAATAATGTAAAATATAGAAATATTTAAAACTTGGTGTCCAGAAACAAGCGCACTATCTGAATTCACAAGGTTAATATCTTAGAATTTATAATATGAGCGATTTCAAAAATAAAATGCTGTATTTAATTTAGGTATACGAATAATCCATTTTAGGTGATCAAGGAGATAAATTCTATATTATTCTGACAGGAACAGCTGCAGTCTACATCAAAAGACAGCCTCAACAAATTGAAACTGAAGAATAGGAGATCTTACCTAAAATTGAATAATATTTAGATAAAATGCAACTTAATTCGATAACAGAAATTGAATCTGACTCAAAATTCTCCTTTTTTGAAAAATTAATTAAAAAGTAAACTAAACCACTTAAATAAATTGAATCAGAATTGCTCTTATTAAATACTGGTAATTTTGATATGTATTTTACAAAATATGGAATTTGTAAATTCTAATAAATCTCTTAATTACATTCTGGACAATACTTTGGTGATATGGCATTAACTACTGATAAGCCTAGAGCTGCCAGCATTGTTACTATAACAGAACTCTAAGTACTTTCACTTAATAAAACGAATTTTAAAGTAAATTCTTTATTATCATATAGAAAATATTTGAAAAATAAATCAAGGCATAATAAGAGAAAATAGAATATTTTTTAAAGATGTTTCCTTCAATGACTAAATTTAAAATCAGCAAATTGATAATGTATTTTTCTCAATACAAATATCCTCCAAATTATAAGATTTGGAAATAAAATGATATAGTAGATGGTCTGTTCTTACTGAAAGAAGGAGAAATCTAATTATAAAAAACAGTTGATTTCCATCCTTTTCTTAAATCCGAATAAAATCAAATACCTAGTGAAACTAAAAGAGAGAAGACTTCACAAATGGATCTTATTACTGTAAAATAGAAATTCTAATAATTAGTTAGCTAATTTGACTGATGGTTGCTTTATTGGGGAAACAGACATCTTTCTCAAAAATGAAAGAAGGGATTACACAGTTAAAACAGTTACTCAATGTAATGTGTATGTCTTGCATATGGATAATTATTTGATAGTTAAAAGATAATTTCCTGAATTCATTAACCCTCTTTAATTGCTCTCTTAGAAAAATATCAATCTATACAAGAAAAGATTGGATGAAATTGTACAGACCAAAGTTATAAGCCTCAATTTCCAAAAAAAAGAAGAATCTAATGTCATTGAAAGAAGATACTTAAATGACATTGAAATTAATTAATAGCCTAATTTCGTTCATTAACATCAAATATCTTCTCCTATTTTAAGATCTTCGATTCATCCAAAAATGACAAAACAGCAAATGGTTGAGTAAAATCAATCAATTGCTTTTTAACATTAAAAGAATGAGAAAATGTCTAATAAGTAAGAAGAATTCAATATGTTAAAAATGGCTGGTGATAATTTCTAAAAATGCTTATTTATTCGAGTTGAAAAATAGTTTGAGTAATTCTAACCAACAAAACCTAAGTATACATATTTTGATTAAACTTAGAGGCAAGACCCCTTTTTTTAGTAAACATCAAAAAGACATTAAAGACTTACTTAATTAAATTAAACGTAATTAGATAACATAAGAAACTACTATCAATCAATATGAAGAATCAGATCAACATAGTCTACCATTTCTTACTTTGAGTAAAAGATAATTAAAAAATATAAATCCTTAAGTTTAATAGAAAATGGAAATTTTAAAATAATGTTTAACTAGTCCGACTAGTTGTCATTCTAATTCAGTTTCTTAAACAATAGATTAATTTTATAAAATTAAAGCATAATAAGGATTTGTATTATGTGATTCTCTTCATCCAATACAAGATCGAGGTCATACTCAATCAAGATTCAATAAACATTTGGCTAATGTCAAACTTACCTAAAGAAATTAAAAAACTATTTAATAATGTTTGAATTCTCAAAAAGTATCAATTGATAATTTGGATACTAATATTTTTAGTTCTTAACCTACATTACAATACTTATGAATTTTTATTGAAAACAGCGATAATAATAAAATGAATATAATCAATTTAAACAATCTTTATTATTTTGAGATTCCTCCTTTAGACACTCATTCTTAGGCTATTATATATCAATGGCTTCATTAAGGGTTCTTGTTTTAAATATATTTATACTTTTTTAAATTTTATTCTATTTACTTATTTTGTATTTCAACCTATCTTTGTATATCGAAATTGTCATCCTGCTTTTTTTCCAATTGCTATTAATCTGCAGTTTCTTTTTCATTATCAGAACCAAAACTATTACTATAATTAGATTTATTTATTATATGATCTTTTTATTAATAATATCTATTTAACTCTTCTTTTAAATCTTGAATCTCCTTTTCTTTTTACTCTAATATTTTGAATTGATTAGAATTCAAAGTGTTCAATTCTTCAATAACTTTATTTTAATTGTTCAATTAAATTTACAAATTTGATAATTCCTAGTTAATCTTTGTTTTTGCAAATTTTTAAGTTTATTCCAATTAGATTTCCATTCGTCTAATTTTTTCATCATTTTCTTGAAGAACTTTTTGTAATTTTAATTTTTCTTTCATTATTTCTTCTTCCTCATCTGATTATTCATTAATATCATTTTCATCAATATCAGCAAACTCTTCAAATTTGACAATATTTTAACTCTTTTTAGAGTGATTACTAATCACAGACTTATTCATTCTTTATTCTATATGCTAATGAATAATTTTTAATTCCTCTTACAAATTCTATATTTCTTAATCTTTTTAATTTATCAGTTCTTAAAATGTATGCTATTCATGAGTTGATTATTATAGAATTCCTGCCATTTTTGATTTAAATTCATATTCTTATGGTTCTGCTTGCAGCTCCTCTCTAAAAAGGGGTAAACTTTCTATATGCTTTTATGGATTAGATACCCTTCCAGCACCCCGGCGGC